TGTTTTGTGACCACGTCCATTATCAAGTGTTTTGTTACTGTAAAAACCTGCCTGTACAAAACTTCTCTCATGTTGACTTAAGACACAGTTTATCTAAAATCAAATATTTAAGATAAGTGGTGCCCTGAGAGCTGGCCGATATTTTATCAAATATGTAATTATAAATGATCCATTTTCTTGCCACAAACATGTGCATGTACTTCATGTACAAGATACTACATCAATTTAATTCTGAAGTGAAGCATTAATTAATTTTCTGTTATTGGTGTTCCTTAATAGTACAAGTCTAAATGTCAAAATTGAAAAAACAACATGAAAAATAAGCTCAATATATAATGTATATCGCTCAATATTTAATATATATATATCATGTACTATTTTTTTTATTTTATAATAATTTTCAAGCAATAATAAAAAAAATCTGACTATCATATGGAAAAAAAAGTTTAAATGTCAGAATTCAGAGTTAATTTTCTAGGGCTTTTTGTTCTTGTTAAAGACACACACTTGTCTATATGTATTTATAGTCCAGCTGATAAAGAGAGATAAACTAAGATCAAAGGTACAATGTTAAGTTCTCAAAAAAAAGATTATACTATCAGCACATGGGGAAAATCACCATGTGTGGAGATGTTATAAAGGCCTGCTTAACAAATATCACTGAAATATGATCTGAAACAGTATAAAAATAGAAAAGGAAAGTTTGATACAAAAACTATTAAGTTTTAATAACGAGAGGCCTATAGGCCACAAAACTTACCTGGCTTAACTTTTCTTCATAACAAACAAATTATGAAATGGTCCTTTGTTACTGTTGATATTTCACCAAATTTATTGTTGCCTTGTATAAAATTTACATATTTATTGTGGTTCTAACTCTTGTCCACATAAATGTGATCTGAATAGATCTCTAATTTACTACCCCTGGAGATGTGTTAATACACATTAAATTGAATCTTGTCTTTTGGACTCTCTTACTTATCAAAATGCAGGCTAAAAAATTATTCCTTTATAATTTTAAGACAAACTTTGATTTTTCAAAGTTGATAATTCACTCTAAGAGGCATTTATACAAATTTTATTTTCTAGAAGCTTTACTCATTCTAAGTTTGAGTTACATATGAACTACTTGTTCTGAGTTTGAGTTACATATGAACTACTTATTCTGAGTTTGAGTTACATATGTACTACTCATTTTGAGTTTGAGTTACATATAAACTACTTGTTCTGTCAGTTTGAGTAACATATGAACTACTTGTTCTGAGTTTGAGTTACATATGAACTACTTGTTCTGTCAGTTTGAGTAACATATGAAATACTTGTTCTGAGTTTGAGTTACATATGAACTACTTGTTCTGAGTTTGAACTACTACTTGTTCTGAGTTTGAGTAACATATGAACTACTTGCTCTGAGTTTGAGTTACATATGAACTACTTGTTCTGTCAGTTTGAGTTACATATGAAATACTTGTTCTGAGTTTGAGTTACATATGAACTACTTATTCTGAGTTTGAGTTACATATGAACTATTTGTTCTGAGTTTGAGTAACATATGAACTACTAGTTCTGAATTTTGAGATTGAGTAACATACAGGATCAAGTGGTTTTGAGTTTGAGTAACATATGACATTTCTTTTATAGGAACTACTCGTTCTGACTTTGAGGATCATATGACATGCCACTTTGAGCACATCTGTCCACACTGTGATTACAAGTCTCGGACCGAGGGCCGACTAAAGCGACACATTAAAGATTTTCACACAGAGGAGTCACCGGACGGTTTTGGTTCCAAACGCAATATGGGAAGACCCAAAATTTTTCGCTGCAAGCAGTGCGATTTTGTTGCCACTGACAAGGTAACTGAAAAGCATCCTATACTTTAAGTCTTCGTAAGATCTTGCAGAAAAAAGAGCAATTGAGATGTTAGAGGTTTATCATTAAAGGATAAAAAGAAAATTGTCAAAAATAATTCATAATTCTTAAGGGAAAAAAGTTAATAAAATTGTCTTCAATGATTTCATTTTCTCTTTTGTAGAATGACTTTTGGCAGCATGCTCGATCTCATATCAAGGAGGAGAAACTTCTGCAGTGTCCTCGCTGTGAGTTTGTCACTGAATACAAACATCACCTTGAGTATCATCTCCGAAATCATTTTGGATCCAAACCATTCAAGTGCAACAAGTGCAATTACTCCTGTGTAAACAAATCCATGCTTAATTCCCACATGAAATCCCACACCAATGTGTACCAATATCGCTGTGCGGACTGCACTTACGCCACCAAGTACTGCCACAGTCTTAAGCTTCATCTGCGGAAATACAACCACAAGCCAGCCACAGTCCTGAATACAGATGGTAGCCTCCCACAGGGGATAGATGCAGAGTCCTCAGGATTGTCTCTGTTACAGAAGAGGGGGCCACCACGGGGGCCAAGGGGTCCAAGAAAGGATAAGTTTGACCCATTTGTTGGACAGTTTATGATGCCTCACTCACTACCGGGCATGGCTCCAACACTGAGTCCTGGGATGATGTCTCCATTTTGGCCTCTGCTCAATCAAGTACCAAACGGACTGCCTCCACCCCATCACCCAATGATACCAACACCACTCAGTGCTAAGCTGCCTTCACATCTTGGGCAAAATAAAATGATGCCATCCTCACCATTTGGTTTCAGGCCCCTCATGCCAGGGAACATGGGTGCACCTTTTAAATGCAATCTCTGCTCATTTGCCACAGATATTCAGCAGGACCTGCTTCGTCATGTTATGAAAGTACATGCATCAGAAAACTCAGACTTATTTTCCATTTTTGGTATTTCATCAGAAGCTTTGCTTGAGGAACAAAATAGGAAGATGAATTTCCTTTCACAGCAGCAGGTAACTCCACTTAGAGAATTAACTACACCTGAGAAATCCATTCCCACCTCTGCAGCTCTTCATATCAAAACAGAACAACCTACTCTAGAAAGTTCCAAAACAAGTCCCCATTCATGGCCTCATCACTCACCACCAAACAGTAAGCCTAACCCAGAAAGCAGACCAACTAGTCACTACAGCATGCCAGAAATGAACTACAGTTCCTACCTTAATGGCAAAGCTAGTCCCAAAGAAGCAGATGCTCCAGAGGGTGAAGACATCATCAAACAAATGATGAACAAGTTTGGTTCAGGGGTTCCTATTGAAAAGTCCCAAATTGCTCCAACACTGCAGCTAGAAAGACCATTCCGAGAAAGTCCACTTGACCTCACAAAATCCTCTAGGTCACCTTCTGATGACATGGATGACCCAGCCAATGATGGGGGAAACCTGTCCAGTGGTGAAAACTCAAACACTGCTGAGAATGTGGTGAACAGAAAAAGATCTCGCAAAGGAAAAGCTTTCAAACTGGACACACTCTGTCTGAAACTGCAGGAGAAACAGGCGGACAACCCAGAGGAGGAAGAGGAAAGTAACTCAGGGATGGAAGACATGGAAGATGAGCTGCAGATTGATGAAATGAATGAGTACGACAACATGGAAACCAATGAAGAGGGAGACGATGAAGAACCAAAGAGCAAAGAGCCGAGACTGGGAGAGATGGAGTCAATGACAGACCTTCAGAGGTTTGAACAGATGAGGAAACTTGCAGCTGCTGCCGATGCAAGTCCAACAGACCAGTTTGAGAGAAGTCCTTCTGCACCAATCAATGAACCAGCTTTTCCCAATGAGTCCAAGGATAAAGTGGATGCAAGTGAAGAACAAATTGATCCCAAAGAGTTCATTGAGGAGATGAGTAATTTGTCTGAGAACGTTCCTCAGGCTGTCAGAAGAGGGACGGAGCTGGCCTGGAAGATCATCCAGGACACCACAGGGGCACCTGTCCCCCCACCCGTTACCACGGCAACCTCCAACGGCCACTACAGGAGTGAAGATAATAAACAATTCCCTGTCTCACAAGACATGCATCTCTTCACAACTAGTACACCAAGGGACAAAAATGGACACAAAAGTGCCAAGTATGAATGCCCTTACTGTGAGATCGCATTTAGAGATTGTGTCATGTACACAATGCACATGGGTTACCATGGTTACAAGAATCCATTCAAATGTAACATGTGTGGTTACCATGGGCACGATAAGGTGGAATTTTTTCTCCACATCGCCAGGGAAGCCCACAACTAAACAATTCTCCACATTCAAAGCAATAAATTATAAGATTTATAACTCAAGGATGAGTTGAGTAGAAACAGCATATGGACTATAATCATTAGTGCTATTTCTGCTAAGTATTTTTTTCACTTTCTTGATTTTAATGATTTGTTAATGATGCTTTTTTTTAACCGTTATTTGACTTTGGTTTTGGGACCAGATGCACCTTGTGGTAGTATTTTGTTGGCAGGTGCTGGCTTTTAGTGCTTTGCTTGAGGTTTTTTTGTCCAAACATGCTAATTTTTAAATACAGAAATTAATCCCGGTTTTTCATGGAAAAAAAACTAGTCATTTTATTAAATATTATTTAAAGGGAGAACCATTAGTCCTAAAAAAGTAAGCTTCATACACTAATTAGTTACAAAAGTAAGCTACATACACTAATTAGTTACAAATTTATACTTAACATATTTAGAAAATGCATGGGTCAAATTTTGTTTTAAGTCAGTATTTAAATTTTTTTTTCATATTATAACTTTTTATTAAAATACATTCCTTCTCAAGATTAACCCCCAGTAACTTGGCTGGTTGATAGCTTTACATCACCATTATTTATAAAAGTTTACAGGCCTGTTGAAAAAAAATTGTTTGCAAGTTTTATCTGTTTATATTTTTCAGTCAGAAAGGTGCTCAATTTAAAAATGTGCTTAATTTAAATCTGCACAAATTGTGCTCTTTCTTGTTTATTGTTATATGTTTTTAGTATATACTGGTAACATTGGTCTTATTGAATTTTTAACTTATACGTTGTCTGTTGAAATCTTTGATATTTCCACATGGTTCCGACTGTTTTTTTTTTTTTTTTTTTTTTACAACATCACCATAACTAGAATCACCACTTCACTGTGCAATAAGGATCATGTAATCTTTTGTAATTTAAGTTTCATAAAAGTATAACTCAGGGATAAATATTGTGTGCTTTGATTTTATGATGCTCTTGCCACGAGGACTCCTCTACAACCCCCCATCCCCACCCCTTTTTGTCCACTAGGTTTCCTTAACACACCCCACCCCCCTTTTATCCACTAGGTATCCTTAACACACCCCTATCCCACCCCACCCACCCTCTATTAACTAGATATAGAGTACTGTATCTATAATTACGTGAATTTTCACTGTTTGCAATTGTACTAATTTTTTTACTGTAATTAAATGTTTAAATCAGTGTAGTTTTGATGTCAGTTCAGATATATATGTTTATTTATAAAATGTCGACCATTTCTGTCATTTTTATTGTACATACAATTTTTCTATATAATCCAGCAATACTAGTAGTAATACAGTGTGTATAGTATTTTTTTTAAATCCAGCTGTGTGTTATTTATAGTTCTATAGTGTATGTGTATTTTATCATTTACCCTCAGTGGAGGATTTTTTGTGTAATTCAGCAATAACTTGTACATACATATAAGTAACACTTTACGTGGGCATTGACATTTATAGTCACATTTTTTTTTTACTATATTAGCCAGCGTCTACCTCAGTAGCTGATTATCGTTAGCGTTTTCAATCACTCGCCTTGATTTCATGTACAGCAAAGCCTAAGAAATATATGAGAGCAGATAGAGTTATCTCCCTTAAGATGGTCACTCTTCACAATGGCTACCTCTATTAGCAGATCATTGCCAGAGACAATTCAAAATTGAATTGATATGCATTTTAATTACTTTAATGATATTTTAAATTGAGGAACATTTTAAAGTCCACCTAAAAAGAGATTTTTGAAATGTATAATTTTCACAAGATCAGCTGTTCTTTTTAACAGCTGTGCAGATTAATTTGGCTGTTTGAAGTCTAGAATTTCAAAGTTACAAATATTTAAAAAGAAGTAAAAATATGTATTTTTTAAAATTTTAATTGTATCTTTTAGCATGGAATATATTCTAGTGTTTTATGCACAGTCATTAAGTGTTATTTATTTCACTCATCCAAACATTTTTCATCTATTTATTATGTTACCCCTTATGGTAATTAAATTTTTAATTACACATCTTAATTCACAATTCTTTAGCATCACACACCTTCCCCGAAAGTGGGACACATCTTAACCAACACATGGTCATTATCTAAAATATTCCATAATAAATCATCATCTTAATTTAGCTCTTCAATTTTTATCTTCTGGATTCCCACCATTATTATATGAAGTTGCTCAGAATTAATGAAAACTACATTCCAAAAACTCTTGCCATCTCTGAATTGGGAATCCTTTATCGGCAGGGATAAAAGACATCATTTTGCCCAGAAAAAGAGCATGTAAAAAATATAATGTGTTTTTATTTGAATTATTTCAATATCAGCTAATGATATGTAATAGTTTAATGCAAGAAATTGATTTAATTCTTTGTTTTCCAATTACAGGTGTTTGTGTAAAATGAAAGTAGTTCTTGAACTGCCAATCTACTTTCTAATTAATTAAGATCCTCGTATATATCTTATTTAATTTGATGTTTATTATAGGGTTAGTCTATTTCTTATCATTAATTGTCAGTGATTAAATGTACTAAGTGGTGTAATAAAAATATGCAAATCACCTTCAGTGTTTTAATGTTTTTACAAAGAAGAGAATTCCTGCATAGGACATAAGAAACAGAGAACACACTTCTGATGAACAGTTGCTTACAGCAGAGTGATCCTCATTCCTCAAAGTTTCAAAATGATCATTATATGCTTATAATACAGCAAAATTGGCTAGTTCATGATTAGCATGTTTTATCAACTCTAATCATACTAATATATAATTAGACAGAGAGTTTACCTAGTACATGGAAAATGGGAAAACAAAAAATATTTAATGAACTTAAAATCTATAAAACCCAAGCTTTGATTTTGATAAATCAGAGTCGTAAAAGAAGGCCACAAGACAGTGTCAATGTAAGATACTTTACCAAATTTTCTCAAATCTGATGAATTTTTTTCAGACTTGAGATACTTTTCCCTTTGGAAAATACAAAGAAAAAGTTTGCTTGTGAGTTTTAAGGCCCTGGGCAACAACACTCACCTGCTTGAGTATATTTGGCCCTGTCTTTGTAACAGAATTCCCCCATTGGGGCCCCACCCTACCCCTGGGGACCATGATTTCAACAGTTTAGAATCTACGCTATCTTAGGATGCTTCCACATAAGTTTAATCTTTTCTGGTCTAGTTGTTTCTTAATAAGAAGATTTTTCCGATATATTTCATTGTAAAACTTTGATACCTTTTTGTTGCATCACCATACAAATGGGGACCATGATTTGAACAATTAAGAATCTACACTACCCCAGGATGCTTCCACATAAGTTTCATCTTTTCTGGCCCTGTGGATCTTGAGAAGAAGATTTTTCAAGATTTTTCCTATATATTTCATTGTTAAACTTTGACTCTCTATTGCAGCCCCACCCTACCCCCGGGGATCATGATTTGAAGAATTTAGAATCTACACTACCCCAGGATGCTTCCACATATATTTTATCTTTTCTGGCTAAGTGATTCTTGAGAGGAACATTTTCAAAGATTTTTTCCTGAACAGTTCATTGTAAAACTTTGACTCCTTGTTGTGGCCCCACCCTAGCCCTGGGGAACATGATTTAAAATCTACAGCATGTACCTACTTCTTTCATACTAAGATTACAATTCTTACAAAAAAATGATTTAAGAGAGGATTCAAACACTTGACTCTTGGATCTTCAGCTGAGAGTATATCTACTTTCATTCTGCTCGTAAATTTTGACATTTAAACTTGAATTTATTACATACTGTAGTAGAGCACTCTGTGCAGTTCTGTAGGATAAATAATGTAACCAATCAGAGGTCACAAATCCAACAATTCCAATCTAAATTACGTTAGCATATATATGTTAAAACTATATTGTCTGAAGTTACATGCTTTGAACATAATTGTATCATAGATGGGAGATAAAATCGGTTGGAATGGATTCTAGAAAACCATACTATCTATTTGCAAAACCCTTTCTTTTTCACAAAATCTTGACAGATTTTGCAGAGTTGTGACACTTGTTCAATATACAATTAGGCCATTCCAATTTTTTTCTATGTTTAGTGTCCGTGTGCGCCTTGGTTTTTGACACCCCATGAAAAACACCCAATGATCATGAAATGAATGAAAAATGTCCCTTATTTACTTTATACACCTTGAAAGTCATGATCAACAAATATACACTCAGCATTTGAATTTTTGCTGACTTATATCATTATATGTTTTGTCTCCCTCTTTCACTGAAAGTGGGGGATATTAATTTGGGTCTGTGCATCCATCTATATTTCTGTCTGTGTGTGCAACATTTTCATTTCTTGATGATAGGGCAAGAAGCCTTAGAGCTCTCTACGCAAAACATTGTCTAGATGATAAATTTAGTTTTCTTTGAGCTTTGAAAATTCAATATCACAACTTCCAATGGTCTAAAGATGAACCCCGTCAATTTTGAGGTCAAAAGGTCAGAGATCATACATTTTATACATTCTATTTAACACTTTTTTTTCAAACTGTCTTAAAATCAATCTGAGAATTTGCAATGAAATTTTACATCACAACTCCCCATGACCTTTAAAACCTCTCAATTCACAAAAGTCAAGATCAGAAATACAAATAACTTTAAAAAGACTTATATTGTCTTAAAGGCCAAAATATAAAAGGTTATGGTTGACTTTTTTTCTCTCTGAAATATAGACAAACAGACAGCTAGACAGACAGACCCAAATCAATACACCCTACTTTTAGTAGAAGCAGGGGGATATTTTGATTTGTGGCATGCAAGAAAAGTTTTTGTTAAAATGTAAAACGGAAATATAAAACTTCTTAAGTTTCTAAATCAAATTTGCAATTTGTTTTAGTGTATTTGAATTTGGCACAAATGAAGATCATGGGCTCCTTTTCTTTTTTGATCACTTTTTCCTTCATTCCATCTAATTTGAGTGAGATAAAAATTGCTGGAGCAACCAGTTCAAACAAAGTATTTATAAGAAGCAAACTTATCTTTTATTTGTGCCAAAACACAAAAAAGATAGAATCTTTACAACTGAAGTGAAGTAACCGTGAAACCCTCACCATTTTACTGTTAAAGTTTAACATCTTTGTTTAGAAATAGAAAAAAAAGTCAAAGCAAAGTTTATATTCTTCATTTAAAATGTCAAATAAAATCATGCAAACAAAATTGTCAACAAACAAGAACATGTGGTTACTTCTGAATCAGTGTCTATCAAGAAAATGCTCTGCACATGGCCACTGTGTGATCCACCCCACAAAACACTCGCAGGATCTCAGCAGGAACCGACACCTGAAATAAAACCATTCTACCTTTAACTTTCACTTTCATCTTGTAAGCTTTTTCATTTTGTAAGCTTTTAGGAAAAGTTTGGCCAGAACCTTTATCTTCAAAACTATTCATTACAATTCAATTTTTATAACATATTGCACATTATACAATATTCAATTTTAAAACTGCTCTCAAAGTCATAGGGAAAGAAGATTTATAGGGGACTATTTCTTATGGAAGAAGGATATTTAGAAGAAAATTCTTCAAATCTACACATCTGTTAGTTTTAATATCTTAGAACTTAAGCCCTAGTATATATTGTTACTCAGAGAATATTTTCCACTAATATATGCCAGTAATATTAAATATTGGTTTCAATGTATATTTTTTTAAAAAATCTTACACATTCACATGTAAATATGTTAAAGATATATATATCAAAACCACTATTTGTACTGCAATTTTGAATCACGCTAGATGAGTACTTATGTAAAATATCCTTCTAAAAAAATTCTTGATAATGGGTACATATATACCATAATCTTGAAAAAACAAAAAAATTAAAGTTTAAATACCAATGTCAAAACACTTTACATTTTGCTGAACAGTCATGACTTTTATTAATGAAGGAAACAATGGTTAGATCATGTACTATCCTAATAAGCTTATATAAAATAGCTTCAGACTTCTGTAAAATATATATGAATTATATACGGGTAGTTGTGCTGAAGTTCCTTACCCTGAATGGGTATGTCTGGTCCATTCTCTCCGCGATATAAATTCCCAGGCAGCCTTTCTGATTCTTTCCCCATACGAACATTTCATAATCATCTGAAAGAGAAAAACTTGCGAGACCTATGTGTCACACTGCTAACCAGAGTACTTTGGCCAGGAAATTGAAAACTTTAATATCGGTGGCATATTACTGGTCAAAAAGATGGGGGGAGGGGAGTATTGGAAAATTTGTACTTACTTGAATCTATAAATAATATAGGATGCTTTGATTCATAATTCTTTGACTATAATCATGTAATTAGAATTTTAAAAAATTTATATACATATTTCTTTTCATTATATACCCAACTGCGTAAAACTCAATTTTACTGCTGAATTTACGTAATCACATGACGTCGTGATCCGACTTTCTGGATCACCACACTGTGGTTTTCTGAATCTATATCACCATTCTCTGAAACTGATGATGTGTGCTAGCACGTTTCGTTGACAGGCGCAGATCATCAGATCAAACTTGAGGCTTCTTGTTTGATCTGATGATCTGTGCCTGTTAACTCTACATACTACGACTCTTCGGATCAAGTTACTTATCTATATGTTTGATCTTCTATTGTGGCCCAATTTACCCAGTGGGTCATGGATTGATTAAATTTATAATAATTATCTACAGTACTTCTGCAATACTCTTATCCCCTTCTTTGAAGTGGCCCACTTTCATCCCCAAGATGATCATTTTTCCAGCATGTAAATTTCACCAAGGGATAAGTCAATAGCTACGGAGGCCTTTGCCCATTATGCAAATTATCCCACATTTCCAACTATCCTTGATGCCCTTGCATACTCTACTAACTAGACAGTGATTTCTTAAATGCATATCTATATAAATGAAGTATATACACACTTGTTCTGGCTGCAAAGTGGTTGATGCCACAAGTAACGTCCACGACAAGTTTTTCCGGTGCTAATTCGTTCCGACCAAACAACGTGGGGGGTATTGCCTGGGGGGTGCTGGATGACTGGACATTAGGTCCCAGCCCTAATGATCCAAATCCCCATACAAGTACCTCATTATTATCTGAAATAAACAAGTACCTCACTCTTATCTGAAATATACAATACAAGTACAAGTACCCCATTCTAAGCTGAAATATACAATACAAGTACCTCGTTTTAATCTGAAATATACAAGTACCCCATTCTTATCTGAAATATACAAGTACCCCATTCTTATCTGAAATATACAAGTACTCCATTCTTATCTGAAATATACAAGTACGGTACCCCATTCTTATCTGAAATATACAATTACCCCATTCTTATCTGAAATATACAATACAGGTACCTCATTCTTATGTGAAATATAAAACGTAAGTACCTCATTCTTATCTCAAATATACAATACAAGTACTTCTATAATATACAATGAATGTGGATAAATTCTTATGAGAAAGGTAATTAAGCAAGTGCAATAAATATGCTTAAAAATATGCTTATAATGCCATGATATTTTATTTTTATGCTGTTCTTCTTAAAAAAATTTTTACCACGATATCTTTTGAAAAATTCAGGTTTAAACCCTGTGTGTTTGAAATAAAAATTTGTTGTTAGTTCCACAGAGATTTTGTTATATATACCTGTTACACTGTACTTTGAGGGGAACCTGTTTCGGCCCTGTATATATACCTGTCAGCACGGCACACTTTGACCCTGCCGCTGCTGCCTTGGTAACGGGGTGGTGGAGTGGGATGTGTCTGGGGACGGACACCTGTGTCTCCTCTGTAATCATGGACAACTGTCCGTACTCTGAGTTCCCCCAGCCGAACAGATCCCCTCGCTCCGATACCGCCAGCACGCAGTCCGCCTTACTGGCTAGCTGTACGATCCTCTCCCCAGCAATGTCTCCACCCACTAAAGATGGCCGCCACTCACAGTGGTAATGTTGTAAACCTGTCAGAGAAAGTCATTTATGATATAGCTCATCTTAACTAGGGCATGAGTTAGAGAGAGTAACAACTAAAATGTAAAACATACGATTGTTACCCTTCACTAAAGTAATTTATTCCATGTTGAGCTTTGTGAATTACTATATTTATATTCTTTGCATTTATCTATCAAATTATATCATAAAGAAAAAATCTTACATTGTTAGTTTAAATTTGTTTCGAGACATAAAGTACTCATGTATAAAAATAAGTCTGTGAGCAAATGCTCATTAGTAATACCCCTGTGCTAATGTGAATATACCCTCTCATATTCACATGTTTATTTAAGGAATAACCGTCTTATTTTTCGATTTCATGAAGTGATCAATGGATTGGCTTGCATGATAATTTGCATAAACGCCGAAGGCATTTATGCATAAAATTATCACGCAAGCCAATCGATTGATCATCTTCATGAAATTGAAAAATCTGACAGTTATTCCTTATATTTACATGCTTTGATTCCGCCAATCCACGTGCTCCAAGCACTGCTTCTGTCTAGCTGTTTGTCCCGCCCTGCACGTGGTTTTTTTTGGAACCGCACCAAAACATTGATGGGGGAATAAAGTACATTTACAATTGGTAATTTTATCTCGGACAAAGACATTAGAAATGTAAATACACAGAAATGAATCCCACCATATGGCATGCCTAAACAAAGAGTGTGGTAAAATTTTCAATCAGTTGTTGACAAACTGTGGTGGAAATTTGTTATGGACAGACACATAGAGAACATGGGTAAAACAGTACACCCCCTCTCAATTGGAGGGGGAGTATAAGAAATCTACAGTTTATTTATTTGTGTTATATATATATTTACCTACCTGTTTGACCATCAGCTCCTAGACCACAACTGTACACCTGTCCACTGCTCGTCAAGAAAAAAGAGTGGTCTTGTCCACAGACAACCTAAAAAAAAAATAGGAGTACATTTAATGAAAAAACCTGAAACAATAGGAGTACATTTACTGACACAGTCTGACAAAATAGGAGTACATTTACTGACACAACCTGAAACAATAACTGTACATTTACTGACACAACCTGACACAATACGATTACATTTACTGAAACAACCTGAAACAATAGGGTACATTTACTGACACATCCTAAAACAATAGGTAAACATTTACTGACACAACCTCAAACAATAGGAGTACATTTACTGACATAGCCTAAAACAATAGGTGTACATTTACTGACACAACCTAAAACAATAGGTGTAAATTTACTGACATAACCTGAAACAATAGGTGTAAATTTACTGACACAGCCTAAAACAAAAGGAGTACATTTACTGACACAACCTAAAACAATAGGTGTAAATTTACTGACATATCCTAAAACAATAGGTGTACATTTACTGACACAACCTGAAACAATAGAGTACATTTACTGACACATCCTAAAACAATAGGTAAACATTTACTGACACAACCTCAAACAATAGGTGTACATTTACTGACAAAACCTAAAACAATAGGTGTACATTTACTGACACAACCTGAAAAAATAGGTGTACATTTACTGACACAACCTGAAACTAGAAATATGTCCATAGGACATGAATGCCCCGCCAAGGATATATTAGTAAAGCAACATGAAAATTCGTATGTGTATAAAATTTGATCAGTTTGGTTCAGGTAGGGGTTATAGTTACTCTGGGAATAAAAATGTATATAGATCCAGCATCCGAAGCAAGTCTGGTAGTGTCCATCCCTAGATGCATCATCCATGCAAGTTTGGTTCAGGTAGGACTTATAGTTACTTGGGAAGGAAAATGTAGGTCAGATCCAGCATCCGAAGCAAGTCTGGTAGTGTCCATCCCTTGATGCATCAACCATGCAAGTTTGGTTCAGGCAGGGCTTATAGTTACTAGGGAATAAAAATGTAGGTCAGATCCAGCATCCGAAGCAAGTCTGGTATTGTCCATCCCTTGATGCATCATCCATGCAAGTTTGGTTCAGGCAGGGCTTATAGTTAATGGGAATGAAAATATAGGTCAGATCCAGCATCCGAAGCAAGTCTGGTAGTGTCCATCCCTTGATGCATCATCCATGCAAGTTTGGTTCAGGCAGGACTTATAGTTACTTGGGAATGAAAATATAGGTCAGATCCAGCATCTGAAGCAAGTCTGGTAGTGTCCATCCCTAGATGCATCATCCATTAAAGTATGGTTCAGGTAGGGCTTATAGTTAATGGGAATGAAAATATAGGTCAGATCCAGCATCCGAAGCAAGTCTGGTAGTGTCCATCCCTTGATGCATCATCCATGCAAGTTTGGTTCAGGCAGGACTTATAGTTACTTGAGAATGATCATATATGTCAGATCCAGCATCCGAAGCAAGTCTGGTAGTGTCAATCCCTAGATGCATCATCCATGCTAGTTTGGTTCAGGTAGGGCTTATAGTTCCTTGGAAATGGACCTACTCCAAAAACTTTAACCTGGTCACTCATCTGGATAATGTAGGTCAGATCCAGCATCCGAAGCAAGTCTAGTAGTGTCCATCCTTAGATGCATCACCCATGCAAGTTTGATCCCAGTAGGGCTTATAGCTCCTTAGGAATGGACTTGCTCCAAAAACTTAACCTGGTCACTCATCTGGAAAATGTAGGTCAGATCCAGCATCTGAAGCAAGTCTGGTAGTGTTCATCCTGAGATGCATTATCCATGCAAGTTTGTATCAACATGTGAAGTTTGATAACACCATCTTGAATGGTATGTTTAAAACTGAGCTGAAATACTTTAAGAAAAGTGAAGTCAAGGTCAAAGGAAAGGTCAAGGTCAAAAAATGTTGATGCAGTTGCATAGCTCTCATCAATATCTATCAGCATTATGAAGTTTGATGAAAATATCTTGCATAATTTCTTTGAAACTTAGCTATAAACAGAGCTAAACGCAAAGTGTGACGGAAGGACAGAAGGACGGAAGGACAGAAGGACGGAAAGACGGAAAGACGGAAGATGGACATGACAAACACTATATGCCCCGGCCATATTCATGGCGGGGCATAAAAATAGGTAAACATTTACTGACACAACCTCAAACAATAGGTGAACATTTCCTGACACAACCTCAAACAATAGGTGAACATTTCCTGACACAACCTGAAAAAATAGGTGTACATTAAAGTGGCACAGTGACGCACAAGGGGGAAAATTGACAAATGTAGAATTTTCACATAACCTCTGTAAATTTTGTTCAATTCCTTAAAGTATTAGGTTTCAGAAAATTACAGGTTTCAGAACCTAAAAATTAAAATTTTATGGGGAAAAATAAAAGTAAAAATAATTTCTGTCTGCCCCAGAACGAAAATATTGCAAAATACCCTTCTTCCTTCCTATCATACGCGTGTGCAGAAAAGTGTTTAATAAGTTTCCATAGTTACCATGGTCTCAGGTATCCACGAATGAATATAAGTAAACCAAAAAATTTGATGCAATCTTTTTAAAAAGTTGTTAGAAGATATTTCTCACCTTTGCAAGCTCCAGTTGAATTTTGTTTACAAGTTTGAGCTAAAAATAAGAGTAGCGTGACCTTGACATATACGAAACAACGAAACGGTTAATACAACCTTTGTTTTTCCGGCACTTATATTGTGCAGTCAATTCTTGCAGTTGAATTGTCATATCTTCGCTATATACTCATAATTTTCGTAAGTCTTTCTCTGTATGCTACAGAATCTTAAAATTAAGATATGAATTTGACTCACTGTGCCGCTTTTACTGACACACCCTAAAACAAGAGGTGAACATTTACTGACACAACCTCAAACAATAGGTGTAAATTTACTGACACAACCTCAAACAATAGGTAAACATTTACTGACACAACCTCAAACAAGAGGTGAACATTTACTGACACAACCCAAGTTAATAGGTGTACATTTACTGACACAACCTGAAAAAATAGGTGTACATTTACTAACACACCCTAAAACAAGAGGTGAACATTTACTGACACAACCTCAAACAATAGGTATAAATTTACTGACACAACCTCAAACAATAGGTAAACATTTACTGACACAACCTCAAACAATAGATGAACATTTACTGACACAACCCAAGTTAATAGGTATAAATTTACTGACACAACCTCAAACAAGAGGTGAACATTTACTGACACAACCTCAAACAATAGGTAAACATTTACTGACACAACCTCAAACAATAGGTGTACATTTACTGACACAACCTCAAACAATAGGTAAACATTTACTGACACAACCTCAAACAATAGGTGAACATTTACTGACACAACCCAAGTTAATAGGTATAAATTTACTGACACAACCTCAAACAAGAGGTGAACATTTACTGACACAACCTCAAACAATAGGTAAACATTTACTGACACAACCTCAAACAATAGGTGTACATTTACTGACACACCTCAAACAAGAGGTGAACATTTACTGACACAACCTCAAACAATAGGTGTAAATTTACTGACACAACCTCAAACAATAGGTGTACATTTACTGACACAACCTGAAAAAATAGGTGTACATTTACTGACACAACCTCAAACAAGAGGTGAACATTTACTGACACAACCTCAAACAATAGGTGTATAAACAACAACTTTTTAAGAGACAAATCCTAAGCCTTCAAAGGACTCTAAACCATACTAATATACATTAAATGAAAATAGTTGCACAAACAGATTTTAATTTAAAGCTTGATTTTAAGATTCTTAAAATTAAATACATGTAATAATAACCACATCCGTTGGATTTAAATGCCATGTGTTCAACAACCACCCAGGCAAAAGAATGGCTTAGAGCAAATATAGCAAGTATTACCAAATTGTAGGTGTTCATTTCATAGTTGTTTTTGAAGGGATATTAACATTTATTTATTAATATAATATTAATAATAACATTAATATTATAAAATTAGACTTTATCCTGTAAATGCCATTGAAACAAGAAGCCTATGGACAACAATGCTCACCTGAGTCACAATTTGGCCCTACTTTTTTTCCTAAGCAGATTCTAACCCAATTTTTGTAAAACAAAATGTGTTTGTGAAACACTGATGCCCCCATATGGCATGCTTTTGGCAAAAGATTAAAATTTCTCAAATGCAAATCAAGAAGTGAGTCATAATCAAGGTCAATAGGTCAAAAATACCCATAGAAAGGACTCAGCATAATGAATAAACATGTTAAGTATGAAAGAGTCCAAGCACCAACTGTTCAAAAGTTATGGCCATTATTAAAGTTGGCTATATTCTTGCAAAATTGGGTCAAACTCTAAGGTCAAGGTCAAAAGTTCAAATACATGTATTTTGATACACAAAGAAAGGCCTTGTCCCAGCTAGGAAATACACATGTAAAAATATGAGAGCCACAGCTCAAACATATCAACCTATGAAAAGTTATGGGCAATGTTTAAGTTTTTTTTTTTTGGGGGGGGGGGCAAACAGACAGACAAACAGGACACACATTATATACCCCTGACTCTTCAATTATGGGGAAAATATAACTAATTCTGGCTTTATCTTGGCTTTGCTGAGAAGATATTCAAGGATTTTATTCCCATGTAAAACTTTGATTGTCCATTATGACCCCAACCCCTACAGGGTTCAGAATTTGAATCTACTCTATGACTGGAAGCTAAGTTCGTCTTTACCAGCCCGATGGTTTTGGGGAAGATTTCTAAATGAATCCATTAAATTTTCCCCTTTTATTTATAAAGACTTAGAGGATGTGGTCCTTTCTTTAAAGAAACCTGAATGACCTTCACCCATACTTTGTGTCAATTTTGGTTGCAAATAGCCCAGTGGTTCTGAAAAAGATCAAACTATAAAAAGCTTAAGATGATGACAAGGACAAAATCAATGCCAACGATGATATAGACAATGAAGATAATTTCATCACAAAAGCTAACGCGAGCCTTTGGCTGTGGTAGGCTATAAATACTTTTCTACGAACAAGGGATGTGAACATCATGACCCAATTATCCCTAAAGTCCTAGAAAACAGAGATACCTCTGTACTGGTGTTAATTATTACCTATGCAGGAGACAAATAAATAACTACAAACTATCATTGGCTTCCTGATTCAGCAAACAAAGAGTACATAAATTAAATAAGTAGATATTATTCACAGCCTATTTGTTTTCAAGAAACACCTGTTTTGTACATCAACAATGGAATTCCAATAAATGAATTAGGCTAATAACCATTTAGGGGGGAGAGGGTATTCATTCTTATTTCAATAGCCTGGTTTTTGTAAAATTGAAGTGCAAGCAGCAAGCTCGACAGACTATTTTATAAGAACATACGAAATCTGAACTAAAGTATGTATATTCATTTTTTTTTTAGTAAATATTCCACCCTCAACTAAAAAAGTTGAGGGTGGGATATTTTTCCCCATAGATTTTTCATAGATTTTTTTTTTTCAATAAAAGCTTTAGACTTCTGTGATCACACTATCCCAACATCCCCTGTATAAGCCGCAGACCTCTTTTTAAAACAGTTCAAAGATTTTCTTTGTAGAGGTCTAGGTGTACATCTTACAATGCAGTGTTACTCGGTCGAGGTGAAATTATCAAATTTTATGTTTTTTCTGAGCCAGGAGAAAAGTAGCATCATATATACAAGTCAATGCATTATTTACAAACAGTAAATGCACATAATGCAAGGAATATTTACAATTGCAATATCTTAGACTGAGATAAAACTACAAATAAGGTAATAGCTTTATAATCTCATAAAAGCGATTTGCACAGCACATGACAGTACTGCATGCTTGCTCACTGTGTGTTGCTTAGTAATTAATCCACCTGAAGAGAATGGTTAAATTTCTTATTATTGAATGAAATATTTTTTATTGAATCAAAGATAGAGCAAACTGATAGATCACATCACAAAACCTAAAAACGTAGTTATTCCTTAAATAAATGCACGAAATGTAAGACATGAGTTTTAAGTCTGCAATCTAGGTGTAACAAAGTCGAAGAGTTTATATACCTATTTGACAGTGGCTTTTTATGAATAGTGTTCAGCTTTAAGCTATAAAGAAAAAAAATTATTATTTATAATAGATCTTTGCAAAATGCAAATGGTAGCCATTGGTACATTTGGGATACATGTTTTAGGCTAAAAAATGCTTAACAATATTTTACCTGATCAAACCTGTTAAATATGAAGGGCATAGACCCGCTCACTCAAAAGTAATGGGCAAGGTTAAGGTTTTTGTGGACAAACAGACAGACAAACGGATGGACAGGCCAAAAACTATACCCCCAAATTATTGATTACGGGGGCATAAAAATTCTCAACAGTAGGTGTTACCTGATCAAAGTCAATCAACTACCTGGATTGGTATATATTTTGACCTATTTTGCTTGTAAACGATGTGAATAATAAATTTCTAAAATATTAAGAATTTGTTAACTTGCTAAGATGTTTAAAATTCAACCTCTCTGCAACCATCCTAATTTATCTGTACAATTTATGTCACTTAAAATTGAATTATTGTGAAACTTTGGATGAAAAATCAAAATATGTGCAGTTATAAACTTATTTATTTTACTTACATAAATGTAATAAAGGTTGTTATTTTCAGGAATTTTTTAAATAAAAGTTTGTATCATCTGTCCTTAAATAAGATCCATAAATTTTTGCAACACTTTATATTATAATGATAAAAATATGTACTTCTAACAAATTTTAAGCTTTTACTTCTATTAGAATTTTAATTGTAATTCATTATCAGATTTATCTTCACTTCAATAAATTTATATAAAACAAAAAAATAATTAATTTTTCAATTAAGTGTTGATTAAAGTTCAGCATTGGAAAATCCCTTGACCTAGGTTGGCCTTTAGTGGAGGTACTGTTTGCCTTAAACCCACGCTGGGTGTTTATTATAAGTTTATCGTACTTATACTGTAGACGTACTTTTTTTCCACAGGTCATAATTCTGCGGAATCTCAATTTCTGTTTAATCCACGGGTGGAAAATTACGTGGATTTCCCAGACTGTCACTATATGCCTTACATTTACCAGGTATTAAGTACGCTTGGACAAATTTATGCGGAAAGTTTGTGACCACCTACATAGCGTAAATTAATACCGCATGGAAAAAAGAACTTCTACAGTAATTAAAAGTTCTACATCTGCTAAACTTGAACCAATTAATTAGTTTATTTTAGACTTATCAATCAATAACCTTTAGCAATGAGAGACTTCTTAGGTTATTGATTTACATTTTAATCTGAGACATACAGTAGAACCTGTCTTATCCGACATAAAGAGAAAAAGTTTGTGTCAGAATACACAGGGTGTCCGAATACAATATATTAAAGATCATGGAAAGTAGTACAAGAGGCCTGTGGGCCACAATGCTCATCCACATCAGCAGGTTTTCCAGTATAATTGTGGCCCCACCCTACCCCCCGAAAATAATGATTTGAAAAAAAAAAATTAAATTAACACTACCTAAAGTAGTGTAGATTTCATATCAGTGAGATTAAATATAATTTTAATTTTCTCAAGAAGAACATTTTTTTTACACTGTTTGTTCTTTCCACCCTACCCCAGGGGTTCATGATTTGAATAAACTCAAATCTACATTATGTAATGAGGGTTTCAAATAAGTTTGATTTTTCAAGCCAAATGATTTTTGAAAAGAAAATTTTTACCACCAACTTTTTTACTAATACTTCAAGATAAATTCAAATTGCCCAGTGGTTTTAAAGTAGAAGTTGAAAATATGAAAAGTTTACAGATAGACATATGCACAGCAGACACAAAGTTATCTGTGATAGTGTAAGACACACTGCTTCCTACTAGCTTGGGCTAGTGGGTTAACCCTTTAGCTCAATTGGTAGAGCAATGGACTGGTAAGCTTACGGTCCCAGGTTCAATCCCCAGCAGAGGCACAAAACTGTCTCTGTTACATTACTGGTCTGTTTTTTTTTTCTTCTTTCCTGTTACATTTGATGTCATAATCAGGATGTTATGATCAGGATTTGATAATCAGGATGTGACAGGTAGAGAAACTAGGTTGGTTTCCTCTGAGACAAAGACATTTAAAGAGAGGATCGGATGTGGTGATCAATCAGGTCAACTCACTGGTGGTCCGAGATAACTCCAGATGTTTATTATACAGAGATCTGTGTAGGGTTGGGAATAATTCAAGGTTTAGCTGAAATCCCTAAGTCACACTTACATATTGTCTAACACATTTAATTGATTTGTTTGAATGTAGTACCAGAAGATCTACAAATAGAAATACATATACATGTACTGTGTATTTACAGGTATACCTCACCTTTACTATATCAGAAGGTAAGTCAGTCACCTTGTTTACCACCTGGCTGCCTCTAAATAAGAACAAAAAATCATCAGTAGCAGAGCACATGTACTGTGACTTTAAGTACAGTGGTCATATGAATGTATGATTTCAATCATTGTGAGTATTTATGATTTAACATTTTCAGCAAACTCTTCAGATAGAGCAAATTAATGTTAACAAAGCAGTATCACAATAGAAAAACACCATCAAATAATTGATTGATTGTATGTTGTTTAACGTCCCTCTCGAGAATTTTTCACTCATATGGAGACACCACCATTTGCCGGTGGAGAGCTACAATTTTGTCCTATACTTGGCACTCAGGGCCATTGAGCAGGGAGGGATCTTTTTCCTGCCAGCAGCTACTGCAACACGGGACATCGGTTTATTTGGACTCATCTGAGGGATCGGTCTCCATGTCCCACAGTGGGATTCGAACCCGTGACATAAGGATCAACTCCTTACTTTGAGACTCTAGAGCAAAGGCTCTTACCACTGTGCCACACGGGTGACCACTACAAATTAAAGAAATTTCATGAGGGCTCATTCGACGATCCAGCTGACAACATATGCCCTTCCCCATCATTCGTCCTGTAAAAATGACCAGTCATAGCACATCCTCAGATCATAACCAATCTGGGCATAGTTATTCAATAGATCCAATCCTAATTTTGCCTGTTTAAATGGCCATATACACAGAGGAAATTTTCCAATGGTCTCAATTTCAGGCCCAGGAGAGTTATTTACAATGGTTTGGGGGAATGTTTTATTGTGAAAGCTGTGTAAAACTATGTTAGGAAATATATGATTTTCATATTTTGAGTATATATCGTATATATATATATATATATATATATATATATATATATATATATATATTATATTTTTTCAGACCAGTGTGCTACAAATATAGCTTTTTTTTACAACTAAACAGCTTGCACTATAGTTTTGTCATGAAGTATGGTATAATGACATCAAAATGGACTATTTCTAATTTGCAAAGAAAAATATTTGGAAATGTAAATATTTCAGAATGTCTTACTTGTATATTTCTCCTTCCACTATTTTTCTACCACACTACTACAAAAGTCCATGGGCATTCATCCGGCAAACGAACCCAGTAACAGCTAACTTTTTTTGTGTGCAATTAATATACACTTTTTTCAATAGGTGGCACTGTAGCTCCCTAGTCACCCTTCCCATTTTTTCAGACCAGTGTGCTACAAATCTGCAGCTTTTTTTTACAACTAAACAGCTTGCACTATAGTTTTGTCATGAAGTATGGTATAATGACATCAAAATGGACTATTTCTAATTTGCAAAGAAAAATATTTGGAAATGTAAATATTTCAGAATGTCTTACTTGTATATTTCTCCTTCCACTATTTTTCTACCACACTGTCCATAGGCATTGTGTCCCAAACTGAAAACTGACAAAAGAATGGGCATTCATTGTATCAACAAAATAAGAGGAAGCTCATAAATTGATAGCAGACAAGTATCAGTTTCTAGTTTCTCTAAGAAAACAAAATCATTGGACATGATAGACAATGATAAAAAACAAGGGTGCAAGTCCAGTTAATTCTGAGGTTATAAGCAGGAATCAAATAGGTGTGTGATTAATAATTAGATAGTTTGTACCAGTCAGCTGTATATTTTACAGTAAGTTGTTGCATTAAGGTTTAGGTCTTGTAAATCATGTAAGCCATTTCTACATGATAAATAGAAATTAACGAGGCAGATAATGACTGATGTATTCATCAAGTACCAGGCAATCATTGATGAGTTTAAAAATTATGCTTATCAGTATCACTTGTGTTGTTAATTAATTCAAGTTGTACAGATTAACATCCATACTACTTTTGAAGATAAACTTATGATTTTCTTGTCTGCCACCTCTGAAAATCAAACATGTCTACTACTTGCCCATTTATATATCATAATTATACAGAATATAACTTTCCAAAAATACATCTAAACAAATACTGTTTGGGAAAGAGAAGATTAGAAAATTGTTTTTCAACTCTTTTCATAGTGACAAACCGCATTAAAACTAGAAACTTGTTGACATGGCAACAAGTCTTTCTTGGTTATATGTGATATAGCACGCAGGAAGGAATCATACAAATACCTGCTATACGTAGACCCCCCCTCAAAAAACCCACTAAATTGTAATTTTTTTCAGAAACTGTAAAGGAAAATGGAAACCAGAAGTCTCTCATGAGACTTAAGCTCTACTGGTTTGAACTTAAAATGAAGGAGGAGAGAAGTTGCACTTGGACTTTGAAAACTTTGCAACTATAATAAACTGAATAATTATCCTTGTTTAGTCTCTTTTTGTGGCAAAATTTATCACAATCAGACTAAGACTGTATTTCATAGAAATTTCTATTTAAAATAACATGACAGCACCATTCATTGAAAATATAAAAAAAAAAATAGAATATGTATTATCTTAGTTTAGTCTGTGTGTGTGAGGAGTAATTATATCAAATTCAGACCAAACTGGAAGGAATGTTTGTCCAAAAACATTAACAAGGGCCTTGAATCGCTGAAACTTTGTCTGGTACAATGAAACACACTAAAATCACTTCTATGATGTCTAACTATATGTACACAGAATAAAACCTTTAAATTGAAAAGTGCTCCAAAAAACTTAACCTTCATTTTGACGTTTAAAAACTCGACGCCGAAGACGCCAGGATAATCAACTGACAAATGTGATGATTCTAAGCCCCTTATTGGTATTATCCAAGAACCCAAAATGCATCAATTGACATTAGTTTAATGATCAATAAGTAGGTGTGTGATTAATAATTAGAAGTTTGTACTCACTGTATATTTTGATATTGAATATTAAGGTTTAGGTCTTGTAAATCATTAAGCCATTTTTAAGATAAATAGAAATTAACAAGCTTTAAAATGAGAGAAAAACCTGGCAATTTTTATTAAAAATTGAATAACTTGTGTTGTTAAAAATTGAAAACAAAAAAACATTCTACTTTTGAAGATTATCTTATGAAGTTTTGAAGAGTGAAAATCAAACATGTCTACTACTTGCCCATTTATATATTATTTAATTATTTATTTGTTCACTTAATTATTGTATAATTGTTTCTAGTACTTACAATCACTTGTATTGTTGACAGGCAACAAGTTTTATAGTGATATACACACGGAATCATACAAATACCTGTTTATGTAAAAATCATTAAAAATTTTTTCAGGAAATTAAAGCAAAAAGTAATTGCTTTGAATATTTCTGGTTTGAACCGTTAGGAGAGAATTGTTGGACTTTGAAAACTTTGGTATAAATTTGTAGGAGTTATCAGTGTAGTCTCTTTTAGTAAGGCAAAATTAATCTGGAACATACTAAGAGTATTTCATAGAAATTTCTATTTAAAACAATCATTACAAATTTGATATATACCATTCAATATTTTTTTAAAAATATGTGTGTGAGTGCATTTAACGAACTTCACATGAGATTTGTTAATCCCAAATAATGGCATAAAACTTATCCTTTTTGGAAGAACTATCCTGTAATATAAATAAATTTTTTTAATGCAAGATGTATTTATTTTTTTATCGAGAGCCCAGGATAATCAACTGACAAATGTGATATTCGAAGCCCCTTATTGGTATTATTCGAATATCATCAATTGACATTAGTTTAATGATCAATAAGTATATGAGATATTTAAATATAGCCATAAAATGTCTAAAGTAAGTCACTGTGACCTACTTTATGGTTGAGAATCTCCGTAAACCCAAGATAAATCAACTGACAAAGTTTGAAGATTCTAAGCCAATAAGTACCTGAGATACCTAAATATAGCCATAAATTGTCAAAAGTAGGTCACCGTGACCTACTTTTTTGTCAACCATCTCCGAAGACCCAAGATGCATCAACTGACAAAGTTTGATGATAATAGGTCTGAAAGTATTTAAAATATGCCATTTTAATAATTTGAAAACAATTGCCTGAAAAATTTTAAAAGTAGGTCACTGTGAGCTACTTTTTGATAAAAATATTTTAAGGCCTCAAGGTGCATCAAATTACAAGGTTTGATGATTCTAAACCTCTCAGTATCTGAATGAATTGCCTTAAATATTTTAAAAGATATAAGCCATAAAATTCAAAAAGTAGTTAATTTGACATTGTTTGAGGACTCAGGATGCATCAACTTTCTTTTTCATTAATACACAACAAGATTACCACTTTTCCTAAGTATTAAGAATAAAATTAAAATTTGTGAAAGTGCAAGGATGTGTCAATCAAACCATCCAAAATTTTGAAGTTTCAATAACTTTTAGATGAAACTAGAACTGTCCAAACGGGACAAAATACCCCCCACTGGGTTTTTCAGAAGTAAGTTTTTCCATAAGAAAGATATGGACCAGACACGAATTATGAAATTTTTCTTCCAGTGACCTTGAACTTCCCCAAATGACCTTGGGTCAAGGTCATGACACACCCTTGGGTTATGGGCAATCTTTGTGTGAAATGAGAACCTACCAAGTTTATCCATAAGAAAGATATGGACCGGAAACGAATTGCGAAATTTTTCTTCCAGTGACCTTGAACTTCCCCAAATGACCTTGGGTCAAGGTCATGACACACCCTTGGGTCATGGGCAATCTTTGTGTGGAGTAGTAGATTCTAATGTCCCTCTGTAAGAAAGATATGGACTGGACACGTTTGCACAGACAGATGGACAGACGGACAGCTAGACAGACGGACAGATGGACAAGGTGATTCCTATATACCCCCCAAACTTCGTTTGCGGGGGGTATAATAAGATTTTTAATTTATTTTCATGTGAAATGCTATTACAATATATAAGTAGTGATATTATACAGAAAATATTAATTTCAAATCTGTGTATGCACCTTTCAGCAGGTGAAAAATTTTGTGTTTTTGCTTGCTCAAAGGTATGCCAATAATTTTGGTGGAATTTTTAAATAGGTGGACACAAAATTCAATAATACTTTAAATGAAAGAAAGTTCATCTTTAGATGATTTTTAAGTACATTTAATCTAAATTTGAAAACAATTCACAAAAAAGTTTCAGTAAAACGAATACCATATGAAAATTTATTTCTTTACGTTTTTACTCCAGTATTCTCAGTGAAACTTCGTATCTATAGAAACTGTTTTTCATGCACGAGCGATTTAGCGCTCACTATAAATACTTTTACCGGGGAATGTTCGATTAATGCGACGTTCGTTACAAAGAATCGCAGGTTGTTTTGTGTCTTTGGCTTTCCCTGCCCTCCCAGCCCTTGCATTGTTCATCTTAAGTTATGAGTTTGATTTGTATGTTTTGAATAAAAATGCGATTTGTAACGAACGCAACAATCCTACAGTATATTCTTTTTCTTTGTTTTCAATAAATTAGTCAAGAAAATATTTATTTGCGGAGGAGTGAAACGAGGGAGAAAATAAGATACATGCTTCAACAGCATACAGATCAAAGTTAACTTCATTTAGTTTAGTACTTATGCACAAAGATGCAAAAGCGATCAGAATTTTAGCAGATTGCTTCAGAAACACTAAAATAAGGAAAAATGAGCACCTGGCAAAAAATCTATATAAAACTATATGGTAATTAATGGTTATGCAATGCCTTCAAACAACAAAAATTGCCCTTAAACATTAATACTAATTAAAAGAAGGATAATATTCCCTTCAGAAAAATTAACACCTACATAAACTGTATATTTTTTTGATCCTCTAACGCACATGAAGTATTTAACCACACAAAAGAAAATTGTGATTGGTTTTGAGTTCTAGTGCACAGAATGATTTTTTTTAACTTATTTGTTTTATATGTAATCTTATTATCATGTCTGAGGCAAATAGAACAAATAGGGTATTATCTGATATATATTCTGTAAAATTTTTGCATTCTGTAAAAATATTTGATAAATATAGGACATTATGTGATACACATTTAAGAATTTGTGAAAATGACATTGAAATGGGTGTAAAATTCACTCAGCTTTAATGTTAAAAGTTCAAGGGGCAAAACTGTCAAAAATCATTGGACCACAACCATAATCCAAATTGATCTGTGTTTTCTGTACTTAACATAGATGCCTATGAAATTTCAACCACAGACATAAATCCCTATGAAAGTTAGAGAGTGGAAACTGAAAATGTCTCCTAATTTTTTCTAAGTTCAAGAAGGATAACTCCATCAAAAACCATTGAACCATGACCAAATTTTAACTTGACCTGCATATTTCTATGACGTATCCAGGTCAAATTTCAGTTGAATGTGTGCAACTGTTGCCAAGCTAATGGACAGAACAGAATGTCAATGATGACGAAATGACAGAATGATGGAACAAGGTATATATGCACTCGACCATTGTATGTTGGGGCGTAAAAATGAAGTGAAAGTCTTATCTCCCCGTTAACAAGAGATGTAACACTTATGCTCCCCCTCCCCCAAATAATTGGAATTTTTTTAAGTCCAAAGGGTATAATTCTGTCAAAAATGGCCTGAACGTCTCCAAAACATAACTTAACCTAGATATTCTTCTGATAAATCTGTATAATAAATTTCATTTTGATATGTGCAACCTCTGGAAAGAAAATGAACAGAAACTGATGGTGGACCAACAGACAGACTGACTAACCAACCAACAGACAGCAGCAAAGCAATATGCCCTTCCTTCTTTGAACGGGTTGATAAATATAATTTTCCCTTGTTGAGCCTCTCCTTGGTACATTACTTACCCCCTTCCTTATCTGTGAGGACTAACGTGTGGGCACGCCCACAGGAGACATCTACCACCTCTGTAGACTGGGGGCACTCCAAGGGGAGAGGAATCAGCACCGGCTCTATGATGTAATCCAGCACTCTATCTGTAATTCAAAAGCTTATTTCCAGTACTTCATATTTATAAAGACCATTTACATGTACATGTACTACTTTTTACCAATAAACAACAAGTTTCCTACATGTATTTTCATTCAGATAACTTCCTGTATGTTCTCAACACTTAATTTTACATATATCTACACCTTTAATTGTTGGGTCCCAAATGTGTGAAACCTGTCAAGTCTTAATGGGACAGAAATTGAGAATCGTTTGATGAAGCATTTATTATCAACCAGTCGTCAATGTGATCAGATAAGTCCATATCCTCTTATACTTGATTACCTGTCTGAAATATTATATTATATAATAATTTAAAATTAATAATTTTCCATTCACTCACATCAAATTTATTTTCAAATTAATAGCAACCAGAACTAAGAACTATTTAATTTGACTAATGCTAATTTATTGCAATGGAAGGCCAAATTCCTCTGGTCAAAACCCAAGAGATAAAAAAAACACTAGCTTGATCAAAGATGCTGAGCCAGATTTCTCCTAACACTGAACTCAAGAATTTATCCCTAATTTGATGAAAATCTCCTTAAAACACCATGAGACCACTGATTAACATTACACCCATGAAAGAAGTGGAATTTTTTCTTCAACCTTAAAGAAAGCCTGATGATTCCAAGCTTAAAAATTTTCCAGTTATGAGCCAGACAGCATTTTACTGTATTTGATTATTTAAATCAATTTAATTTTGATTGTAACTTGTCATTTGAAATTAATTTATATTGTGTAATCTGTGTTCCCAATGTCACAATGAACTGCGTCAGAAACGTATCAATCAGCTTGCAGTTACATTTAAAAAACAAACAATTTGAAGGCAATTTAAATCAATGGAAAAATTTTCATATTTTTTTTTTACACTTACGGATAAATCAAATTAAAAGGAATGAATTTAATAGCTTTATAGGTTATGTAGCTATTAAATTCATGTCTTCCTTAAATATCATCTTAAGGGGTACCAGCACTCTGATAAGGCAGATAACATTCTTAAAAAATTATCTGAATACTGTTTTCCATTTGAAACTTATGCTATTGCTCTTATAGAAAGCAATACATGTATTGGGAAGTTTTAAAAAATGTGAAATTTAGAGCAGAGGGTTATTAGTTCATAGCGACCTACGGTACTTTTAATGTTGGTCACACCTTCTGTTGACAAATTTTGAATACTGTATTGTGAAATCACAAATTTTCATGGGGGTTTAATTTTCGTTGTTTTCGAGATATGAAGAGACCCATGAATTCATGTCCACCATGAAATGTAAAAATACTATAAATACATAATTACTCAACATTTCTTCATCCACGAAATCAAATCCCCACGAAGCAAGAGTTTTTACTTAAACCATGAAAATTTGACCCCATGAAAATATGTGATTTTACAGTATTCTAGACTTTATAGTATTAGGTCTTAAGACAGCTACATAAAAAGCAAACATCTATATACAAATTGTATGTTATTATATAGAGAATAATACATAACTGACCCTTTTTTTACAATATGGTGTCTCGGGCTGATACAGGATGTGATGTGGAAAAGGGTCGGCCCTCTGGCTGATATTGGTGTCTCGGGCTGATACAGGATGTGATATGGAAAATATGTATTAATATGACCCCATGAAAATATGTGATTTTACAGTAAATTCTAGACTTTATACTATTAGATCTTACATAAAAAGCAAACATCTATATACAAATTGTATGTTATTATTGTGTTGTTTATTCTTCTGATATCATTTATTTACAAGTATCTATTTTTTTTTGTTACAGAGCAGTTAGATTTATTTGTTGTGAAATTCAATGTACATATGATCAAACCCTGTTACACATCTGTGTTTGTACATCTTTGTTTACGTGGTCTGATTGGTTGCAAAAAAATTATATACCCTTTGCCAGTCTAGTGTTTTGGGAGAAGAAATTGAATACCTACAGACAATAGCTTCAAGACACCAGACAGACAATGAGCGATTCTGACCAGAAAAGCTCCTTGGGCTTTTGGCTCAGGTGAGTTATGTGTCGAATCAAAACACCCCCCCATCCCTGCTTTAAACCTTACACTTTATGATTTTTTCTTCCATTTATTGGCTGACCTGCTTTGGTGGTGCCTTTGTGGTACCCCAGCTGAGAGTCTGTGTTGATTCCACAACCATACAACTTCCTCTTCCCATCAGGCCCTTGTAGAATGAAGACTGTAAAACCATACCCACAGTCCAAGGACCGGGCCTACAAAAATCAAAGTACTGACAGGATCTATGGTACAGTGGAATGAGCGAATTATGAAATAACTTAGGTCACTTTTTTTAATTAGTTGTTTTTCAAAACAGCCGACTTAAAATTCAACAAATTTTTTAAAGTAAAATTTTTTTATGGACATTTTTTATTATTTTAAATTGCTGCTGAAAAATACAAAACTAGATTTTTGGGGGAAAAAAATGTGTCATATGCAAAATGGCGACGACCACGGAAAGGAGCATGTCAGCAATGGCTCATTTCTTCCGAGTCAAAATTTAACATACATTAGGTAAAAAAAAAAAGAGCATTTTTATTTCATGGTGAGTGCAATAAAAAGGAAATTTAAACAAGGTTTTTTTTTTTTTTTAATAGGAATCACTCAGAAGTTTTCTTCAATATGTAAATAAGAGTGTTGGTAAAATGGAACATCAACAAAGAAACATTTCAAGTTAAAATAAATTGGGATCAAACGATATACCGCAACATGAAATCAAAAATTAAAATCACTCCTAAAATAAGGCAAACATACACATTTTGTTTAAAATATGTATTTATTATTTTAAACTAGAGTAGATTAACATACAAAAAGCAGTTTAATTGCAGTTAAAAGATTATATAATTTTAACAGTGTAACAACTCCATCGTATTCTATCGTCTCTGTTTAGTAGGACCGCTTTTCAACTGACTCTTCTTTTTTTTTCAATTGACCGACCTATAGTTATTTTTTTTGAAAATAGTTTTGAAAAACAACTTATTAAAAAAGTGGCCTTATCAAGTCCAACTGGAAATTCCATTATGATTCACAATCAAAATTAATTGGATTTTTTATTTACGTAATAAAATACATGTACTCTACATACTCTATATTGTTGTTTCTTTCATCTATATAGCATAAAGTGCACATGTACGCCTATATTTAAGTTAAATGAACTGAGTTACTGATACATTTATTTGACTTTGGTAATTAAAGGTAGAAATACTACTTGTTTTCAATTTCAGTTCCACGAAAAAACATTTTAAAGTCCATAAAAATAATGTTTATCATATTGACTATTGAAATATAAAAGATTTTTATTTTCATGTTTTTGTTTTTGTTTTTTTTTTTTGATATATTGCTATTAAAAACTTTACACTCAATGTTCACATAGTTCATATTTAATTTGAATTTGTTCAGAGAAATAATGCAAAATGCATCTGTATAATGTACATTAAATCTGTAAGATTTTTGTCCAGTTTTCAAATCTGTAACTATAGCTTGACTTGATGTATACTGGGTTATTTTTCACCTGTGTTATTTTCACCTCACACTTGCAAACAATTTAATTGCCCATTCATAGATCTGTTTCAGAAGTCATACTGTGTTCTTTGAATTCACCCCCTTTCAAATCTGAGTAGGGCAAAGGGCTGAAAATCAGACATGGACAAACATTTCCCTGTATACAGTATCACCAGGTTTTAGTTAAGTATTCTGATTCATTTACCCTACAATTTGACTTACGACTAAGTTGTTCTCCAGTAGAAATCGCAGTCTTGCTGGTCTGCTCATCTGGGCCAGGTATTTCTGTTTCTTCTCTTTATGCCTAAGATAAGAGCTGATGCCTAAAATAGTGAATTTAATGTATTTATCTGACTCATGTTCAAAGCTGCAATGTCCATTCTATGTAAAAAAAAAAAAAAACATAAAAATTATACTGTAGTGTGAAGTTTTCACATTTGGAGGGGGATACAAAGTGACAAGTCTCTTTGTACTAATGAAAGCCACAAAAATTGACCTCCAAGAAAATAAGTGATTTCACAGTACATTGTACTTATATTGAATTGTAAATTTTGGATGTTCAACAGGTTATAATGTGGACGGACCATGCATTAGCACATTAAGAGAATTTGTCTGTATACCTGTCCCTCTTTTAAGAAATTGAAGTCTAAAATTTACAACCCAATACTTACATTTTCATTTTTAAATGTCATAGTTGATTGATAATAAATCATGTACTTTTTTGAAGTTTAGAATATTTGCCTGGTTTAAAATGACATATTCCACACATGTACAGTACATCTATCATAAGGAAGCACACGATACTGTTCAAAATAAGCAGGAATTTAGATTTTTGCTAATGACATAGCAAATATTTGTGATGTCAAAATTAAAATCATATTAGCGTAACATTTTGAATTCTCTGTCCATGTGATGGTGTTTTGAATACTGAAGCTTTCCACACATATTACAAGGAAACATGTGCCAGTTAAGCATATTCAGAATATTACCAGTATATCCACTCAAAGATCTATATTTCACAGGGATGGTACCAGATATTTGGGAGGGGGGTGGGGGGGTCTCACACATTTTTATATATATTTTTTTTTTTTAAATAGTGAACTTTTTACTGAGAGAAAAAGGGATTTTGTATAACATAATCCCTGTAATGGTATACTGAGTAAGGTACCTTTAAGTTAGACATGCCGGTATATTGTTGTGACTGTAGGATATTAAATATTGATGCATTTCATCATTGCTTATTTTTGAACAAGCTGGATTGACAGGAGTAGTTAGGTATGCAATATATTCATGATTTTGCGGGTGAACTGCATTCATATAGGATTGTCTTTCTCATGATGAATTTTCATTGAACCCTCTTATCACCCTGTTGAGATCATAATATAATTTAGCAATATGGTCCCTCAAACACAAGATCAACAAAGTCTTAAAACAAAACGCACAGTGTAGGAGGAGGTACCAGTAACTATGATCAGGATAAGCTACATTACTGTGTGTATACATGACCTTGTCGGCTAATCCTTACCCAGAGCCCCAGTGGAGGCACAGCCCCACACATACACCCTCTCAGCTTTAGGCAGGTTATCCAGGGCATTCAGTTTTTTCCTAATCTCTGATTTTCTGGATGACTTTGGTATTTGTGAGTAGCCCCTTTTCTGCGACTGTAGAAAGCAGGATTTGGAAAATTTGATGCCACATGACATACACGTGAAGAATTCTTTCACAACTTTGTTCTGCATCTGATGCATATTTTCCTACAAAAAAAAAATCAAATGAAAATATAAAATAAAAAATCACAACTTCATAATTAATTACTAGTATATGTACTTGAAAAAAAATTGTTTTGATACTTTTCTCAGACAAAAACTAAACTAAAATAATATATATAAGAGAAAATCAAATTATTTAAGAAATGAAATTTTTAAGAATTCTAGAGGACATGCACTAAGATGTTTCACATCTACATCATGAAGAGTCTTAGTGCTTAATGATAAGTATGCCAGCATGAAGTGTCCTAGTTCACGTACCTCATGAATTCTCAAAAATTAAATTCATTAAGGGATGACTTTAATAGCAACCCAAGTTATACTGTATGACGTGGGTTGGGGCAGTTTACTAACTCTTTATAAACCGCTAAGGAGTAAACTGCTCCGATCTTGGTTATATACCAGTATAACTTGGGTTGTATTTAATTCATTTCTTATAATTCAATTTTCAATCATTATGTATACAAAACAAAACAATTTCTTCCATACAAATGCCTTCAAATTGTTCATACATGTATTTTAAACGTAACATCAAGCAGATTCATTGATATGTTTTTGACATCAGTCATTGTGATAGGCAACCCAGGTTATACAATTTAGATTAATTTTTATGCTCCCCGATCGACAGATCCGAGGCGTATATTGTTTTTGTCCTGTCTGTTTTTCTGTTTATCTGTTTGTCTGTTTATCTGTTTGTCTGTTTGTCTGTCTGTCTGTTGTCAACTTTAACCTTCGCCATAACTTTTGAACTATGAGAGATACAGACTTCATATTTGGTATGCATACTTGACCAATAAAGCTCTTTCAAATGGCACCAAGGTCAATGACCTTGTGACCTTGATTGTGACCTATATGCTAAAAATAGCTTTTTCGAACTTTTTGCCATAACTTTTGAACCATGAGAGATAGGTATTTCATATTTGGTATGCATAATTCACTAATAAAGTTCTTTCAAAGGACACCAAGATCGATGACCTTGTGGCCTTGACTGTGACTTATCTGCAAAAAATAGTTTTTTTTAACTTTGTTACCGCTGGGCACATAGTGTTTCACAAACACATCTTGTTTATCCATTTAAATGACATGTTACAACCATAATAAATTATTCTCTTATATTTACTTTATTTTCTGATGGCTTGTCACATTTTTTGTCATTCAATGATCATTTTTAAAAAGTTTTCACAATTAATCTGTTTTTTTTTAAACTTCAATAACATGTATTTCACATCCCACAGTAGTTAATGGGAATGTGAACTTTTTTCCAATTTGCAAAGAATCTTAGGGAAAATATTTGGAATTGTAAACATACATCAGAAATTAACTAACTGAACAAAAATACATCTCAGTTTTTGAATATCAAATTAATTAAAGAACAGCATGTTTGTCACTGAATCCCTTCAACTATAAATGAACAATCACATGACAAAAACAAACAAAACTTTATTTAGCAATTGATTTCACAGTATATCACACAAGTACCAAACAATGATTCAGTGGGAAAAGGCACTCACCTGAGCACTGTGGCTAGGAAAATCAAATCAGGAAATGCTTAAGTGGTCCCGATCCTAAAAGGGGGGGGGGGGGGGGTGATTTGAACAAACTTGAATCTATGCATACTTGAATCTACACTAACTGAGGATGCTAACATATTTTTTTGACTAACTGTGGCTTTTTTTCCCAATAAGTTATTATGTATTTTTGTGGTCCCATCCAATCCTGGGGGTCATGATTATAACAAATCTTTATCTAAACTACCCGATGATCTACCACATAAACAAGACCAATCAAGATTTTTATAGATTTTTCCTATATATTCCTATGTAAAATTTTGATCATCCATTGTGGCCCCGCCCAACCCCAAGGGTCATGATTTGAACAAACTTGAATCTACACTACCTGAGGATACTTCCATATATATATATGACCAATCATGGCTTTAATGTTATCAAGAAGATTTTTAAAGATTTTCCCTATATATTCCTATGTAAAACTCTGATCGTCCATTGTGGCCCCACCCTACCCCCAGGGGTCATGATTTGAACAAATTTGAATCTACACTACCTGAGGATGCTTCCACATTAGTTTCATCTTTCCTGCCCCAGTGGTTCTTGAGAAGAAGAATATTGAAAGATGCCATTAATTTTTCAGTAATTTTCAATTATCTCCCCTTGGAATGGGGCATGGCCCTTCATTTGAACAAAATTGAATCCCCTTTACCCAAGGATACTTTGTGGCAAGTTTGGTTGAAATTGGTCCAGCGGTTCTTGAGAAGAAGTCGAAAATGTGAAAAGTTGACAGACGGACAGACAGACAGCTAGACGGACGCTGGACAAAATATGATCAGAAAAGCTCACTTGAGCCTTCGGCTCAGGTGAGCTAAAAAAGTTAAGAACCAATTCAATTTATAAGTGCATTCACTTAAAATAAATTTAAAAATGACTAATTACTTGTGATAAATCAATGCAAATTCCCTCAATAAAATTTAATATGTGAATGTTTTTCTCAATCACATTAACAATATCTGTAAATTGCTTTTTATCAATTTAAAATATTCCAGGAATATTTTAAGTGAAATAATCATTTTTGATATTATCAGGTGCATAATAGTGTATAAACAAATGCATCATGAAACAGTGGGTTTTGACTACGAAATCAGTGTTTTCCCTTCTTTCCATAGAGTTAAAGATCAGTTTTAGCAGGCTAGGGGCTGAGGTTTATGAACAGAATCTCTGTTGACCTTACAACAAATTTTTATTTCAAAGCAGCATTTTTGTCAATATTGAAGTGGTCAATTTGGCCGGTAGCCATTTTTTTGGCCAAAAAAAATAGTCTTGTTTCCTGCTAACTGACCTACCCTATTTTTTGCACCCACCCTTAAGTTTTTTTCCCCTTAGTTTTAGGGGAAAAAATTGGAAATTTCATGTGTCAAAAAAAAAAAAAAATTAAATATGGACTTTAACAAAATTCCATGCGAGTTGTGCATCAAAAGACATGGAATTTCATTTTAAAAGATAAAACTGACCTTTAATAATTTTCCTTCCAGCCTACCCTATTTTTTTCAGGCTGGTAGCAGTAAAACAAGACCATTATTTTTTTGCCTTAGGGAAAACACTGGAATTTATCTCAAACATTTGGATTCTTGTTTATATCACATAGTACCCATCAATACGCGAGTTTCAAGATTGTAACTCTCCTGCGATAGAGGCGCAAAAAGTATCCATTTCAGCATGGAGGTGGGACCATGTATATAAACGTGCATAAATAAATGAACGATGATTACGGCTTTTAAAATTTATTTAATGTTATAGAAAGATAAAGATGTTAAGCAGTGATGCATTTTATGATTTTATTAAGCTCAACTGTGTTTATTTATTAATCTACTTTCAATAATAGGGTACTTGAAAACGAAATAAACATCGTGGTCTTTATAAAAGTAAAAGATTTTCTTGACTGTACAAACATTCTCTAAAAAGTTAGCGGGTTTTTTTAAGTTATAATAGGTAAAAAATCAATATTTTATTTAAATTGTCGACATGTAATGATCAGATTCATTTTTACTGTATTTATTAGAGGTCCATATAGCTCTTCCCTCGTCTGAAAAGTCTCACATCCACAGAATTTTCTTTTTTGTTCCGATTTTTTTGCTTTAAAAAATGACACCTTTACTTTAATTCAGTTATTCTCGAGTTGAACAATGCATCCTTACAATTATATAATGAAGAAAAACTAGTATATCGATGATGCGATATGTACAATAATAAATATCTGTCCCACCTGTTTGTTTACGCGGCAACCAAATTCCCCTCCTCAACGAAAGAGCGCACCAAGGGAGATAATCTCGAAACTTGCGTATTGCCTGCCAAGAAAACTGACATTAAAAAAAAAAAATTGGCAAAAAAGCCACAAACTTGCTCGATTTGAATTTTCTGCAATCCAATGTAGCAAAATCAAATCAAGCTAGTTGATCACCTGTACAGATAACTAAAAGGGGTTGGAAGTTGACGCAGATTGGTTAAAAATGTGTCTTGAAATAGGGAGTGAAAAATAGTTGATTGATCAATGCTGGAAAGTGGAGAAATTCTCCCCAACAGTGGACAAAAATTCTTGCATCATCTTGTGTCGTAAATTGTATACTTTTTGCAGTACAGGATCTGTTGCGTTATGGTCAAAGACTGATATAGAAAAACATTACACTACAGTTCTGCAGTTAATCCAGTAATAGCAAGTTCTCCAAAAGGTATGACACTCATCAGTGAGAGTTCTAAAAGCAAAGCTACGATGACGAAGAAAAAATTTGGACTAACTAAACAAAGCTACTTAAAGTATTTAAATAAAGATATGAATGTAAATCCAAATTTGCAGCTGAATGTAGTGATTGTATGAGTGTGTATTACATCACAGATGTACAGAATTTTGGCTAGGATCTACGAGTACCATGATTATAAACAAAGTTGTACGTCCCAACAGTCGTAGGTCAACATTTATTCTGCGTCATTCTTTGCATTATTATGCATTACCTGTGTGTTATTTACATGTATTAGAAAAATTTTCTTCAAGACTCGCCAAGCAGCAGTTTATTGCTTTGGTAGAAACTGTTCTTTTCGGATGATAACAACAATTCGTCAATCGCGACATGAGACTGAGTTCATGGGGGCTGCCATATTGTAAATTAGATAACTCGTACATAGTATGACGTCAACTTGTACCTTTACTGAGTCGTAAAATAAAAGGAAGGTAATTTTGTCATTCGAACTGTGGACACTCCTCAAACTAGTTACTTGATACTCTATCTCCTTAAAAATTACTTCAATTTTCACAAATTGCAGATATAAAACGTTAACAATCCCCTCTCTCTCTCTCTGATAACTGATAAAGTGCAGTCACGAGTAACTATAGATCTATGTAGATTGATTGAAATACTTCCTTACTGAAACTTTATACATTTTATTTTTATTGCTTATCATTGAAAAAAAAATTGTCAAATCTCAATGTGTAAAAGGAATTTTTGTATGTAGTTAAGACAATTCATTTTAGATTATTGAAGAATCCATGTACAAACCAGAAAAATTGCACAAATGAAAAACGAACCCATTAACGAGTTGGTCACAAGAAAGAAAAGATGGCATCGTGTCAAAGAAATCTTTTATTTCTTAGAGAAAATAATTAATGCTAAAATCATGGGTCTTATGATATAAAATATTTCTTATGTAGTTTCTTCAATGTTCTAAACCAGGATAGCGTTTTACAAAATTTAGGCGATTTAACCTTTTTGAAAACCATCACATGAAGAGTAATAACTTTATAGTTCGCAGAAATCAATGTATACCACCTTTGTTATTTGCACTACGGTTAGGATAATAACCTGATAAGAATGGAGGCGTACAAGGCGAGGACAATCCCCCGCTCTGAGAAAAGGCATTTCTCAATTCTAAAAGATCATGAAAAGTCATATTTTTCAAAATTATATTGTTTATATCATTTTAATATTTTATTAATAATTTATTTTTCACTCATGTTTTTAAGATATGTGTAAACAAAATAGAAAAAGCTTCACGTACACAATGATTCGAACTCTCTCCATGTAGCGCAGCGTTTGGTCCAAGGCCGACCGCTTTAACCACTACGCTACGAAGTAATTTACATTGTCGACTTCCACCGTGCCATAGCGTTACTATGATGCAATTATTCCGTAACGTATGATGAAACGATTCTTTATGGAGTTTTTACATGGAGATTTGACCAAGGTAAGTTAATGTCGTATTTGTATGCCTTAAACGCAAAATAGCCCTAATTGTGTTAGCCCTTGCATTATAGGAATGACACAGGCATCTGTTGACATAATGGACAATGTCCAGTTATGCGCCATTTTCTTAAACACTTTGCATTTTCATAATAGAGAGGCTAAAAAGTTCGATTTATTCATAGAACTTTTTTCCTAATCATGTTACAAGATCAGCTACAAGTTTACCATAATGAAAATTCGTTGTTTTTCCATTACACTCTTGAATTGTGATGAAAATATTTATTTAATCGCTTTTAACATGGGTTTTTAGAAGTAACGTATGATGCAACGATTCCCATCATCAGTAACGTGCGATGCAACTATTCTTTAACAATCGTATTATTAGACCAATATGTTGGATTTCTTTACTAGGACACGTTTCAAAGTAGGGTAATAAAATTACTCATTGCTTTCTTTTTATCACAGAATACCAAATGGTTAAGAAAAAAGCAAAACTTGACTAAAGAACGGCTAAAAGAAAAAAGTACAGCAAGAATAACGTCATTTCATCCCCTTACCCAACTCCGAAAAGAAGAAAATTTCTACTCCATTTAAATCCAAAAATTGACATGTTGATGCCCCAAACAGAAACACTGTAAAAACTCCATAAGGAATCCTTTCAACATACGTTACGGAATAACTGCATCACAGTAACGCTATGGCAAGGTGACTAAATATGACATTTTTTTAAAACGTGCTAATTTCGGCGAATTTTTATTTTTACCTTAATGAGGGTATTCAGACACACATAGAAAAACACATAATACACAAAATAAACTATCCTGTAACCAAGCGCCTATGATCTCAAATTTAAAAACAATTTTAGGAGAGTGTAATAAATCATCAAACTTGGCAACAAATATATAAAATTAAGTGTTCTCTGAATACATGCCATAATACCTCAGCTTCGCAGGTTAAAGAAAACTGGGAAAATCAAGCGATAGACCCTAATCACAATTTCTTTTTTTATTTATACAAAATTTTATTCGCAAATAAATTAAAGTAAACTGGGCTTGGGCAACAGGCAAAGTCTATTTTGGCTCTCTCCCTGCTAATGCCTTTACCACCGTGCCATAGCGTTCCCATGATGCAGTTATTCCGTAACGTATGTTGAAAGGATTCCTTATGGAGTTTTTACAGTGTTTCTGTTTGGGGCATCAACATGTCAATTTTTGGATTTAAATGGAGTAGAAAAATTTCTTCTTTTCGGAGTTGGGTAAGGGGATGAAATGACGTTATTCTTGCTGTACTTTTTTCTTTTAGCCGTTCTTTAGTCAAGTTTTGCTTTTTTCTTAACCATTTGGTATTCTGTGATAAAAAGAAAGCAATGAGTAATTTTATTACCCTACTTTGAAACGTGTCCTAGTAAAGAAATCCAACATATTGGTCTAATAATACGATTGTTAAAGAATAGTTGCATCGCACGTTACTGATGATGGGAATCGTTGCATCATACGTTACTTCTAAAAACCCATGTTAAAAGCGATTAAATAAATATTTTCATCACAATTCTAGAGTGAAATGGAAAAACAACGAATTTTCATTATGGTAAACTTGAAGCTGATCTTGTAATATGATTAGGAAAAAAGTTCTATGAATAAATCGAACTTTTTAGCCTCTCTATTATGAAAATGCAAAGTGTTTAAGAAAACGGCGCATTACTGGGCATTGTCCGTTATGTCAACAGATGCCTGTGCCATTCCTATAATGCAACGGCTAACACAATTAGGGCTATTTTGCGTTTAAGGCATACAAATACGACATTAACTTACCTTGGTCAAATCTCCATGTAAAAACTCCATAAGGAATCGTTTCATCATACGTTACGGAATAATTGCATCATAGTAACGCTATGGCACGGTGACTTCTGTCAGTGTGACTTAAATGAACAGGTTTGTTGAGGCGTACATTTTTTTCAGAAATTTTCGATTTTCATACAGAATGGGTTCAGATTCCATTTTTTGGACGAATGAAATAGATTTCGCATTTACGTTTCCATCATTTGAGGCTTGACCCATTCATGTTCAAAATTCATTTTTTTATAGCTCTAGTAAACCCATTTTCCACTAAATATGTTTAACTCTCAACTTTGAAATAAAGATTATCAAATAATAAGTCGTTCAGTAAAAAAAAATGATAAAATGTTTTGAAGATGACATTACCGAGAACATGATTTTAGAAAAAAAATATAACTTTTCTGTGAATTTCGAAAATTGAGAAATATTTTGCCTCATAGCGGGGGATTGTCCACGCCTTATACGCCCTCTTTTTTTATACTATTATATTGCAAAAAAATAAGAAACCCCCAAAATCTTATTTCAAGATCGTTTATTTTCAGTCAATATTGTGAGTGTGTCAGATAATTTAAATCATAAAATTTAAATCATCAGACATATTTCCATGACATTTCCCGATGACATTGTTTCTATGACATTTTCCAGGAATGCTCATCCTCTGTACTCCCGATATCAAGGGGCGCTGCCTCAAAACAGAAGTCTTCTGCTCCCCAGAATTCCATGTGAGATTGGCGGGTGTTTGGGCGCGAGTCACGTGGTGAGGGCAACCAGAACAAATCTGAAGCAACAATAATAAATGAGTAGTTCATTCCATACTACGACCAAAAACAAGAAACACGCAGGCCCTAGCATCAGGAGGGACAGGGACAGGGATGGGGTGGCCTCCCACTTTTTTGAAAAACTTTTTACCATCGAAAATGTTCAATGAAAGCCCCCCCCCCTTTTTTCTGTATTTTTTCTGTATAGTCAAGCGAGAGTATTGTAGTACTGTATGAATAAAAGTTGGTTCTGAAAGAAAAAGGAAGTTGGAACTTACCCCCATCCCACGAAACAGGATTTTCGAGTGCGAGGGTTATGTATTACTGAAAAAATGGATAGAAGGTGGAACCTACACCCTACCCCAACCCAACAATCCCCCCACGAAATAAGATTTTTTGAGATTGGGCTTTTTTTTGACTGTCAAGTTTTTTCAGGTAAGTTTAATTCCCCCTTCTAAAACGATGAGCAACGTCCCTGACCCACAACACTCACCTGAGTAACTTTGGACCAGATGTTCTTGGTTAAAACATATTTGATTGTCTTTAAATTATACAAATGAGATGTGAAAAAATAAAACTAAATACATGTATTCGCACCTTTTACCTCGATGAACGGTGTTCCCATGACAACCAAAAATAGAAATATCTGTATAAAACTTAAAATACATGGAAAATATGGAATCTATACCTGTGTTTTCTGTTAATGGCTTAGGACGCCCTTCTTCGCTGGATGAAGACTGATTAACAGTGATAGGTTCATACTTCCGGTCCATTTGTTTCAAGTCCATCGGTTTGGGTTGGTTCGATTCTGTTCTCTTCATTTCAGCGATAGCCCGGAATGCTTGCTGCCACTGAGACTGGGACTTTGGAATCGAACTCTCCTCTCTATTTTTGCGTATTGGGGTACCAATATCAATCATAGGGCGGGGCTTGTTTGACACATCATGTAATTTGTTGTCCATAAGAGACTCCCAGCTACTCGGTGGGTTTGAGCCTGTAGCGTCTTCCTTAGCTGTTTTGGGGTGTTCTACATTAGATTTAGCTTTGGTGACATTTTTAAGTTTTTGCCACAAATTTGCCTTTTCCGTGTTCTGTTTTGAGGAAGTCTCATTTTCTGGTATGTTATCATGTTCAGTCCAATCTTTCGGGCGTTTTGCTGTCGGTCGATTTCGCTTAATGCTCTTTCCTAATCTACGACAAAAAACTCAATGAAACAAACAAACAAGAACAAAATATTTATCAAATGTATACTGTACTTCTATTAGTAATCTACAATACTTTTTAAAGTGAAATATCTAACAAAAATACTTTTTTTCCATTTTGTATATACGGGAAAGGGTTCCTGATAATGAGTGATATTTAGAGATGAAATTGTTGTTTAAAACCCCCAACCTCCCATATCTCCCCATATCTATAAACAAGGTACATATGCGAAATACAATCAAGGGAGTGTTCTATATGCACTGCATGCAGTGTATATACTCGTATGTGAATTATTTTTGTGCTTTAAAAATGCTTACCCACTTTCGTTCTCCATATTTTAAAAGGGTCATCTTTCCACTAAGTATAAATATTAAAGCAATAAAACAACATTTCCCTGTGCATTTATTTTCATTTTAATGACGGATTGTCTTTGATTATAATTCCATACACTCAAGTTTTTCCTAATTATAGGCAGAACTATTCGGTTGGTTGCTTTTACATAATACGAGAAAGTAATGTTTGAATATCAAATATCAAACAAAAACAATACTGGAAATTCTAAACCGTCTTTTATGAGAGGTCTATATACATGAATGCACGGGGGAGTAAATGGATATTAAACAATCTCAGACAAACCGTTCCCAAACATACTGATTCAAAACTAGATGATCCGCTCCTAAATATGTGGATACAACACAAGACGATATGCTCCTAAACATTTTAATACATAACAAGATGATCAGCTCGTAAACATGTGAATACAATACGAAGCCGATAATGATACTCTCCTAAGTATTTTGATACAAAACAAGATGATCCGCCCCTATACATTTTTATACAAAATAATATGATCCGCTCCTATTCATGTTTATAATAAGATGATCCGCTCATAGACATGCTTATAATAAGATGATCCGCTCCTAAACATTTTGATACATAACAAGACGATACACTCCTAAACATGTGGATACCAAACGAAATGATACTCTCTATTTTGATACAATACAAGATCATGATCCGCTTCTAGACATTTTGATACAAAATAAGATGATACGCTCTTTAACATGTGGATACAAAACGAAATGATACTAGTCCTAAGTATTTTGATTCAAAACAAATTGGTCAGCTCATAGACATTTTGATACATAACAAGATTATCTGCTCTGAAACATGTGGATACAATATGATATACTAAGTAACCCGGTCTTAAACATGTGTATACAAAACGAGATGAAACGCTTCTAAATGTTTTGATACCAAACTAGATGATCCGCTCATAGACATGCTTATAATAAGATGATCCGCTCCTAAACATTTTGATACATAACAAGACGATACACTCCTAAACATGTGGATACCAAACGAAATGATACTCTCTATTTTGATACAATACAAGATCATGATCCGCTCCTAGACATTTTGATACAAAATAAGATGATACGCTCTTTAACATGTGGATACAAAACGAAATGATACTAGTCCTAAGTATTTTGATTCAAAACAAATGAGTGAGCTCCTAGACATTTTGATACATAACAAGATTATCTGCTCTGAAACATGTGTTTACAATATGATATACTAAGTAACCCGGTCTTAAACATGTGTATACAAAACGAGATGAAACGCTTCTAAATGTTTTGATACCAAACTAGATGATCCGCTGCTAGACATTTTGATACAAAAGAAGTTGATCCGCTTCTTAACATGTGGATACAAAACGATATAACCATCAATGTTAGCTTGCTCTTGGGGTGAAAAACAAAACAAAACTAGAGGTACTGTGAGCAATGAGCTCACTAAATAATACCCCCCGCCTCCCATATGAATAATATATGGCAGTAATCCATGTTTTGCTCTGGAAAATTCAAAGTATATGTCAGATCAAAAAGTAAAATAGGAGGTGCACAATGGCAATATGTAATCAAGATTCTGTGAAAGTTTCATTAAATTTCCTTCATTGGTATGAGAGGAGTTGCGGATAATTTAAGAGAAGGGTACCCCAAAGCGTAACAGACGGACAGACGGACGGACGGACCCACGAAATGCAGGTTATGTGATTGACAAATTTATGTGACTTTTTCCAAATTTATGTGACTTTTTCCAAAAAAATTATGTGGCGCAAAACATGATACATGGGGTAAGGGAGGTAAATCTCAAAACCTTTTGACGGACGTCCATATACGGACAATATTGTCCGTATTTTTTTATGTGACACTTCTTTAGAGTGATTTTTAAGTCACATAACACTCATTTCTGCTAAAAAAAATCAAATTTGTATGTGACAGTCACATAAAACAAAAGAGTCACATAAATCTTAAATGGGCACAAAAACTGTCACTTAACCATTATTTCGTGAGAACGGACAGACGTACAGACGGACGGAATTAACGATTACTATATACCCTCCCGCTTTTCAAGCGGGGGGTATAACAATCAACATAACATTTATCACAAATATTAAAACGGTCAATTTATTATCCTTGTTTCATGCACTTAGAATCAGGGAAGGGGGGGGGGGGGGTAAGTAAGTTCTTTAGTAAGATAAACCCCCCTCCCTAGCTACATCCCTCAGACTAGTAGAAATTTTAAAATCTTAAAGATTATGGTTCTGATTTTGCCTTGCACGATTTATTAAGAAAATTATTTTTGTTTATTTGCAGACTCCATCAAACATTCAATCAAAGGGGTCCAACTCTAATTCAACAAACGTCATTCTAGGGAATTTCTTCACAACACCAAACAAATATTGAAACATCAATTAATTGCCCAAACCTGGAAATTATATTTCGGGGGAAGGTGGGGATAATTTTCTTATTCAATTTTCTTCAGAGAGATGACTCTTTTTGCCGTTGTAAAAGGGGCAGGGACGTAGCATCCGGGGGGGCCAGGGGGGCCCGGCCCCCCCCACTTTTTTCCCCAACATAACCTTTACTATAGTAAATGTTCATTGATGGGATGGTTGGCCCCCCCACTTTATAACCATAGTATAGTGATAGCAAGGATTGATAGGAAAAAATTTGAAGTGGTAGTAAGTTGGCTTTGAAAAAGTTGGCCACTAACCCCCCCCCCTGAGTTTGGACAACTTTTAATTTTCGTTTTTTTTTTTTGCTTGTCAACTTTTTCAGGTAAGTAAAAAAAATTTTCTCTGGTTGGCCCCCCCACTTTCAAAAACGATGCTACGTGCCTGAGGGGTACTTATTTCCTAAAGGTTATTCAATATTGAACATGGAAATTTAATAAATCTCTCTGAAGGGATTCCGGACGCCCCGTCCCCTCTTTTAGATCCATCCCCAGTAATAGTTTTTTCCGGAACATTTCGCGCTGTCCGGAAGCGTTTCAATCGGCAATCCTCGGCTGACTCCGCTACGCTCCATTCAAACTGTGCGAGGTACGAGTCATCCGAGGAAATCCGAGTGGAAGCGTTTAGAAGTTATTCAAATGAAGGGCGATAACTCGATCTTCATTCATTATCATTTTATCCCAGATGAGCATCTTATTTTTATTTAATGATGAACGATGAAGGTGATTGAGTGTTTTATGACAGGATTTGTTTACCACTAATTGTTATAGGTACGTAATGTCAGATTTATGATTTCATTTTGATCTAGATAATCACCCTTTGTCGTGTCGTTTGTTGTGATGCTGCTCCTGTGTTCAGGGATGCAGCTTTGTGTGGACTGTCATTTTTCAGTCAATAGTGAATCATTTCTGTAACCAAAACATTTAGGATGAAAAATGATAATTTTATTTTTTTTTTTAAATTATTATAATTTAAAAAGTTTGAAAATTGAGTATGGCTCAGCCTCGTGGATCTGATGCGAACTGCTGAATTATTATATAAATATATTCTCTGATAATGCTTGCTTGAGGAAAAATGTCTTGAGAAAGATGACAGTTGACCGCGTGAATTACAGTGATATATAAAGTTAAAAATGTTTGTGTCTATAGGTCCTATGTTTTCTAGTGTTTACCTTCAGATTTTGTGATCAGGATGAAAATATTATCCTCAGATCGTTACTTAAACTTACTTTAATTAATATAGATAGTATCCGTTTTTTAAGGAAATTTGAGATATTGTTACATTTTGTATGTCATACCTTAGTTATAAATAATTTTTCTTTGTAAAATATAACAAAAGCAATTCAAATAATATTTAATCTAAAGGTGTACTGTGCAGCAGCAGACACAATTTTTAGAAATATATACTTGACGAAAAATAAAAAGGGCATAATTCTAGGACAATGAATTTAGGGCTTCTGATGATATAAATATTTTTTAACTGGTTAGTAAGGCTAGTAGATTGCAGTTCAAAGGATTATTATTAACTGAAGCATGAAAGGACAGTCAACTTGATAAATGTTAGGGGTAGGCTGGGGTATAGTCAATATATAAAATGCTAGGTGATTTACTAAAAATTTTGATTCGATCCTATGAACAGACAGAATATCAGAGTATGTCATCTAAATAGGCTACCTGTATCATTCTTTGAAATCATCATTACATAATTGATCAGGTGATAAAGTTAGGATGATGTTAATGATTTTTCAGTAGCTGAATTTTAATATTTTAGAGTCCTCTATTTGCATTGCAGTGCCTGTGTTATACAGTTAATTTGAGAGGAACCTTTGATGTTTCTGTGGAAATGCTCAATATTCATACATATTTAATCAATTAATTATCTGACACTCGAATGAGCTTTAGTTGCATTTGTTTGTGATTGATCTGTCAGACTGCGCAAACATTAGTTTTATCTCGGACTTATACTCCAACAGTGCCCTGAGTATCAGATTACACACAAGCTGAGAAGTAAAGCATTCTATCTCTAAAATCACATGCTTGAGGATGAATTTGATACTATAACAGTAGGTATGATACAAGTCACAAGCTCTCTTTGATATTACATGTATAGCTGTTATTGATTGTGTACATCATTAGGAAAAAAACATGTTTAAAAAAAGCTAGCAACAATGAGTTGACATATTTACATGTAATTGTCAGTTTGACATTTAGTGAGAGACATATTATATGTAGGCCTACAATATTTAGTATTTTGAAAAGATGTCACTAAATTTTAGTGATTACAGAGTCAGGCACAGATCCAGGATTTTTTTTTTCAAATAAAAGGGGATAGGGTATTTAAAAATCCAACCCAGACTTGGCAAGAAAAAAGTGAATATATCCAGGATTTTTTTTTTCAAATAAAAGGGGATAGGGTATTTAAAAATCCAACCCAGACTTGGCAAGAAAAAAGTGAATATCTCTCCCAAGCATAAAAAACCTCTATTTTGTAGGTGGGTGGTCATGACTTACTTCTATCACTTCATGAGCATCATTTGTTTGACTTTTCCTACCACTAAACATGCATGGGTCCACATTTTCTGGGGAGAGGGGTTCCAAGGTCACTTTTAATTCCTTAAGTACATGTGTATACATTGAATAAAACTGCAAATCCCAGGGGAGGGTTTGCCCATGACCCAACCTATAGATCTGCATATGAGATTTTTGGGTTTGTGAGAAAACAAAGAGGTCAGGGGATCCATTCCCATAATGAAACTTTACATTGTCATTAGGATGATTTGCAGGTTTATAATTTATAACTGGGTTTTTTTTGTGTGACATTTGAAAAATAATGAATTTAATTAGTGTTAAATCTTATCAGAAACCTTTTTTTTTTCCAATGTAGAATTAAAATATGATTTAATTTCAAGAGAACTTTTGATTTATTGAAAAATTTCCTTAATAAATTTATAAATTATATTATGAATTTTCAAGTAAGAAATGAAAAACTTTGTTAATTTTCAGCTAGATCTGCTTTTTTAAAAAAATATTTTTGAATGAAATTGAGCATAGCATATGAACATTAATTCTTGATTATTTATTCATCTACATCTACTGTATTCACAACAATCTTTAACTATAAGTTTGTGTAAAAATAGAATATAAATGGAGATCATCAGCAAATGTGCCTATACAATAAAATATACACCAGAAATCTTAACTTGTGAGACTCAAGGCAGCATTGTGGAGTTTTATTGTTGATGGTAAAGATATTTTGGTAAAAAATGTCAGTGGCCTGTGACAGGTAAATAGAGTCATCATCCACTCTGTCATACAGATTTCTTCATAATAGAAACCTCTCTCCTATTATAGCATTACCATCAATGGTGGCCAACTGGAGGCCATAGCTATTTAATGATGTTATGCTAATATAGCATTTTCTTTCCTTTTTTTATTGACATCTCGAGGGAATTTCTCTTAATTGAACAAACAAGTACTGAATCTGTCATGTTCTGTGTCGTGAATGAGGTTCGTATTTCATAATTGCGGGATTCTGATTCACAATAGGCAAACATGGAGAGGCAAGCTTTAGCCTTCAGGTTGACAGAAAAATGAAGCTATTCACATCAGAGTCTCTAGATTTACATTTTTGGTGTGTTTTGATGTGAATGTTAAAAGTGGAAGATTTTAAATAAATGATGCCTCATTGTCTAATATTGAGCATGATCCTGTTAATTGATAGAATTAGAGAATATACTGTGACTGTAGGAGTCTGAATGCTTTACTGAAAAAGTTCATTAAATTTTGATTTTCGAGTGTAGTAAAAATTCATTAAGACTTAAATGAAAATATAAAAAAGAAAAGGTTAGATTAAAATAAAATAATTTTACATATTTTGAAATGAATGAACTAGAATTTAACTAATGTAGGTGGAAAATCCTAGTAATTGACCATAATGAAATCTTGATTTTAAGCTTTACAAGTCGGTTAGAATATTATTGGAAAATATTCACAAACAGGGTTAGGGTTAGGGTTTTTAGGGCAAATAATATTAATGTGGGTAGACTGAATTCCTCTCTTTCCAAGCTATACATCCTGTACAGCAGGCAGTAAAAAACACATGGCCTCACTTTTACAAAATCTATCAAAACCTATCACATTTTACACAGGTAAACGCAGGTTGTTAACAGTTTCCATGTGGTGTAGGCTTGCTTCCTTTATATTCAAACAAAACACATTGATTATTTATTCATACACTGCAGCTGCAGGTGGGATCATAAGAGATAGGGTAATTTTGTGCATATGTCTATCTCGTGCACATAATCATGATAATGTACCATATTCACTCCTGTGAACTATTTAGAAAACTGGAAAAGAAGGGGAAAGTGGGGAGGGAGGGGCAGGAAAGTTGACAATGAGTCCAAAATTAAAACAAACTTGAGTTAGTCAAGATATAACTGTGTAAATAGAAAAGACCTTGACAATAATTTTACAATAAGAAATCTGTGCTTTTCTGCAGGTGGAAGAAATAAAGCAGTTTCAGTCCTTCTCTGTCATTTTATGAATCAGACAACACAGATGACAAGTTACAGGTTGATTTTATTTAGTCCAAACATTACATGTATTGGCAGGGCTCTTTATTAGAGTATATGTCTCTGATTATAAGAGACGGTGACATTTCAGAAAAGTGTTTCTTGTGTGTCTGTGTGTTAAAAAGCTACAACAAACAAATTTTAACAAAGAAAACTCATTACAAAGTTGTAATGTTTGAACATGCTAAATATATGATTTTACTGGACTTTGACCTTGGACCCACCATCAAACACTCTGTTTGACTTTCTAAGGACCTCAGCATACAGTGCCTATGTCCCTCAACATTTAGGATCCACATCTGTGATTCTTAGTCACATAAGTAAAATACTGGACATTATATGTTGTTGACCAATTTGTGAGTATGTATAAAGCACAGTTCATTGAAACATGTGGGAGAAAGTGTAGGCATATAATATATATTGCAATAAATTCTGAAAGTCTGACTATTATATTTATCAATTATGGAATAAATTTCACAACAATTAAGTGCCCACATACATGGGAAATTAGAAAATGATTAATACATCCTGAAACTCATCATCCTGCTTTTTGTAATAAAGGGAGATTTCTGGCCATCTTATGGGTATGTCCATATTGATACATGTTCCTTTGATCATGCAAATAAGTCATTCCTTTTGGATTACTATAGAAGTACAACACAGAGATGGACAGAATTGATCAACACGCTGGTCACTGTAATACAATCAGACATAATCAGATTAGCATATTGACAATGTCCCTGCGTCTTTTCATAAGAGGAGTCTGTGTATTGATTAATTGTATTTCACTGTCAGTTGATGGTCATTGTCAAGATCTCCTTGTTTGTATTGATAGGTTCTGAGTATAGGAAGGGCCATACTGGTTTCTTTGTTCTTTGTTTGTATTGATAGGTTCTGAGTATAGGAAGGGCCATACTGATCTCTTTGTTTGTATTGATAGGTTCTGAATATAGGAAGGGCCATACTTGTTTCTTTGTTCTGTGTTTGTATCGATAGGTTCTGAGTGTAGGAAGGGCCATACTGATCTCTTTGTTTGTATTGATATGTTCCCAGTATAGGAAGGGCCATACTGATCTCTTTGTTTGTATTGATACAGACTTGTCGAAATCCGTCGGTCCTGTCGGCAAGGCCGGTAAAAATTTGTCTGGACCGATAACATTTAAGAAAGCGTCGGTCCAGATGACCGTTTGAAAAAAATTGAGCGTAATGCAAATTTAATAAAGGTCAGGATCGGGATGCATAGTTAAAGGTCACAAACACAGAAAGAATGGCCGCGTACGCGGCATGTTGACGATAGCCAAGTAAATTTTTTATAACAAAGTCATAAAACATGTCATTTATGTCTATGTTAAAGACTCTCTATCTCAAGAAAGGAAACTTTTTAGATTGAAGGCTATTGAAAATAATAATGGACATTTTGGTGCTGTCATTTATATGACTTTCTCAGCGTCAAAATAAGGTACCAAGTTTATTGTCTGACAAAAGTTTGACTGGTCCAACAGAACATCTCTTTGTGATTAAAAAATTTTATTGATAGGTTCTGAGTGTAGGAAGGGCCATACTGATCTCTTTGTTTATATTGATAGGTTCTGAGTATAGGAAGGGCAGTACAGATCTCTTTGTTTATATTGATAGGTTCTGAGTATAGGAAGAGCAATAATGATCTTACTTGTTTGTATTGATAGGTTCTGAGTGTAGGAAGGGCCATACTGATCTCTTTGTTTGTATTGATAGGTTCTGAGTATAGGAAGGGAAATACTGATCTCTTTGTTTATATTGATAGGTTCTGAGTATAGGAAGGGCAATACAGATCTCTTTGTTTGTATTGATAGGTTCTGAGTATAAGAGGGGCCATACTGATCTCTCTGTCTGTATTGATAGGTTCTCAATATGCCATATACATCTCTTTGTATTTGTAGGAAGGGCCATATTGATAGATATGTTCTCAGTATAGGAATCTCTTTGTTTGGGGTTCCAATATAGTAAGGGCCATACTGATCTCTTTGTTTGTATTGATAGGTTCTGAGTATAAGAAGGGCCATACTGATCTCTTTGTTTGTTTTGATAGGTTCTGAGTATAGGAAGGGCCATACTGATCTCTTTGTTTGTATTGATAGGTTCTGAGTATAGGAAGGGCCATACTGATCTCTTTGTTTGTATTGATAGGTTCTGAGTATAGGAAGGGCCATATTGATCTCTTTGTTTGTATTGATAGGTTCTGAGTATAGGAAGGGCAATACTGATCTCTTTGTTTGTATTGATAGGTTCTGAGTAAAGGAAGGGCAATACTGGTTTCTTTGTTCCTAGTTTGTATTGATAGGTTCTGAGTATAGAAAGGGCCATACTGATCTCTTTGTTTGTATTGATAGGTTGTGAGTATAGGAAAGGCCATACAGATATAGTTGCTAGTTTTTAGGAGTAAATCTGTCTTGAGAACTTTATGACTTACCAGTGAGTGTAAGAAACACAGTGGTTCTCATTTGGAGGAAATAGTTATGCATGTATTAGTCTCTGGTCTCCAACTTATGAAACCAGAAGATTCTAAAGGTTTCCTCTGTGCCTGACAATGTGTGTAACTGTCTGTCTGTCCCATTTGGTTTTCTGCACTTATTTACTATATGCTTGCATACATTGAGCTGATTTGTGATATGCAAGTGTATTTTGATGAGCTGCAGATCAAGTTTCCATTTTGTCTTTACTCTTGAGTCTTCATTCATTTATCCTTGACAAGATATGGGGCATATTCTTAGATTTTTTCATGCAGAAAAGAAACATCTAAGGCAGTTAGGCAATTACCAAATACATAAAGTGCAAGTGCTCCCAGATAATCCCCACATCCCAACATGAACTTCTGGATCTGCCACTAGTACTGCTGCCCCAAAGTCTACAGCCATGTTGGAAGGAAAGTTTTTTTGTCCCCCGCTTGAAAAGTGGGGGATATTAATTTGGGTTTCGTTTCCACACGATATCTCGAGAACCCTTTGAGCTTTTGCAATGAAATTTAGCATAGCAACTCCCTATGGACTAAAGAGGACCCCTATTGATTTTGAGGTCAAAAGGTCAAAGGTCAAGGTCATAAGTAAGCAAATTCTGTCTGTTAAAACACTTTTTCCACACGATATCTCGAGAACCATTTGAGCTATTGCAATGAAATTTTACATAACTCCCTGTGGCCTAATGAAGACCCCTATTGATTTTGAGGTCAAAAGGTCAAAGTTCAAGGTCGTAAATTTATACATTCTGTCTGTGTGTAACACTATCATTTCCGGGCGATATTTCAAGAAGATTTTGAGCTTATGCAATGTAATGTTATACCAAAACTCCCTAGGACGTCTCTCGCCCCTCTCAAAGTGCCCCGCCCCGTTTGTTTTATTAGTATTTATAGTATGACGTCGCTATTTTTAGCACAGGGGCATGAGGAGAGTTATTGCGTATAAAACAGGTTCTCGGCGGACTTTATGTTCTTATTACATCTATTAGAACTGTTTAATAAAGGCTAAATAAATCAAACACCATGGATTGTGTAAAATTTTGAGAATACCGAACATGAAAACATAAATATATACATGTATGTGACTTCAGTTCTGCATATACTTCACACCATTTAACGCGATTCCGTGGTCTAGTGGTTATGTCACTCGCTTCAAAACTGCGAGGTCCCGGGATCGAATCTCGGCCGATCCTTTCTTTTTTTTTTTTTTTTAAATACTTTTTTATTTTACTAAATGATAGTATTCAGCATGTGAAATGAAAAATTTATGAGGTTATAAAATCATCATTACAGTGTGATAAATATTCCATATAAAAAAATCTTCTATACACATAATAAAGAATAAGCAATCAAATCTTTATATGCATATTGACATACATGTATTTTATTTGCTTCAGTATACATGTATACATTTAATAATTCTACAAATTCAGTCAGGGGGAGCCGACTTTTTCCCTAAGCGGGGGACACGAATTCTCTGAATTTTTTATATATCAGTTTTTACTGATCATACAAAGACTTTGTCTTAAAAGTATACATTTAGAGTATAAATGTAACAGTTGTTATTTTATAGGGACACAACTACTGAAAAAAAAAAATTGAATGCGATCACTGACCGATGTGTCAATTCATAGTGCTCAGTAAAATTATTGTCTATATCTGCTATAAGATTTGTGCATTGGGCAGCAGACCGTTACATTCATGTAGAGGTAACAAAGAGGACACAGTTTATGTGACACCTGATGGTGTTTTTTACGGAGCACCCGAATAGTCTGTATCTGATTATCACATAAAATCACAGAGCTTTTGTGGGATGTGTGTGCTTTTGGTGAATCTTTTTTATTTCATACAGGTAAACCATATTCATCATAGAAAGTTCTATAAGCAACAGAGGTATCTTTTATGTTTAAAATATTTTTAATGAAAATATGACAATGTATTGATTTAGAGAATGTGCACAGGTGCAGGGCTGAACAATTAATGTGAAAAAAATTATAGCTATCCAACTTCATGAATGGGAGCAGCTCAGCAGCAAAGTTTTGATTTGTTTAACATTCATTTTATGTTTGTTTTTTTTGTAGATGGTGTTGAGATGACAGAGTAACTATGTCTGTGAAGCCCGACTCCTTGACCCCTCTCACAGTATTAATCATCTCCCTACTACCCTGTTGTTTCTGTGTTCAGAAGGCCGGTGAGTGGGTACAATACAAACATTAATTAGGAAAAAACTTATAATCTGTATCAATGTTGATTAATTATCGATTGTTTGTATTTCATTTTGTATAAGGATTTTTAATTGATATTCTTCAATGAGTGTTGTCTAAGTGAGAAATAATTATCCATAAGGAACTGTGAATGAGGAATATTTGATGATGTGAAAATATTGAGGAAATTGACATATGACTAATTAATAATGAACAAAATTTTATTTCATCAACATTTCCACCCATGTTAAAGAGCAGTCTTATAGGTAGCATTAAATCTTAAAGCATTCAACCCTTCAATGTAACCAGATTTACTCTAGGGATTTTTTAAACACCTACAACTTAGTCTAATGAAAAGTCAGTGAGCAGTTTATGTCTGGTAGTATTAGATCTTCAAACTTTCAACCCCTCAATATAACCTCATTTACAAAAGTTGTTGATGTTATATGAAACTAGAAATTAACAGAACCTAACGCTAAGGTTTTCATTATGTAATCACAATCTGCATGCTATGGTTTTCTTTCTGTAGTCACGATAGAGGACCCCTGTACTGATGGACAGACATACACGCTCGGTCGTGATGGCTTGATCGTCATTAAGGCCATCGGGAACAAGTTTTTTACTGGTTCCTGTTTGGTAACTTTGCGGGCAGAGGACCCTCGCTATCAGTGCTCCAAGCTGTGCTTCTCTGTGGATGCCTTTAAGCTTCAGACCTGTGGTCTACGACTTGCCTTCTATGATACCGGTGTATGGAATTATGGGTCAGCTCCGCCGGCCTGGGTAAGTATAATGATAGACAAAGAGACATGCCTCGCTATAATGTCCATTGCAGGACATACAACGCCAGATGTACGTTGGCCGATGTCATCCATGACACTCTACAGTTTAATTAAGTCACAGTCACACATACTGTATAGCTGAGCTAGTATAAAGCTTTTGTAAAAAACCAGAAAATTCACCCCACCCCTTTAGGTCAACAAAACCCTCTGCAATTGAAAAAAAAAACCAAATGCAAAAAAAAGGGGTCACATTCAGACGTGATTTCTGCAACAGCCACTCCAAAAGGAATTGATTTATTAAATCTTATGTGTATTTTGGAAAGAAAGGGGGGGGGGCAGTGTATATGCATGTTAAAACCCTAAATTTTGAAACAAGGTTGCCTAATGGCTAGACCATCAACCTCTGATCTTCAAATTTACTAGATTGAGTATCCTATGCTTTGATTGATTTGAGGTATAACTTAGCATACAAGTAGACTACACAAAGATACACAATTCTGTCCCGGTTAAAGTTTTTGATGAGCTGTGTTCCATTACTAAAAAAGTAACTATGAAAGCAAAATTACCCGGACCAAACTTGCATGGATGATGCAATATAATGGCACACAAGTAGACTTGTTTGAGATACATAATTCTGTGACCTACATTTTTTAAGATTGCTGTGGTTACTAAAAATAGAGATTTCTGTGAAACTATAAGCCCTACCCTCCTACCAAACTTGCATGGATGATTGCATCTTGGGATGGACTACACTGAGATACACAATTGCTTCGGTTTTTGATTTTTATGAACACATTTTCCAACTAAAGTGACTTCCTGTAAAATTTTTCAAAATACCTCATCCCCCATAATTTTAAGACCTATTTCAATATAACTTGGCACACAATATTATTGAGATACATAAACCAACTGTTTTGAAAATATGAATGGTGTTGATTTGCATTACCTAAAAATAAGATTTCTGTGAAATTGTTTCAAAATCTTTGATTACCTATGTTTTATATATGGTATTTTAAGCTGTCAACTATCATTTGGCAAGGAAAATTTTACACATTTTAGTTTTAAAATTTGCCCAATATTGTATATCTTCATATGGTCCAGAGCTCTTCTTCTAAAGGAGATCAATATAGTCTAAAAATGGCCTCACCCCCATCAGTTTTAAGCCCATTTCAATATAATTTTGCACTGAATTATTTGTTCAATATTGTAATGAAATGAAACTGATGTTTAATTGGGAGAATTATTTCAGAACAGGTCAATCTTAAAATCATAATTTTTTCATTTATTTAGCTTTTGAAACCATCAGATTAACTTGAAAAATATAATGTGGCTCCCGCTCTCTCCCATTAAAAAAAAAAGATTTAATAAAAAAAAAATTATTCTATTTACTGCTGTTTTCCTGCATTCAGTCATTTCCAGAATAGAAATATTGTGAATGCCATCCACTTCTGTTTTATTAAGAATCTGATTTTTTAACTTATACGAACCTTTTGTTAAAATGCAAATAAGAGAAAGCTACAACTTGCCGGATATATTTACACAGCAATCCGACTATGAAATAATATGCAAAGATTTAAAGATTCATTTACACATACAGAAGCCTGCAGCAGCATTTCAGAACATGACAATGGCTGATCAATAATCAATTATGTAAGTGTCCATGACAATCTCTTGTATCATTCCCAAAAGTCGTTTCAGGCTCAGAAATCACAGAGCAAGAACTACCTGGTAAAAATCAATCTTTATATCTCCGTCCATTTACGGAGACGTCCTTTATGTCTCTTGATGTCTTTGAATGCTATATCTGCTCCATTGTTCCGCTGCGGAAGAACTTGATGGCCTGAAAGTATCCATTATTACCTAGCGTTATTAAGAATAGCTGCAAACTAGCGTTATAGATTTTCAAATTGATGTGTCTTCGGCAAACACCCATTAAGGAATTTAAATTGAAATTTTATACACCATGTAAATGATGCTTGGAATCGCTTAAAGGGATATATTTCTCAGTCGGAAAGTGAAGGTCTATTTTTCTTTATTGGTTTAATGTTTCCTCTGGTTAGCTGTAAATTCCAAGACAGGAAGAAAATTAGATTAGATTGATCTTATGTCATGCTGTCTAGTAAAGCACTCCAATATCAATTTATTTTTAGTTTCTTTCTTTTTTTTCTCCATAAAAATATCCCTCCTTAACATTGTTTAGAATTTTGGACCTGGAATAAGAAGAGGCCCATGGGCCAAATTCATACATGTTAACCTATTGTGATGAAAAATAGGGAGATTCAGACCTCAAAAGCGGTATCATTGCGCGCGTGTTGTTTAACGCTTGGATTATCGATATCTTTCATGTAATATACATGTATATTATAAGCCTTAAATGAAATCAGGTACCAACACTAATTAATCTTAAATATCAACAGCAAAGAAGAAGACAGAAGCACCTTAAGTTTGACATAAATTGTACAAATTCAAATATTTTTCATGCTCATCATTTTGCTTGGATTGGCTGCTTTACTTATCCTTTTGAAGAGTGATCTTTGCTGATATAGCCTAGAAGAAATAATTGTGAATGTTCATTCAGTTTTTAAACAAAACAAATGATGACATGGTTTAATCTAGATCTAAAACAAGTTCCTATCTTTCGTTATATAAATCAGATTTCCTGCGATGATCGAAAATGAAAGTAGAGATGTGCCACATGGCTTGGTCAATCGATTGATTTCTATTGACTTTATTGATAAAGTTCTGAGCTTCTGTGCTTTTAAAGACGATGTCAAATGTTTTCATCTAATTCTTAAAAGCTGTATCTCCTTTTTCATGGCAGGGATGTTGATTAATTTATCGTAACCAATGTAATCACTGGTAGTCTTGTGTTGTTGTCGTTGTCAAATTCGTGCTTGAAATCTATGTACAAAAAAGCGTTTGTATGATTCCGAGTCAAATAACGCGATATCTAGCGAGATTTTATGAGAGTGGCTTCAAAAATGGATACCCAAGCGAACCAAAAATACTTTAGACGCAGCTTTTGTAGAAAAGCGGTAGATTTCTTAAGTAAATCGGTAGGCGGGAGATGGAGTGAAAAAGCGGTAGACTCCCGCCTAAATCGGGAGAGTTAACATGTATGCCAAATTGCTCACCTGAGCACATGGGCTAGGAAAAAGCACAAAACAGTTCAGTATTGAAAAATTTAACGGGAGGGGAACTTGATTTATGTACTACTCTTGAATGCCTCCATATAATATAGCATATCACTTTGCTGTTCTTGAAAAGAAGATTTTTCATTTCAATGATTTTTTCATATATAATTTTCAAAATTTGTAAAAATTGATCCCCCATTCTGTCCTCAGTCCTCAAGGATTTTCCACTGCACTAGGAAGAGATGAATTTAGGCCCCATTTCAATTTCAAAATACTGTCCCTCCACCCCCTCCAAAATGAAATGATGTTATGGTCAGAAAGTGGAAAAATCCTGTTACTTCATCATCATGGCTATACTATTTCAACATAGTCAATTCAGAAAGATTAAAGGCTATTATTATTTAAAATTAAAAAAGAAATATGTCATGCAAACAAAAGCAGAGAGTATATGCAATTGAAAACTGTGAATTGGCATTTAAAAATTTTTTTGATGACTTACACTATATCTTGTCTCCACACACAGACAGACAGACAAATACGGTACAGGAACAATACCTTAAGTTGGTCACTGGTCCAGTAGACCAATAAGTTAAAAGGTTAAACTGTAAACCTCTTGTCAACTGATAAATTTACTTGTGTGTTGAGATGCAAACATAAGAATCTTGAAAATTTCCATGCTCTGGCAAAAAAAAAAAACCCTGAATTTGAGTCTATGGGTCTGTGTTTGTAGGTTGGTGGCTGTCAGAACCAGAACATTCAGAACAAGAAGTGGTGCAGTAGTGGGAGTACGGCGACTGTCAGACTGGAGAATTTGCGCGGCTTCCCAGTCAGTATGGTACAGAAGTACTCGTTCTACATGACGGCGGTGTCTATCTGTTCAGAGGATGCTAGGATACCACAGGAACAGATAGCCGAGTCAGGTAAACAAGACAGATAAATACGCTAACTTCAAATACAACAGACAGAAATATTGTAATAAATTACAATGTATGGTGATAGGGACATGTAACCAGATATCAGATATTTTCCTCATTGGTAATATAATCAAACTTCATTATCTCAAACCTGATGGGGCAAAGAAAAAACTTTAAGATATCTGAGGATTCCACATATCCAGGGTAAAATACTTAAAGAATATGTAGTAGGGACTTCCACATCATTTTGACATATCCATGGTATTCGAAAAATTGAAGTTCCAGATATCGAAGTTCAACTGTACATGTATATAACATGAAATTACAGAAAATAAAATCATTGAAATATTTTGAAGAACAATGCAATACTCTTTACTTTGTTGTATATTTACAGCATTTGGAGACAGTATGAGTGTAACAGTCATTATCATCATTGCTGTCCTGGGATGTGTCACCATCTGTACATGTGTTATTGTTATATTTCTGGTGTGGTACGTCAAACGCCGCACAGCTATAGAACGAGAGAGGACTCGCGATTATACACTTCACATACCCAGATCAGCATCAGGTTAGTGAGCACACTTCACATACCCAGATAAATATCAGATAAGTGGGCACACTTCACATACCTAGATAAATATCAGATTAATGGGCACACTTCACATATCCAGATAAATATCAGATTAATGGGCACACTTCACATACCTAGATAAATATCAGATTAGTGGGCACACTTCACATACCTAGATAAATATCAGATAAGTGGGCCTACTTCACAAACCTAGTTGAAAATCAGATTAGTTTTCACATTTCACATACCCAGATGTATATCAGATTAGTGGGCACACTTCACGTACCCAGATAAATATCAGGTTGGTGGGCATGACATATGATGGGATTCATTTTATATGAATCTGATGTCAACTTCCTATTTATCCGTGTATCTGCCTGTTACTGAACTTCAGTATATTAACATGATAGTGTATATTCACATTAGAGTGGAGGTATTACCAGTAAACATTCAGGGTTTGACATTAAGGCACGTCCGACCGACTGAGTCTAGTAAAAGATGGGTCCGGTCGGGTGAATTGTCTGTGTACTAGACAGACTGGTCGTGTAAGAAAAAAATGAACTTATATATTTTTTAAACAAATCATTGATTGTCAATGAAAAAATAAAATCAAAACGTTTCTAACCGCATAGTACAAAGAAAACCACAAACGTTACAGACAGCATTACTAAAGGGCTATTTTTAACAACAGTTCATTGTCGGCATTCGTAACTTCTTGGCCATTTTCCTAAAGAGAAACAATGAGCTATTTATCGTTCACGGAAATGCCTGAGTAGTTACGATTGTCATTTTTTAAAGATTCGTGTTTACGACAATGGTAAACCATTTAAATAGCAAAAAAACTATGATAATAAAATTATTTTTACTTATACTCAAATTCTCTGAACATTTTAATGGTATCAATATTAATATTGAATACAATTTGATTAAATTAGGACTAAACACGACAAGCAAGTGACCTAGTTACTGTAAATCACTTTTTATTTGCGTGAACTTTATTTTCGCATAATTACGCGAGACAATGTGCTCGCGAAAATTTAATTCTCGCGTATAATAGTATTTCTTAAGATTATATAGAGCAATAACCACAATTCGTGAAAATTTTGTGTCGCTAATCAATTGTCAATGACTATCTCGCAAAAATAAGGTGTCGCGAAAATTAAGTGATCTACAGTATGATGTGACATGTGTGCGGGAAAATGTCGTTATTTAAATATGGATTCTCATCATCTGCACAGAAAAAAGAATTGTCACTATTTTGTACTTTAAATATTTTTCTCATGTTTTGTCAGGGCTAGTGGTTAAAGGGTCAGGGCTAGTAAAAATTTGCCAGAGTAGCCTGACTGGTCTAGTACTCCAAAAGCTTAATGTCAAACCCTGACATTGGCTTTCAGACTTCTTATTTGTCCTAATTAAATTCCAAGTTATCCATTTCCATTCACTGGCAGCCAAACAGGAGGTTTGTATTATAGGTTGTGAAAAACATCCAAGGAGGTCTGATTAGTTATCTCTGGATTTTTCATCAGAATGCTAAATAAAGAAGTACTTTATGACCTTGTTGAGAATACTGGTATCTCTTAATTGCAGTTTTAATATCTCTCAAATTAAAATACTTTATACGACCAGCTATTTATTTTCACTCTTAATTTGATATTTATTGAATTATCAAAACTTATTTGATGTTGTATAATAAGAAATTTTCATTTTATTTCATTATTTTAAAATTAAGATCTCAATAAATTGCAGAGCTCATTATATTTTACAGATATGACAGATAACTACAATTAAGTTTTACAATGTATTGAAAACAATATTTTAATATTGATCAGATTGTTGGTCTTAGCTTTGTTCTTCATTTAACAAATTTGACTAAAATTTCAATTAAATTTTGACTATCTGTGTTACATGTACAAGCATGTATTAAAAACTAAAAAGCCATAGACTAGTTTTTCACTGACTTTTCCCTGTAAATCGGGGGGTATTTGTGTGACAGCTCTGGTTTTCATTATCAGTCTTATCATCATTTTCTCCTGGTTTTCCTTTCAGAGAACTATCACCCAGTACAAGCCACGGACAACGGTTGTCATAGTGACCAAGAAACATTTGGTTTAATGAAGGAGTCGGTGCAGAACGACCGTATCTGGCAGGAACCCAGTGCCCCTCCCCAGGAGGGTGAGGGGGAGGGACCCCAGGACCAGAGACCCCCCAGTTACTGCAGCACCCCACCAGAATACAGACCGTTTGTCCCAAATAATGAACAGGCCTCCTCAAACCAAGAAAAGGTTTGAGGTCGGAGTGAGGTCAGAGGTCATGACCTCACCTACATTTCATTTAATCGCATTAGAAAATTTAAAATTACACAAATTTATTCTGTTAAGTTTGACTCCAGAGTTTTCAGAAAGGATTGCTGATTTTATTTTTGAACTAAAAGGAAGAAATATATGTATAAAAACACAGGTGTAGTTAATTTCTAGTTCAATAACAGGATATGAATGTAGTTAAGTTAATTGTTTACTTTCTCCTAGTAAGCCATAAACACATTTGTTTGTCAGTTTAAACTGTGCTAATTAAAGGCTACAGTATAATAAATCTTGATGAGATTAAGTGAAAATTGTATTTTCATATATTTATATATAATTTTCATAATTGAAGATGTATTCTTCGTGTTGTTGTTAGTGTATATAGATCTGTGAGAATGATATGCTAGAAAAGCATTTCACAATTAATTTTTTTTTTAAGTTGAATAGAACATTGCGCAATGTACTACACAAATTTTAAATGAATGTCTTTTTGTTCATTTAAAATGTTTGAAGATTGATTGTAGAAGAGTTTTGTTATGATACAAGGCCTATTGTACCAAAGTTTTGTGTTAAAATCAATTCAGCAGGTTAATTTTTTATTCAGCCTAATATGTGTGTGCTTCAATGTAATTGATGGTCAGTGGAATCTTGTTCATATTAATTGTGCCATATGCGATATCACGGAGGCATTGATTATTTAGTTTACTTGAATATTGTATATGTGCTAATTTTTACAGGGTATTTTTCCCATTTTTTTTTTAATTTATCCTTGAATCTCTAGTTATTGTTTTTGTTCTGTTATATATACATGTAACTTTATTTGACACCTTTTTCATTTAGATTTGAATTTTACAGTAAAAGCAAACATTTTCTTCGGGCATTGAGTTTACAATTTTATTTCGAGGATAAGATTTTGATAAAAAAATAAATCTCAAATGAAAACTTAAGTCTGGCATTGACACTCTGAAACCCTATCGACATAAAAGTAACAAATTCCTATGTTATTACCTCTTATTTCCCATTAGGATCCTTTACAAAGAGGAATAAATTTCATTTTCTTAAATACTTGCATAAGTGAGCATAAATATTGCCATGTTGTCAAAATATAGCACAGATGTAAGAAAAGGATTTAAAAGTTTGAAAATTTCATGAGATAAGTGTACTAAAGATAGACATGTTGCATAGCTATCATGATGCACTAACATGCTTCATGAAATATATGTTACCACGAAGCATTGAACTCCATGAATTTCAAATAAATTCTGAAAAGTTGCTGTAAAATCTCCCTTTGGTATGAATTTTCATGAAAATTTTACTTCTACAGTATATTACATACTTTAAAAAAACATGCCTGTGTTTTGATATACAATGTGTTTGAATGGTTGGTTCAGTCCAAGTCATTTTTTATTTAAACTTTTTATTAATATGTTATTGTAGTTTAGTGCATTGATTTAAAGCAGTCATTATTATCTCATGTAACTAAATTTTTGCGAGCATTTGTATTTTCCACCCATCATGAGGTACATTGACTTTGGTGTGTGGCAAACTGATAAATTGATGAACAAGTATGAGATCAGCTCAAATTTTTATAGATTAATGGCTCTAAATTTTGGATTTTTCAGACCAGTAGACATGCTGATAGGCTGATGTTGTTGATTAATTAGCTCATCAAAATAAGTAATGCTTATTTCTTCACCGTAAATGGAATAATCAGTGAAGTACGTAATACTGAACCACTTATACCTGATTAGAGTGTTCAATCTGCTCAAGTTGTCCAGCAGGCATTTTGGTCTTTTTTGGATTATTTTAATTTGTTAATGAAATAAAATATTGCATCTGTATAAGATACTAATTTAAATTCAGTGTTTTTCCCCCAGTGAGCTTTAGAATTTTGCTTGCATAATTTTTAATTTTCTTGCAGATCATGATTTTTTAATTAATTTTAAACAGGAAATACATATTACAAGATTCCAATCACATATTTTCAGTTAAACATGATCAGATAATTAGCAATAGTAAAAGTAACAAAGAGTGTCATCAACATCATTGAAGGTTGTGTTTTGATAATTTTATTGTTTATCACTTTATATATGTCATTGTCTCTTTGATTGCTAGTCTTCATGTATCATATTTCCCATCCTGTTTTCAGCTAGATTCTAGTCTACAAACAAGCATTAATTAGTATTCATAAAACACAGGAAGTTAGAAGTATATTGTTTTTTTCTGATCCGTGACCTACTCTCCAAGTCTGTGTATCAGCTGTGAAATATTTTTTTAGGTCACCTGAGTAAACTCCATCGTGCATTAACATTTGAACATTTTTCAGCTTCTCTGCAACCTCTCAACCAATTTCAACCAATTTTGAAGGGGAACAAAAATTGTGAATTTCATGGTCCCTGCTCCCCTGGGGCCTGAGGGGTGGGGCCAAAACCACTAAAATTAGTGCAATCTTTTAAAAATCTTCTTCTTTACTCCTGGACATAAAGCAGTCAAACTGTTGGCATGATTGTAATAAACATTGATTCCTCTATACAAATGTGAAATTCATGGCCCCAGGGTCAGGGATTCTAGTGCTAGGGTGATTATATAGTGAAAATGCATTATTTTTTTGAAAATCTTCTTCTCTGCTCCTGGGCATTAAATAAACTAACCAAGTACATAGTTATGTTGTATAAGGTTGTCTCTTCCAAATTTGTGAATTTCATGGCCCCTGGGTCAGGGGTTCTGATGTAAGGGCGGGGCTCTATTGATTATATAGTGAAAATGCATACGTATATTCTTTAAAAATCTTCTCCTCTGTTCTTGGGTATTTAACCAATGAACTATGTACATAGTTATGATGAGGGAGGATGCTTCTTCCCAATTTGTGAATTTCATGGCCCCTGGGTCAGGGATTCTGGTGTTAGGGCGGGGCTGTATTGGTTATATAGTGATATTCATTAATTCTTTGAAAATCTTCTTCTCTGCCCCTGGGTATTAAACAAACAAACAAACTAAGTACATAGTTATAATGAGCGAGAATGCCTCTTCTAAAGTTGTGAATTTCATGGCCCCTGGGTCAGGGGTTCTGGTGTTAGGGCGGGGCTCTATTGTTAATATAGAGAAAATGCATTACCCGGGTAATTCTTAAAAAATCTTTTTCTCTGCTCCTGGGTATGAAATAAACTAACCAAGTACATTGTTATGTTGCATAAGGCTGCCTCTTCTAAAATTTTGAATTTCATGGCCCCAGGGTCAGGGTTTCTGGTGTAAAGGCAAGGCTCTATTGATTATATAGTGAAAATGCATAAATTCTTTAAAAATCTTCTCCTCTGCTCCTGGGTATTAAACTTATAAACTATGTACATAGTTATGTTGAGGAAGGATGCTTCTTCCAAATTTTTGAATTTTATGGCCCCTGGGTCAGGGGTTCTGGTGTTAGGGTGGGGCTCTAATGGTTATATTGTGAAAATGCATGAATTCTCTGGAAATCTTTTCCTTTGCTCCTGGGTATAATGCCAATAATCGAAATACATATTTATGATGAATAAAGGTGCCTCTTCCAAAATGGTTAATTTCAGGGCCCCTGGATTAGGTCTACTGCCGACCGGGGGGAGGGGGGTGTTACATTGTCTGAAAATAAAGTAATACTTTGAAACTTTTGAAATCTGATCTTTGATATTAATCAACCATTTATAATAAAATGAAATTTTTGATAAAATTTCCAAAATTTTGAAATATATGGCCCAGGGTCAGTGGTTCCTCTGGGTTGGGGTGCACAACTGGTGGTTATAAAGTGGAAATGCATTTTCTCTTTGTTTCTCTGATCTACCTGTGGGTATTAAGTAACCAAAGTAAGCATGCCAAGTCTATAGTTATGATAAACAATGGTGCCGCTTTCAAAATTGTGAATTACAAGGCTTTTGGATTAAAATAGTCGAACCAAATTCAGTTGTTGGAAAGTTGTTACATGTTACTCAGGTGACCTATAAGGCCCGTGGGCCTCTTGTTTTATTTTATTTATTATCCGTTAAAATCTAAAATTACATCCCACTGGTTTACTTTTGGACTGTTTTAGAAATTGGAATAAAGTACTGAGGGTTTTGTCTAGAAATGTAGTTTGTTCTTATGTCTAAGTAATTTGCAAAAATATTGTATGTTTACTACACAGGTTTAATATTGATAGCACAGCATTGTAATTACGCGTATATGTATTGTAATCATGTAAACATTGTAATAATTAATGGTGGTCATTTAATGAAATTCACACAGCTGTAAATGTTATCCTGAAAGTTTTGTCCATCACAAACGTGGCGATCTGTAGTCCATTATATTGACATCATTAGTTGATGTAATCTGGAGGAGATTATCAGTCCTGTTGTATGGTTCTGTGTAAGTCCTATTTGTACAATTCAGCTGTACGTGTATGTATTACATTTATATCATCAATTAATTAGTTAGAAACAAATACACTTTATTCTTTTTGAAATACTCTTGTTATTCTTTATTATACCCCCCACTTGATAAATGAGAGGGTATATAGTGATCAGGATGTTATTCTTTATTATACCCCCTGCTTGAAAAGTGGGAGGGTATATCCGTCCATTCACAGAAGTCTGAAGTTTTTATCGTCCAAAAAAAAATCCGCAAAAAAAATTTTCCTACCCTCAACTGAGTGGGAAAATCTTTTTCCGGATTTTTGTTCGGGTTTCCCATAGCAAAACATGAACACTGCAAATATAAACACTGCCATTCTTTCTATAATATTGAAGGGTACCCATCTCTTAACTCACAACTGAACTGAACTATACCACTGAATAAAATTTAATGATACTTTCACAGATTCTTTATAACATATTGTCATTGTGCACTTCCTATTTTAATTTTTGACCTGACACTTATTTCGTGTCTCCCAGAGCAAAACATGGACTTTGCCATTATAATCATAGGGAAAGCAGGGGTATAAATTAGCGAGCTCAGTGCTCACAGTATTTCTAATTATTTGCATTGAATTAGCTAGTATCTTGAGTAGAGCTAGATGCCTTTATTGCAAAATCTTTTTTAAAAAATAATTAATTATTCATACTGGTTTATCTGAAACTGGAGGCAAAAAAACCCCCCTTTTTCTAATTGAAGTTTTTCATCTGTCTTTGTGGTATGTCTTTATATCTGACTTTTTCTCCAGAACTAGTCTGAAAGCTAAATTCTTTGAACAGTTATTGACAGGATTTGAGGGCTTTGCTTTCGGCCGAACCCAAGGACCAAACTCACCGAGACTAAAAAGTGACATAAAAATCTCCTTTTCCACGAAATATGGAGAAAACTAACAAAAATCAAGTTCAGAGTTCATTTAAACAATACAAAGAGGGAGCAGGACACAAACACAAACCTCTAAAAACATCAGATGTGGGATCAGTTGCCATTTAGGAGCAAACATCCCATATCCACCTGTAACACCATTTGTGTGCTCTTTGTCATGATTTGGGTGAACAGGAAAATCCACAGAAAATTCAATGAATTAAAAATATCTTAATGATTTGTATAAAAACGTCAGTCAGCATTCCACCTAGTAAAAAATTTCATTCGCTGTGAAGGTCATTGTATTGATAATAGTTGTCAATCATTCTAAATGTCGAGTAAAATACTATGATTGGATTGTTAAAACATGTAAAAAAAAAAATTTTTTTGTTGAAAAAATGCATTGTGCACCTCCTATTTTACTTTTTAATTCGAATATTTTGTCATAGCAAAACATGGACATTGCCATTATATGTTTACCTATGACGTCACATAAAATTCCATGAATAACATTTGATAGATATTTAGTCCTCTTACACATTACCGTAAAAAATTTAGCAACACATGGACATTTGGGAGGCTCCATTTATTTGCTGTGAAATTATTCCAATTGCCATCTATTATATACCAGTTATACATTTGATTAAAAAAAAAAAGGTTTTTTTGTAGAAAATACATAAATGGATTGGGCAGAAGTGATATGCTTGTCAAGAATACAACTTACATAGTTTAGAAAGATCTGCAATTAAAATTCCATGAATTACAATAGATATTTAGTAACTTCATGCTACTCAGAAAAATTTTGACTGATTGGCTCCAAAAATTATCCAATTGCCATCTATTATATACCAGTTATACATTTGATTCGAACATATTTTATTATGTAATAAATACATAAATGGATTGGGCAGCAGGCATAGATAATATATAAGCCCTCTCCACCATATACCAGTTATACATGTTTGTCTGTTGGTGGAATATTTCAGCTCACTGTATACAGGAAGTCGTTGTTATTTCAATCCAACGCAGGTGGGAATTCACACGTACAATAATTAATATTGTGTTGTTTTCTTCGTTCTTTAAATGGCACAAACAATGACATATCGTATTGTTTTAATTTCAGTGATTGGGTGAAAAACAAACAGTTACATGTATATCACTAAGAACTAACAAGGGAAGTCGCCCTAAATAAAATATCAGAGCTTAAAACGTCATATCAATACACCTGTTAATTTAATAAGTCGGTGAATGAGCACCAAGCCCATTCTTAATAACCATGCACTTTTAATGGGGGATTCTTGTCTGGTTTTTGACTAAATGAGAAATAACCAAAGTATGTATGATATAAAATAGCGTTTATATATCATATTTTTGTAGTTCACCTGAGCTGAATTTCTGATCACCATGTCCATCAATCTAGCTGTCCGTCCATCTGTAAACTTTTCACATATTAGTATTCAACTTCTTCCCAAGAACCACTGGGCCAGAAAAAACTGAAACTTATTTATGAGTTTCCTGAGGTAGTGCAAGTTTTGAATTTTTGAAACTCGTGGCTCCTGGGTGTAGTGTGGAGTCACTACATGAAATTGATCATGATTCCTGAGATGATTCTTAGTTTGAGGTATGTATACAGAGACAAACACAAAATTTGAGAAAATATTAATTTTATTCTGTCATGATCCACTAGAACATCTGTCTGTGTTTAACTTCTCCACCCAGTCCTTAATCTGTGATGTTTTAAACTTTCCTGAAAAGAAAAATATAACAACATAAACAAGAGGCCCTCGGGCCTTATAGGTCACCTGAGTATCATGTAAAAACTTTGAAGCAATTGAATTCGGTTCCTGTTTTAAACCAAAGCCATGAAATTCACAAATTTGAAAAAAAGGCACCATTGCTTATCATAATTATACACTAAGCATGCTTACTCTGGTTACTTAATACCCAGAGGTAGATCAGAGAAACAAAGAGAAAATGCATTTACACTTTATAACCACCGGTTGTGCACCCCACCCCACAGGAACCACTGACCCTGGGATCACATATTTCAAAATTTTGGAAATTTTATCATAAAAAAACAAGAGGCCCATGGGCCACATCGCTCACCTGAGTAACTTTGGTGATGCCATTCTTTACCATATTTCCTCCTTTGTAATACCTATTGTGGCCTCGCTGTACCCCCCCCCCCCCCCACACACACACACACACAATATCACAATTTTAATAATTTAGAATCAACACTACCCCAGGATGCTTCTACATAAGTTTCAGCTTTTCTGGCCCAGTGGTTCTTGAGAAGATGATTTTTAAAGTATTTTCCTATATATTTTTATGTAAAACTTTGATTCCCTATTGTGGCCCCACCAACCCCTGGGGGTCATGATTTTAACAATTTAGAATCTACACTACCCCAGGATGTTTCCACATAAGTTTCAGCTTTTCTGGCCCAGTGGTTCTGGAGACGAAGATTTTTTAATGACCCTACCCTATTTTTGTCTTTTTTTTATTTTCTCTCCTTGTGAGGGGTCTTGGCCCTTTATTTTAACAATCTAAACTCCCCTTTAACCATGAATGCTTTGTACCAAGTTTGGTTAAAATTGGCTCAGTGGTTCTTGAGAAGAAGTCAAAAATGTGAAAAGTTAACAGATGGACGGACTGACAGACAGACAAAATGTGATCAGAAAAGCTCACTTGAGCCTTCGGTTCAGGTGAGCTAATAAAATTTTATTTCATCATAATTGGTTGATTAATACCAAAGAGCAGATTTCAAAGCATTAATTTATTTTCAGACAAAGTAACCCCCCCCCCCCTTGCACCCTTGACCCAGGGTCCCTGAAATTAACCATTTTGAAAGAGTTATTTCTCTTCATTATAGATATGTAATTAGATCATTAGCATATTAACTAGAAGCAAAGGAAAATATTTTCAAAGAATTTATGCAATTTCACTTTATAATCAATAGAACCCTGCCCAAACACCAGAACCCCTGACCCAGGGGCCATGAAATTCTTAATTTGGAAGAGACATTCTAGCTCATCATAACTTTGTACTTGGTTAGTTTGTTTAATACCAAGGAGCAGAGAAGAAGATTTTCAAAGAATTTATGCAAATTCACTATATAATCAATACAGCCCCGCCCTAACACCAGAATCCCTGACCCAGGGGCCATGAAATTCTTAATTTGGAAGAGACATTCTTGCTCATCATAACTTTGTACTTGGTTAGTTCATTTAATACCCAGGAGCAAAGAAGATTTTCAAAGATTTATGCAATTTCACTATATAATCAATAGAGCCCTGCCCTAACACCAGAACCCCTGACCCAGGGCCATGAAATTCACAATTTTAGAAGATGCAGCCTTATTCAACATAACTATGTACTTGGTTAGTTTATTTAATGCCCAGGAGCAGAGAAGAAGATTTTCAAAGAAATACAATGTAATGCATTTTCACTAGTACTGTAAATCACTTTTTATTAGTGAGAACTTTATTTTCGCGTAATTAGCCCCGCTCGCATATAATAGAGTTCCTTAAGATTATATAGAGCAATGGCCACACTTCGTGAAAATTTTGTCTCGCTTATAAAGAGTCAATGACTCTCTCGTGAAAATAAGGTCTCGCGAAAATTAAGTGATCTACAGTATATAATCTATTTAGCCCCGCCCTAGCATTAGAACCCACGACCCTAGGGCCATGAATTTCACAATTTTGGTAGAGGACTCCATGCTGATTACAATCATGCCAATAGTTTGACTGCTTGATGTCCAGGAGTAAAGAAGAATTTTAAAGATTGCATTAATTTTAGTGGTTTTGGCCCCATCCCTCAGGCCCCAGGGGTGGGGGGGGGGGCGGGACCATGAAATTCACAATTTTTGTTCCCCTTCACCCATAGATGCTTTGTGCCAAATTTGATTGAAATTGGTTGAGCGGTTGCAGAGAAGAAGCTCAAAATGTTCAAATGTTAACACACGACAGACGACGCACGACGATGGACGAAAACAGATAGCAATAGGTCAAGTGACCTAAAAAAACAATAAAACAAGAGGCCCATGGGCCACAACACTCATCTGAGTAACTTCGGGTTTTTCCTATATATATAAATTCAAAAATTGGACACCTTATTATGACCCTACCCCAGGGGTCAAGATTAGAACAATTTAGAATGTACACTATCCCAGGTTGCATCCAAGTTTTAGCTATTCTGGCCCAGTGGTTCTTAGGAAGAAAATCTGATTTTTTTCCTTTTTATTTCAACGTAAAATTAGTTTCCCTATTGATGTCATGCCTACCTCCAAGGGTCATGATTTGAACAATTTAGAATCTACAATACCCCAAGAAACTTCCACTTCAAGTTTTTTTTCTGCCGAGTGGTTCTTGAGAAGATTTTTTAATGACCAAACCAATTTTTTGTTTTTTCTTGATTATCTCCCCTTGTAAGGGCCTTTAGGGGGCTTTTTCCTTAATTTTAAAATAGAAACTCCCCTTTTACCCACGGATGCTTTGAACCAACCTTAGTTAAAATTGGCCCATTGGTTCTTGAGAAGAAGTTTAAAATGTGAAAAGTTTACAGAAAGATAGACAGACAACAGGAGGTCAGAAAAGCTCACCTGAGCTGAAAGCTCAGGTGAGCTAGAAAACTGACTCATCACAGTCATATATGACATATTTTTGGTAAGTTCAGACTAACTAAAATTAAAAAGATCTTTCTATTTGTTTTGTTACTGATTACTGTATAGGGGGAAAATAACTCGCGGTTTTAATATTCGCTATATTCACGGTGATAATAAATCCGTGAATTCAAGAAACAGTGAATAATTTTTCAATAATCTCCATGTTTTATTGGAAATTTGAGAATAGACTAGGATAGGTTTAAATACATGTATCACAGTGCATGGTCATTTCAGTAATTACGAGTAGTACTTGTCATTCAATTATTTTAATAAGCATGCTTTACATTAATTCAAATCAACAGATAATAACCTGTATTTGTTAAAAGGCTTTTTAATAGCCAACGCTACGTTTCATCAATCAAAACATGTGGGCCATGAGTTTTGATTACCCGTGCGTAACTAATGTTACCAGGCACGGTGTGTGCATTACCACTCACGTGCCAAAAGTATGTCAATTTTTTGTGTTAATAAATTAAATCAATAATTTTTTTTTCAATAAAAATTTATTTTCACTCACGAATTTTGACTTATCCATGTCACCATTAAGCTGCCGTATATTATGTAATGCCTTTGTAAACCGGAAGTTGTCATAACTTCTGCTATTTTTCCATTGTCAATGTAAACAACAAGCATGGGACGAAGGGGACGAGAACTTACCATTGATGAAAAGAAGACCGTAATATCCCTAATAGAAAGTGGATTAAAAGCGGTGAAAGTAGCTGAATTACTAAATTTGAATTCCTCGACAATTTGTCGATTCTTAAAGCGAAGCGGGGTGACGTTGAAAATAAACCTCGAAGTGGACGACCCCCTTCCATGACAGTTCGCGACCACACGGCTCTCTCTAGAATCGTAAAAAAAGACAGAAGAAAAACTTTAACAGAAATAACCGATGAATACAACAGGTCAGTGCCAAATTCTGTACCTAAGAGGACTATTCCTCAGGTCTCTCTACTCCAGTCTACCGAAACGATGTCGGAAAGTGATCGCATCCAAAGGCTTCATCACAAAATATTAAGTCAAAATACGAAGAAATAAGGTAAGTGCATCATTTTTTATTCAAGTAGTAAACAAAAACTATGGCGGCCATCTTGTGAAAAAATTGACATACTTTTGGCACGTGAGTGTATACATTGACACACATTTATTACCGTCCAGTGGTTTTTTTGCCGCGTTGTTTTGAAGATCTTGGGGTGTACATGCACCTGTTTTAATTAATCGTCAATTATTTATTAAGTCTAACTATTTTATATTAACCTAATCTGTTTTTGTGAAATAAAGACATAAGAATGATGAATGTCGTTTACATGTAGCTATGGTATGGATTAAACGAATACAGACAAGGGAGGTAACTTCTATAACATAAGAATTCTGCGAATTCAAGAAACCACGATTGTGTCCGATGAGAGAAAACCGTGAAAATTACAACACGTGATATTAATCCCCTATACAGTATAAAGATAGGATTTTCCTGTAAATTACACAATTTAAATCAATCACATTTCATAGATATCTGAGATTTAAAACAACAACCGATTTATATGTTTTTACCGACTAGGAATTTAAATATCAGAAACAGTTTAAAGTCACTTTAACTATGGAAACATGGGGATATTTAAATTTAAAATCAGTGAAAAATTTAATTTGAATGTAATAAGCAAATATCATGTAAATCTAAACTTAATCTCGTATTTTTATTTTTTAGCTCAGATATGCCGTATATTGCTTTGAAGATAATACAAAATGTCAAACTCACTATACTATAAGATGCATAACCCCTTGTACTATGAGGTATCTAACATTTTATTCAAGGAGATGTCTAACCTTTTTCACAGAGTCTTTCATTTTATATTTTTAAGATTTCTTACTGATTTTTACGACAGGATGTGTAAATCAGTGAATATTTTTCATATGTTCTCTCCTCGCTATAAATTTTATAACTCATAATAAACAATGTTACAGCCTTACCCTTTGTACTATTGAAGAATTCCTGTAGCCTCCCTGGGCTGTCGCTGAGTTTCTCGTACTCGTGTGCCTGAAGAATCATCTCAAATTTGTCCAGATCCTTAACAAATTTAGCCTCCTCACTCTTCTGAAATTCATAATCCTACAAAGAGAAAACAAACAGTCAAAAGAGTGGTGAAAGGGCAATAACTCTTCCTTCAAAAACTATTAAAAAGAAATTATTACAATACTGTAGACGTACTTTTTTTCACGGGGTCATAATTCCACGGAATCTCAATATCTGTTTAATCCGCGGGTAGAAAATTACGCGGATTTTCCAGATTGTCACTATATTTGCCTTACAATTATATTAAGTACGCTTTGACAAATTTCCGCGGAAAAATGATGAACGCGTACATAGCGTAAATTAATACCACGCGGAAAAAAGTACTTATACAGTATTTAAACTGAAAAGCAAACCAAAATAATTCTAAAACATGTCAGATTGTAAAAATTAATTATATTTCATTTGAATTTTATATTTATAATACAATATTTTCACAATTAACAACTCTGAATCCAGAGTGAATTTCCAAGTTGTTTCATTTGATCACCTCCCATAATTCATAGAGCTCTTGACCCACTTCCTCTGGAACCAAACTGCAGATGTGTTTCATGGCTTCCTAAAACATATTACAAATTATTACCAGTAATAATTACATCTATCATATAGAAAATTCAAAGTCATAACTCAAAGTCTTCATCATTATCAATGCAGTGGATTGAGACATTTCAACCATAGCTATAAAATTGGATAAGATGACAAAATGTTATGTGAAAATAAATACATTCAAATCTGATCAAGTTGAAAAAAAAAATTGAAAACATGACTCTTCAACTTAATAAACGACGCATGCTATATAAGCTACAGACCCATTTAATTTTTCAGGATTCATTAATAAAAGTAACTATACCATTTCCTGCTTTTGTTTCTCAGACTTTGGAATTTCGTCCTGAGGAGTAAGATCCCCCACGATACATTCAGCAAGATCATGGACCAGACTTATCTTGATACATCTGTCAATGGAAAGAAATGAAATGTCACAGAAGATTACCAATTATATGGCGACTCTGATACTAGCCTACATGCTGCAGTGTATGTGTATCAAATAAGTTCTCTCTCTCCACTGACTATTACATCTATATCACCTTAATGAATTACACTGTATACAGAAGGCCAGGTACTGAATTACTTATTTTATGACAATTTGGGGAAAATCATTTCAGCCCTTGATAATAGGTGAAGACCTACAATCCTAGGCAACAGTTTTCCAAGTCCTCTCTATTTCATTATGACAAAAGTTTGACTATTCCACTATTATTCATTATTAATATTATATATAAGTGTATTCTATTTATTTTACATGCATACGTTTGCAAACAGAGAAGTAAAGTAAAGTACATGTTAAATGCTGTGCAAGTATAATTTTCAACAAAAGGAAAAACCAGAAGTCTCTGATAAGACTGTAGCTCTACTGGTGTGTACGTATAACAAAGGAAAAGTACCCGGTAGCACTTGCATTTGAAACTTCGCAACAAGCAGCAATGAATATGATTATATATGTATCTTAGTGTAGTCTACCTGTGTGCCAAGTTATATTAAAATCAGACCAAAACTGTAGGAGGAGCAGCATTTAAAAGGAATTTCACAGAAATTTCTATTTTTAGTAACCATGGCAACATCATTCATCAAAATCAAAAACTGATGCACTAAATTATATATCTAAGTGTAGTCTACTTGTGTGCCAAGTTATATTGAAATCAGACCAAAACTGTAGGAGGAGTAGTGTTTTAAAGGAATTTCACAGAAAATACTATTTTTAGTAACCATGGCAACACCTTTCATCGAAATCAAAAACTATGCACTAAATTATGTATCTTAAGGTAGTCTACTTGTGTGCCAAGTTATATTGAAATCAGACCAAAACTGTAGCAGGAGTAGCGTTTTAAAGGAATATCACAGAATTTTCTATTTTTAGTAACCATGGCAACATCGTTCATTGAAATAAAAAACTGATGCACTAAATTATGTATCTTAGTGTAGTCTACTTGTGAGCCAAGTTATATTGAAATCAGACCAAAACTGTAGGAGGAGTAGCGTTTTAAAAGAATTTCACAGAAAAAACTATTTTTAGTAACCATGGCAACACCGTTCATCGAAATAAAAAACCAAAATAAAAACAATGCACTATATTATGTATCTTATGTAGTCTACTTGTGTGCCAAATTATAATGAAAGCAGACCAAAACTGTAGGAGGAGTAGCATTTTGAAAAATTGTTTACAGACAGATGGACAGCTAGGCAGACAGACGGACAGCTAGCTAGACAGACGGACGGACGACAGACACCTTACTATGGCATAAGCTCTTCTGGTCTCTAACCAGTAGAGCTAAAAAATCATTCAGTAGTCTACTGCTTTATAACAAGCAGTTTGATAAGCAGTACAATTTGGACCTGTCTTTATTGAGATGATCTAGTTTGATAAGCAGTACAATTTGGACCTGTCTTTATTGAGACCTGAGGAAGGATCCACTAGGAATGATAGAAGGGCCATTCTGTACATATGATCAGCCACCGACTCCGGGTCTTTTACTTTTCTCAAAACCCAACCAGTTCTCTTCACTCTCTGAAATATAAATCAAAAAATTACTATTGATCTGCCATCATGAACATTCAGCCATGAATGAACACTCAAGTAACAAATCAAATATATGCATTTTAAATCTTTTATATCTGGCTATGGTACATATAACTGTAAGAAAGGTAGAAACATGCAATTCATTGTATATTCAAAAGACATGGCAAAATTAATGCATAGGGAAAAGAAAAAAAAAACACTCATCTTTCCACAATTGATAAAGCATTATTCATTAAAACAAGAGGTCCATGGGCCACATCGCTCACCTAAATAGCTTGACCATGCTGTTTTTTAACCAGATTTTCCCTCTTGTAATACCTTTTGGGACCCAATCCTACCCCCAGGGGTCACAATTTAGACAATTTAAAAGCTACACTACCCCAGGATGCTTTCGCATAAGTTTCAGCTTTTCTGGCCCAGTAGTTCCAATGAAGAAGATTTTTAAAGATTTTTCCTATATATTTCAATGTAAAACTTGGGTTTCCTATTGTGGCCCTGCCCTCCCCCGGGGGTCATGATTTGAATAATTTAGAACCTACACAAACCAAGGATGCTTCCACATAAGTTTCAGTTTTTTTGGCCATGTGGTTCTTGAGAAGAAGATTTTTAGAGATTATTCCTAAATATTTCAGTGTAAAACTTGAGTTACCTAGTATTGTGGCCCACCCTCCTCCCTGGGGTCATGATTTGAACAATTTAGAATCTACACTACCCCAGGTTGCTTTCACATTAGTTTCAGCTTTTCTGACCCTGTGGTTCTTAAGAAGAAGATTTTTTTAATGACCCCACCCTATTTTTGTCTTTTCTTGATCATCTCCCCTTGTGAAGAGACTTGGCCCTTCATTTTAACAATTTAAACTCCCCTTCACCCTAGGATGCTTTGTACCAAGTTTGGTTAAAATTGGCCCAGTGGTTCTTGAGAAGAAGTCGAAAATGTTAAGAGTTTACAGACGGACAGACAGCTAGACGGACAAAATATGATCAGAAAAGCTCACTTGAAGGCTCATATGAACTAAAATATTATGCAAGTAAACCTTAACCTTTAGATCGCCAATGAAACTCATAAATTTCAACAGTTTGTCCATTGTTTACATTTTAGATAGGGTATAACTGGTCCCATTTTGATTCAAATTTCTATATAAATTATGTCTCATCTAATAATTGATGAAATTAAGGTAAATAAATAGTAAAAAATTAGAAGTACTTTCCATTTTTTCAGAAAGATTTAAATGCTAACAATATTTCCAAAGAAATAAAAACACAAACATTTATTTTTTTAATTTACTAGTTTTACCTATTCCTTTCACGGTCAGCTAATTGCAGGAAAGATCGACCTGGATTAAATAAAATGTTCGTAATATAGGGTGTATACACTTTTAAAACTTGCATATATAACTTAACTTTACTATTTTATAAATTCCGAAATGTATTTAATTATGAAATATTGTCAACTTCAAATTAAATTAGAAAGTTTGATAGCTGCTGCGTTAACTAGTGAAATCTCCAAACAAAGATGGCGACCAATCTTGTGAGGAAAATGTGTTCAGCGAAACTTTTTCGCAAAGGTCAAAGGAGTATAACAACGACGTCACGTTTAAGTGTTGCTGGCTACAAAAAACTTCTTGAGGATCGAGACATCGAGTTACTGAAAAAGAAAATTGGCGATTTAGAGGCAACACCGGCTCCAAATCTTGCAGACAAGAATGTGACTTTTGAGGCATTGTTTCGAAGATCAAAGTTTTGTCAGTTAGGGGACATTTCAAATTCAATAGTAATGGGTAAAGTGATTGACGTTGTCTGTGATGATTTGTATATTGACTTTGGGGGTAAATTTCATTGCGTGTGTCCGCGTCCTTTGACCACAGAGATAGTAAAAAATGAAGAGACTGGAAAAGAGGAAATAATACAGCGCTTTGATGATAGGTACTGATATTCTTTTATGCTGAATCACATCAACGAATCTCTGAAGGTGTTAATGGAACGACTTTACTTTACCTAGATAGAATGTTCTATCGTTAAAATGATATATGTCCTATGGACTCGGTTTAACGATAGAATTCGTTACGTGTATTCTCAATGTAGCAAAATAAACGCGGGCGATAACTCGTACTCAGTGCATTTACTATGAACAATACAGAGAGTTCCAAATGTAAACATGGCAGGTAAATTTGTAGTTAGAATAATCTAACTGTGTCTCGGTACAAGCCCTCACCACAGTTAGAATACGTCCCATATACTTGCAATGTAGCAAATCGGAGCGGATCCACTCCGAAACGATTTCGAAGAATATAAAATGATTTGCACTGGGAATAACTACCAAAATAATCAAAACAAACCTTTTTGAGATTGCTTATGCCTTTTATCCCAAAAAATAATCCATATAAATACGAAAATCCAATCAATTTTCTCAACGTTTTTCTCTCGATTCAAATTACCTGCCATGTTTACATTCGGAACTCTCTAGATTGTTCCTAGTAAATGCAATATGCGAGTTATCGCCCATGTTTCTTTTTGCTACATTACGAATACACCATGTACACGGGACGAATTCTATCGTTAAACCGGGTCCGTAGGACAATATCATTTTAAAGATAGAACATTCTATCTAGTAAATTTGAAGCGAGAAAAACTATTGAGAAAATAAGTTGAATTTTCGTCTTTCTGTGAATTATTTTTTGGGATAAAAGGCATATACAATCTCAAAAAGGTTTGTTACAATTAATTTGGAAGTTATTTTCAGTGCAAGTCTTTTTGAATTCTTCAAAATCCTTTTAGAGCGATTCTGCAATTATTTGCTACATAGCGAGTATATGGGAGGTATTCTAACTGTGGTGAGGGCTTGTCCCGAGACACAGTTAGATTATTCTAATTATACTTTACCGGTCCCCAGAAAAACGCGCTAAAATGTAGTGTCGCCAAAGGCGACTTCAGTATATATGAGATCGTGTGAGCGATCGAAAAAAATTAAAATACGAGGTTTTTGGGCCTATTGCCCAATTAAATTCTACGGTTAAAAGTTTAGTTTAAAACTTTGTTTTTAAACGTAGTTTTTAACCCTGTTCTCTGAAAAAAAATAATAAGTACATGTATTGTTTATTCATGGAAAAAATTGACAAAGAATAATTCTGAACGATGCGCATGCTTGGTGCCATTTCTTTCTGACTTAGCCATTCTTCCATGTATGATGTAAATAAACGAAATGTCATGGAAGCTGAATTATGATCTTGGAAAAATTACAGAAACAACTGAATTTCTTAAACTTCATACAGAAAATTTATTCTTTCTTTTATTCTTAAATTTTTAAAAAGAAATCTTCAATATCTTCATATTCTTCTTCATATTCTTCTCCATAGTTTCATTCAGAATTTCTGGTAAACTCAAAAGTCTGCAGAAAATGTATTAATATTCCAGGAACATGTTTTCATAGACTGATAGAACAATTAGCTGGTTATTTCTGAAATGATAGATGAAACAGTTTTACCCTGTGTAAAATTTAATTTATATTTTTACAGCTACACATATGGTACAAGAGTAAAATTACTGCTGAAGGAATTTGAAATGGCCGACAAATTTCTAGGATCAGCACGCTATACATCTTTACTCGAGGCAGATGCAGTTCTCCTCGGACATGTGACACAAAAAGAAATTCTGCAAGAAGAATTGCAAGAAAATATATTGTATTGATTTGATTAAAATTCTTATTATAAATGGAATGCCATGTGTGTGTTTATTTGTTTTTGGAATTAAACAAGATAATCATTTATAAGGAAACCTAAAAAAAAGAAAATGAGCAAATATAGTTTGTCATTTGATAAACCAGATGTTTCAATTGCAAATTATAGTTTAAAGAACATAAATTATAGTTCAGGATATTAATCAATAATTAATATATCTAAACTATAACTGTATACACATAGATCTTAAACTGTTTACACTGTACTTCTCGGTGAGGTACACATCACTGAACCTGTGAATGTATTGGTTTGTATCATGGATATTGGCCTGGGAAGCTCAGTAGGTAGAGCACCTGACTTGTGATATAGGGATTAGTCAAACAATTCAGCCAAACATTTTCTCCTTTACTTAACAGACAACGCCATTAACCACCCCTGGAATTGTTGGTGAAATTCCTGCAAGGGGTAAATAACAAGAGGTCCATGGGCCACATCGTTCACATGAGTAAATTTAGCCATGCTATTCTATACCATATTTCCCTCTTGTAATTTCTATTATGATCCCACCCCAACCCCGGTGGTCATGATCTGGAAAATTTAGAATCTACACTATTCCAGGATGCTTCCACATAAGTTTCAACTTTTCTGGCCCAGGGGTTCTTGAGAAGATTTTTTTAATGACCCCACCATATTTTTGTCTTTTCTTGATTATCTCCCTTTTTTAAGAGGATTTGGCTCCTCACTGTAATAATTTAATCTCCCCCTCACCCAAGGATGTTTTTTTACAAAGTTTGGTTAAAATTGGCCCTGTGGTTCTGAAGAGTTTAAAATGTGAACAGTTTACAGATGGAGTAACAGATAACGGATGTTCCGAAAAGCTCAGTTGAGCTTTCAGCTCAAGAGAACTAAAAACTTGGGTTGTTTGGGAAAACAATTCAAGGAAGGAGGAATGTAATATTTTTGGACATATACATATTGGCCTGGGTAGCTCAGAAGTTAGAGCACCTGGCTAGAGATACAAGGGTCCATGCATCTTCAGCCATTCATTTTCTCCTTTCATAGGACCAGAAGATTTTAAACTGATGTGAAAGTTTCATTATTATCTGAAGATAAAAATATGTTGAAATTATAATCCCTAGTCCCTTAAGGTTAGTGTGGGGCCAAAATAGACGATCAAAGTCTATTAAAAAGGACTATCATATTATAGAAAATACTCCGTAAATTAAAAATCTCTTGTTAGAACAGCGATGGCATGGATGGCGCTTGTTTCAAACAATTGGCTAGTTTTTTATACTATATAATAAAACGTGTTATTATATACATGAAGTATAAAAAACTAGCCTATTGCATAAAAAAGCGCCCGTGATGGGTGGTCATCATGGTGTAGAAGTTTGTTCAAATCATGACCATTGTGGGTGGGTGATACTACAGTGGAGGTTCAAAGTTTTAAATGGGAATATATGAAAAATCTTTTACATGTATTATAATGCCATGAAATTATCTGCGGATATACAAATAGTAGATTTAAGTTTGTTCAAACCATGACCCTTACGTTATGTAGGGCCACAAAAGACTATCCAAGTTTTACATGGTATTATACTGGTAAATTAAACAAACTAGAGAACTGAGGAAAAAATGCATATGGGAAACGGAAAAAGTCATCCTTGACCTTTCGGCTTTTTGTCTTACGGTTAATAGAGGTCTTCCTGACTCGTTTTATTGCAAAATCTTACATAGAACCAAAGATTGTTATCATTGAAAACGATAAGTATACAATGTCTGGATCTTTGACATCAAACGTAATGGTTTTTGTACAGTGTATATTAAAGTTGAACTGATAAAAGACATAAAATTCCACTGCAAAATTTTGAAGAGAACTATGTTAAATTATCACAAGAAAGCCATTTTTAAGGAATCTTTTTAAAAGTGTCTTGGAGTTTAAATATAGAATTTCATTTAAAAAAGCTTTACGGGAACTTCAGTTTCATCTGTATGCCATCTTTGCAATACGAGTATTTGAATTTCTTACCTTGATCGTTTTTTCTCAAAATCGGGGTTCATTTTAAAGTCACAGGGAGAAATGATACAAAAGTTCATTTACAAAATGATCACAGTATCTTAAGTTATCATCTGGAAAGCCACTTTATAAAACCTGCATATGGTGTTTTCGTCTCCCAGTTTATTCCATATTCAAGAACAAGTTCCGAGTACGATCGATTTTTACCCGGAGACAGGATACTGACAGATAAGTTGATGTTACAGAGCAAATCTGATTAAATTCAGATCATTTTATCCGCTTATTAACAAATAAATTGCTGATTTTAATTAGATTGTGTTAAAGGGGTTTGAGCTTAAAGTCGGCATTTCGTAAATCCAATGGCTGTAAGATAATGTTACATAATTATGTAGTTTTGAGATCTGTTTTTCATGCAAAAATCCTAAATCATACAGTGGCGTATTTAATCAATGCTTTTATTAAATATTAATCAATTATATCTAAAAGTGTTGCTAAGAAATATAATGGAACACAAGTTGAATATAAGTCAGTGGTTCTATCACTCCAGGCCAATCCACCCGGGATAGAAATAATCAGACATATCGGAACTAAAGTCTTTCCGGAGACTACTGTCGTTTCTAGCTACATTTTTGAAGTAGATAGTTGTGCCATTGGCCAGAAAACCCCCCCACCAACCAAACGATCCAACAGTCATAACTGTGTGATTGCACATCGAGATGGCGCACATGTCGACTTCCCGCGGGCTTTCAGGCGCGAAGACTACGTCACTTCCGTTTATGTGATATTTGCACCACTTGAGATCCTCCACATTCGGATTTGTAAAAACGATGAACACCAATGGGTGGTATCTATCTCTAAAATATTTCAAAGATCTACCGAGATATTCCCCTGTGGCTAAAGTATATCCATATTTGACATTTTTATCAAGTTTATAATCACCCCTTCGTATATGGACGCCCACTATCGTTAGGTTGTTACTAGAGAAGGGTTTCGTCAGTGTCTCTATAAGCGTCCGTGCTTTATGCTGAACATCCTCCATAAATACAAATTGTTCCCTAATCTCACTCTCCACATCCTGAAAGTATTTCCAAGACTGTAGATAGGATTTATGAATGTAGTTCAGATTGTTTTTCCTATAAAAATGGACGGAACCTTTATCATATGCACACGGTTTCCTCTCTACAACCTTTTCTGCAGTGTCACAAAACTGTTTGCCGATTAAGAATCTGGTAGAAATATTGAAAGTATTAAACATTAAGGATGTAGGCGTTATTCCTATAGTCATGTTTCTGGCCCGGGCTATCCCATAAGTTGAGGCATATTGAAACATATTGTTACCCAAGCCTCCCCGGAAGTAAGCACATAACCGGTTCTCCTCAGTTTGAACCGGAAGTAGGTGTTTCGGTCTTTTTAGGAAGAGGTAGAAAAAGAAGCAGTTGATCAACACACTGAAAAACAGGATCAGCAGCAAAAGGTCTAGAGGAAGAAAGAACACAATCAGATATGATAAACGGAAACAACTCAAATTAAGAATGATATAAAACTGTATAGTTTTAATCGTTAGCAAAGAAAACCCAAGAAAAAATTCAAAAAAGTTCGAATTCATCAATTCAGGTCACTAGCGCTACGGTCTTTTCATTATTTCACAAGTCTATATATTCTCCATTTTTTTACTGTTAACCGTGCTTAAACGTCTTTTTCTCTCCTGTCATTTTAGGGGGAAAAGATGCAATTCAATAAGTATTTTTGAATAATTCAGTACCAGTTTTCATAATTCTTCTCATAACTGTTCATTTTTCTCGTGTCCCTAAAAAATAAAAAAAAAATGTGATATACAATGTATTTAGTGTTCATTGTTGTTGTTAAATTTTTCAGTAGTGCAGACTGAATTAAACTATAGAATGATTTAAATCATTTAAGAACATGTATACGTTTCCTTGCCTATATTATCCTTACGTACACTATACATGCATACATTAAAACAAACAGACAACCATACAAACTTGCTTCAATGCAACTGCAGCTAAAACAGACAATAAGTCCTTTTTCTATTGCTAGAGAAACACGTATACATTCAAATACTTAAACTGGAATGGCGCTTTAAAAAATGGAGTACTGTGAGCACTGAGCTCACTAAATGATACCACCCGCCAACAATATGATTCTAAATGCGAAGTCCAAATTTTGCTCTGGGAAACCTGAAATAAGTGTCAGGTCATATAAAATAAAAGGTGCATAGTGGCATTATGTAATAAAGAATTTGTGAAAGTATATCATTAAATTCTATTAAGTGGTATATAAAAGGAGTTGTTGATAAGAGGTGGGTACCAAATAATTTTTTTCCAATATGATAGAAATAATGTAAATAAAAGAATGGCCAAATTTATAATAAAGCATGCATTATTACGAATCATTCACCTTTTGAAGATATGAAGATATGAAAGGGGGGGGGGGTAATAAAACATGCATAACATTCTCATAAAAATATTTTAAGAAAAAAGTCAATGTTTTTGGTATCGTAAACCCAAAGTATGTGTCCGATTAAAAAGTAAAACAGGAGGTCACCCAATGAAAGAAAAAGTGAGGAAAAACCCCTCTCTCTCTCTCTCTCTCTCTCTCTCTCTCTCTCTCTCTCTCTCTCTCGTAAGAGTGTGTGTGTCTTTGTGTGTTTTCAAAACAATAACGTAAAACACTTTAAAAATTTAAGAAAAGAACTGCAAATTCTGTCTCGAGAGTAAAAAAAAAACAAACATATATTTCCTTATTAATGAACAAACAGTACGTACATTTATACCTTCTACATTTGTGACTTGTCCCAAGGCCCGCAGGGAGCGCATTTTAACGTACATGTACGACCAGTTAACTGATTAATGTTGTTGGAGAACGAAGCCATTGTACATTCCGCTTACTTCTAATATACGATTTACAAAAAAATGTTCTTTTTATTGAATCCTCCACCAAAAAGGTGGGATTATTTTTGGAATGGTTGATCATCTAAGGTTAGGCCTCTCTAAGTAAACGAATGGGAATGCAGGTCGGGATTACTTATGATTAATTTAAATTACAACAGAAATTTGCGCAATTTCAAACAAATAAATCCACTTAAATAAATAGCGTGCCTATATTTACAAACCTCACCTGTTCAATGTGTTCTAACACATTTCTGATGACCAATATATCAGAGTCAGGAACCACTACATTAAATGTCCCATATTACAGTCTGTTCACGTGTAAACAATAACATGCCGGAAAACCTACTATATATAGACTAAATTATGCATGAAACGAAGCTAACGATTTACATTTACCTGCTGTTTAATGTGAACCTACCTTGAATTTAAGATGTCGAGTCAGAAGCGTGTTGTCAAAGAACTGCGTCACGATGCATCGAGTGATGATAAGGACATATTATCGCGGAGACTTGGCGTGGATCTAACAAATCATCATAATATGGGAGCAAATATTTACCTCCTGTAAATAGTAAAAAAAAATAATAAAAATTGTTCTGTACTTAATACGAATGCACATGCTCTCATTGACACCCCCCTTTTTTATTGTGCTAATGTTTATTTATAGGACATATTCAGTTTCTTTTGTTTCCCACGGGAGTTGGTTTCAACACTCATGCAAAACATTCAAAAAGATGTTTTTAAGTACATTGAAATCAATCCCGAAATTTCGATGTTCCATTAAAACAGGTGTAATTTTTTTTGTTTGATGCTCTATATATTTTATATAAGGTTCAAGATAAAATATTCGTATTACCTCCAAAGTCAAGGTGATGCTAATTCTCGATAAGGGCTGTGTCTTATCACGAAGTCTCAAAGTTATTATTTAATAATTCTATTTCGGGATAACGCTCAAACCTAAGCACATATAACTTTATCTCGGAAAAAAAATTAGAAACCCAAACGTTTGTCCCGTTAGTCGTAATTTATGCATGTTAGGCTGTCCAAAGTTAATTCTATGTTAAACTCACACGGGTACGGAAGTTTCAGAGAAATAACCAAAAATGTATCTCGGATTGCTTTCAATTTTCTGCATTCAATGGGAACAGGCAACATTTATGGGGTATATTTGAGATACTGATAGATTAACTAGAAAAAGTTAATAAATAATTAGCTTTAAAATACATAAACATAAAATACATGTTTTTACAGTATTTAGATCCGTATATATGCCGAATTAATTTTTTAATCATTTGTTTTACCCCCCCCCCCCATTCGTAAATTTTGAAGGTTTTATGTGACGTTAGACGTAGAACTAATTTAGTACATAATTTATTTTCATTCTTGATATTCATCTTGTATAAATCACCATTGCTATATACGAATACATTAAATATTAGCTTTAGGCTGGAAAATTTTTTTTAAAAAAAATAAGATGTGTTTGTGAAACACTAATGTCCAATACAGGCAGCTTAGGGCGAAGGTTAAAGTCTTTTTCATGAGCAAATCAAACTCCAAGGTCAAGAGATCAAAAATGCATGTTGTTTAAGCACACAAAGATTGGACTTGTGTTAATGGATATACCTGATGAAGTACCATTTATTCAAAAGTTATAGTCAATGTTAATGTTTTCAAAAAGTTGATATCAAACTCTAAGATTAACGTCAAATGGTCAAAATTAATGGAACGAAAGGGAGGACTTTGTCATTCAAAATACACATGCAAAATATAAAAGCCCAGGTATCCGACTGTTCTAATATGATCAAAAGTTCAAGTTTTCCAAAAGTAGGCCAAACTCCAAGGTCTAGGTCAAAATTGCTGGTATCCAAAGCAAGGTCTTACCTGTGAATTCTAACTGCATGTTCAGAAGTTATGGCCAAGGTTAAATCTTATAAAATTGAGTCAAACTCTAAGGTCAAGGTACGAAATATTAACATCATTTGGAAGTTTTTGTCGCGATAAATAAATTGAGTGAAATAGTAAAGCTTCAGTACCTATTGTTTAAAAGTTCCCGTGGTCTTACTGTGAACCTTTCAGGAGAAGGGATTTTTTAAAAACCAAATAGAATGGCTTTTTGAAGACAACACAGGCACGAACCAACAGGGGGCTCTTTTATAAAATGTGTGTCATATATATGTGTCATTCGAAAACGGTTGGTTACGGGTATATTTATAAATGGCTTATATGATAGAGACTAAAGGGTACATTATCGATAACATGTAGTTTATATTAGAATACAAATACCGGTGTAGGGAAAAGGTGTTTGGGGAACACTGCATGATCCCCCCGCATAGCAGCCTTTGGCGAAGGCTAAGGTTTCTCAGGTAAAACTATACAAGGTCAAGGGGTTAGAAATGTTGTTTTTTTTTTTTTAAGGAATTGTATCAATGAATAAACTCGTGAAAAATAATAGCCAAAGAAGCAACCGTTCTAAAGTTAAGGCTAAGATTTAAAAGTTTTTCGAAAGCGGGTTAAATGCCAAGGTCAATGTCAAAGGGTCTAAAACAATGATGCTCAGGGAAAGGACTTGTCACAAGGATAAAGGTCCTACAATTAATGAACCAACTCCAAGGTCAAAAGCGCAAAATTGTTGATATCCAAATGAATGTCTTGTCACAAGGGATACATATGTGAAATACAATACATACAAATGTATGTGCATATATAAAGTATATTAAGTGTTCAAAAGTTAGGGACAATTAAGGTTTAAAAGTCAGACTCTTCGGTCAAGGTCAAAATATCAAATATAATTATATCCAAGCAACAGTCTTGTGACAATGAATACACATAATTATGAATTATGAAAATCCTAGCACCAACTGTACAAAAATTATGACCAGAGTATATTTTTTGCAATGATCGAGCAAGGTTAAAGTTTTAGTGGACAAACAAACAAAATTAACAGATCAACAGACAAACACACAGACAATGGGGAATCATTTGGATCTATATTCACAGAAAAAACCTTAAAGCTATTGTCTTAAAAGCTAAAAAAATGTTGAATTTCACTAACATGAAATTAAGTATTTCGGAATTACGATCTCTTAGCATATTGCTTCTTCATTTAGGGTGTAAGACCATTTTTCCTGCTTGAGATGCACAGAAGAAAAACTGACAATATTGATTATATTCACAATAATGACAATGTTATTTGAAGTAATGCCATTAAAATGCGGTTTTATTTGAAAAGCAGCATAATAATTTTCACCATTACAAGTAAGACAAAATCCAACTCGTTATCACCAAGTGGTACTAATTTGCAAGATCATTAACTTACCTATTTTATGATCATTACCGCTACACATGATTTTATCAGGAAGACCATAGTCGATAACAAGTCGTTACCGCTACATATAGAATCAGCCAGCAGTGCCACTGAATATGAATTCATTATAATTCATTAAAAGATATTTTCAGACAACAGTGCCTCAACCAAATGGCCTTCAAAACTCTACCAATCATGTAAATACTGTGTGTTTTAACATGAAAAATGCTCAGTTTTGAAACTTTCTAATATGTGTTAATGAATGAAAATGATTTTAAAATGTAAAAATGATTGAGAAAAAAGAAACTTTCTGCTCAAAATCTACCTTTCACTTCCCTGTGATATATGTAAGCAGGGCAAACAGTGGTAATAATATTACAACTGTTTGCCCTGCTTACATGTATAATATAACTTTTTTTTAAAATGGCCGTAATGGGTATGTAGTGTAATAAAAATTTTGAAAATGTAGATGTAATTGATACAAATTCAGATGAATGTATGCTGGGCAAATGGTTTGTGATTTGATGAGAAGAGTTTAATCCTCTTAATGACATTATCTGGAAAGAAAAAACGTAGACAAAATGAACCGAAAAGATAAAGATCAAATACTTGAAACAATTACCGGTATGTTTTTATTTTCAGATAAAGAATGACTAGTCTGAGTTTGAGTTTAGCGTCTCTAAATGGTGAGAAAGAAGAACAGTTTCTGGAGCATTATTTTTCTCACGTCAGTCACTGTGAACATGACAAAGCCAGGGAACTTGCAGTAAGTTTTCTTGCATCTTGATGACAGTTGTATAATTCTAGTAATAATTTTATAACATTTCTTTAAAATCCCCCTTTTCCTCTTTTTTTGTCAATGCTAATTAATTGCTTTGAATTGGATTTTTTATAACAGGAGAAGGAGAGAGATGCTTACAAGGCAATGTTTGGTTCCTCCTGGGCCATGTTCTTACTTTCACTTTCACAGTTTGCCACAGCAGAGAAAACTTACATGTCACTGGGATTTTTAGAACAGAAGAGCTTCTTTACAAGATCAAAAGATGTAAGTAATTTTACAGTGATTTATTGAATACATTGTTCAATAGATAAATCATGTTAGATGTTAAGAATTGATATAAAAAATGAAAATCTACCAGTTCTCTGAGAAAATCTCTTTCCTGCTAAAAGCAAGACTGACATCTAGCATATGTAGATACACATGTAATAGAGAATGTGTTAATATTTTATAAAAAAAATGATGTCTTTTTATAATTTAAAGTAAATACTTAAAAAAAACCAGGTAATCAGAGATTACAGAGCTCACCTCAACGAATGTTGTCTTTAAGTAAGGCAAAGTCACACAATTAACTAACAAAAGGTGTACATCCAAAAATACAAAATTTATGCACTTTTGATCTGATTCTTTCGAATAGACCTATATAAAACTTCAAACTAGTTCTTTATCATGAAAACATAATTAAAATCCAGCATCTGAAGCAAGTTTGAGAGTTTTCATCCCTAGATGCATCATTTGTACAAGTTTGATTTATATAAGCCTTGCAGTTTCTTGGTAATAGACCTGCACCCATAACTTTTACCTGGTTCATTATCTGGAAAATGTAAGTCGAATTCAGCATCCAAAGCAAGTCCATTGGTGTGCATCCTAAGATGCAAGTTTGCTCAATATAGGGCTCATAGTTACTTGGAAATGAAACCTGCATAAAAAGCTAACCTTTTCACTCATCCAGAAAATCTAGGTCAGATTCAACATCCGAAGCCAGCCAGGTAGAATGCATCCTAAGATGCATCATCCATGCAACTTTGGTCATTAAAGAACTCATAGCAACTTGAAAAATGAAACCTGTACCAAAAACTTTGATTGTCCACTCAGTCAGAAAAGTTAGGTCAGATTCAGCATCCGAAGCAGGCTTGGTAGTGTGCATCCGTAGATGTATTATCCTTGCAAGTTTGGTCAACATAGGGCCCATAGTTACTTGGAAATGAATCACCAAAAACTTTAACCTGTTCACTCGTCCAAAAAATGTAGGTCAGATTCAGCATCTGAAGCAAGTCTGGTAGTATGCATCCTAAGATGTATCATCCATGCAAGTTTAGTCATTATAGGGCTCATAGTAACTTGGAAATGAATCCTGCACCAAAAACTTTAACCTGTTCACTCATCCAGAAAACGTAGGTCAGATTCAGCATCCGTAGCAAGTCTGGTAGTATGCATCCTAAGATGTACCATCCATGCAAGTTTGGTCATTATAGAGCTCATAGTAACTTGGAAATGAAACCTGCACCAAAAACTTTAACCTGTTCACTCAACCGGAAAATGTAGGTCAGATTCAGCATCCGAAGCAAGTCTGGTAGTATGCATCCTAAGATGTACCATCCATGCAAGTTTGGTCATTATAGAGCTTATAGTATCTTTGAAATGAAACGTGCACCAAAAACTTTAACCTGTTCACTCAACCGGAAAATGTAGGTCAGATACAGCATCCAAAGCAAGTCTGGTAGTATGCATCCTTAGATGTACCATCCATGCAAGTTTGGTCAACATAGGGCTTATAGTTACTCGGGAATGAGACCTACACCAAAAACTGCTCCAAAAACATTAACCTGGTCATTCCTTTGCTGAAATTTCAGCATCTGAAACTGTGACTAGTACAATGAAACACACTAGGAACAACTTCCATGCATGTCTAATCAATATAGGACATAGAAGTACTTAAAAGGAAAACTGCTCCAAAAAACTTAACCTTAACCCGGGACACCGACGCCGAGGGTATTACATAAGCTCCCCCAACTTCATTGAGGTGAGCTAAAAATATTTAAATTCATGTACTAGTATAACGTTTTGTCATGATTTTGAGAATTAAAGACCATATTTGTGTTAATTGCAGACTCTGAAGAGCTGTTATCAGACCCTGATGCAGGATTTTAGACGCGTTGAGGAGGCTGTAAAATCCACAGAGGAACAAGGATTTGGAATGTCCAGCAATGTGATCGAATTCGAGAAGTTACTAGCCCATCTTTGTGATCAACTGTGCTTCTTTACACAGGCCAGACAGGAGACAATCAATTTGTATCCTATGCAGGTTTTAAATTCTTAGCTCAGACCTGTCACTTTCCAGGGGTACCTTTTCCATCAGAAAATTTCCTTTCACTCTTCCAGTTCCCCTTTGGACTAAAATATTGGTTCAAAACCATCAAAATCCTTAATTGGGTCCAAAACCATCAAAATCCAAATCTTCATTTTTTCCTCCTTGATATCCAGCATGCAAACATGATTGCAGTGAGATAGGAGTCTTAAACCAAATTGTGGAATTTTAGTTTCCAGAGTTCAGGTACAGGAGAGGGTGAAGTAGATCTTATGCTATAAATGCACTTTGTATTTAAAACTCCTCTATTCCTAAACATCTAGGTTATAAGGTTAATACATGTAGATAATGTACATGATCATAGAATCCTCACTCTTCCAGAATTAATATATGGCACTGGATTCCAGAATTCAAATTCCAGGTGGGAAAAGTTGGTTAAAAGATGTAAAAGCATCATGGTTCCTTCTCAGGTGCCCATGGCAACTTGTCTAAGTAAGAGAGGAAACATTGAGATAGCCAAGGGGTTGAGATACTGGTTAAAATAAATAGTGATATAAACTATGAATTAAACATATCCATGATATTCAAGATATCAATAAGATACCAAAGTTCCAGCTATATCACTTTAGTTCCTTGACAGAGGGGACTAGCTATGAACAAGTTCACATCATGGGGATGACAAAGCATATCAACTTTGAAGATCTTAACATGGTTGTCAAGGAAATTATAGCAGGACACAACAAGAATTTTCACCATCCAATTTTAGCACCACTCAAAACTGTGTTTGGGTAAGTCAGTGAATTGTTGGGTCTAATAGTTCTTGAGAATATTGAGATCTTAGCGGATATTACACCATTGAATTTATGAAATATCAGTTATAAGTCAAAGGTTCCAAAAACCAGCTCAATGGTTTTATAATTATTCTGCATTTCAGCTTAAACATTTAAGTTTGTACAAAACCAAAGTGTCTGAATGTCTGGAACACCATGAAGTCTAAAATAATCAAACTTTATCAGTTAATGTTCAGTTGATGTGTCTTCTAGCTGGCACACTGTGAAGCCTAGAATTTTCAGACTTTATCAGCAAATAATCAGTTGATGTTCAGTTGATGTGTCTTTGGGATGATCCGTCTACTGTTGTCATTCTTACCCACTGGATGTTCATGTGTCTTTGTCATAGCATGACCATATTCAAAATTCAAGACATTATTAATGTAAAACAGCTTTCATTTCTCGAAATTGATATATATTTGTAGATATGAGTGTGATACATTAAACCATTTACTGGTTGCCCAGACTATGATGTCTGACTGGAAGTTTCTGATGGCCCTCTTACACATTCATGAAGCCCACACAAAACTGACAAGCTGGGCTACATTAATTCACCCTAAGGAGGTGAGTTTATGTCTGTTGAATAACTACTTTGAAAAAAAAACTGTTCAAAATTGCAATAAGTTATCCAAAGGGAGAACACTGCGACTCAATGCTTATGTGGACTCTGATATTGATTGTTCTGTACATGAGGGTATATAATAAAATACCAAGATTTTAAATGATAGAATTTATAGATTTTTTTTTATCAAAAAAGAACAATTGCCAGATGATATTATCTATGTACATGTAACACTTGATTATAACAGAGTAAGAAATCTGCCTTCGGAGGCTCCAGTAAACATGGCTCCCTGCCTGCCCTTTATCAGTGGCTGAGTAAATTCAAAAACCTGCTGCTCTCTAAAGTGAGTCAACTTCCTACAATTTCCATAACTCTGTCTACATTTAACCTTGATTTGTTTATTTTCTAAACCATTTTAGTATCTGATTTATAATTTCATCTCTACTGTTGATGACACTACGTTGTCAGTACATGTATTGCACTGCTATTTTCAGTTCAGTATCTACTTTTATGACATTGTCGGTATCACATTGCTCTCGTTTCAGTTCAGTATCTACTTTTACGACATCCTACAAAGGCAGGCCTCTCCCCTTGAAATGAAATCCTTGATCAGTAAAACTCCTGATGATTTTGTCACAAGGTAATGGAGAGGATGAGATCAAACTAATAATTGATATTACATTGTGAATCAAAAAATAAATGTTCAGTTCTCAAGTGTAAGGGTGGATAAATATCATTCTGAAATCAAATTCTCAATTTGTAATTTTATTGTGGTTGTGATTTCGCTTTTATGATTGTTGAATGAAATTTAGAAAATATTGTAGTATAATAAGCATACTTGTTAACATTAGCATATGGTGAAACTATATGTTGTTCTGTAAAACTACCAGGTATTGGTGTGTTCGAAGTGTAGCAAGAACAGATTCTGTTTAGAAAACAGGAAAACTGATACAAATTAAATTAAAAATGTATCTGAATTCAGATATTATATTGTTGACATTTTGATTTGGTTTCAGGATACAGACATTTCACAAGAAGTCTGATGCGTGTCATGTCTCCCTGGTCCTGAACACTCAGGGACTCGAGCGAGTTTTCCCTGGGGGATATCAGTACCCAGGGAGACTGGTGGAAACACCCCAGGGACTGGACACTTTTCCTGCCATTTTTTCCTACCCAGGGGTATGTCTAAATTCACTAAATTTATAAAAGAAAAGTGTAGTTAAAATGTAGTCATGTTCAGGCACAGTTAGACAGATGCCTGTACATATAATTCTTAATTTTCCCACTATGGATGTTAAACATAGGAAAAAGTTGGAATGGCCTAATGAATGTGAAAGTTCTGAGAAATATGCACTGCTTTGTGCACTGTTTGAGTTTGGTCAGGGAGGAGAAAAATAAAGTTTGCACTGTGTATTAGAACACAGATGACTTCCTGATCAGACAAGTAAAATAACAACACCTCTGTAATAGTTGTTCTGCTCTATGATTTAGGACATACCTGCCAATCATTTTCCTGCGGTGATGATGACCACACCTCTGTAATAGTTTAACTGCTGTCTATGTTTCAGGATAGACCCGCCAGTCATTTCCCTGCAGTGGTGATGACCACACCTCTGTTATAATATGTAACTGATCTCTATGTTTCAGGATATACCTGCCAATCATTTTCCCGGCAGTGGTGATGACCACAACTCTGTATTAGTGTAACTGCTCTCTGTGTTTCAGGGGAGACCCACCAATCATTTCCCCACATGATGATGACCACACCCCTGTAATAGTGTAACTGATCTATTCTTTTCAGGATAGACCCGCCAATCATTTTCCCGCAGTGGTGATGATGTTGACGGAGGGACGTGACAGGGAGGAGCCAGCCGTGTACGCCCAGGATAAAATACACTACATGTACGACAAGGGGTCGCACTCCTCCTACTTCTACACACAGGTCGATACAAGGATCAGTCTGGTCGTTATATTCGAGAGCAAGAAATCAGAGAAAGACTCCTACGTGAATAACTTTATGACTGAATTAGCCACTCACTTAAGGTGTACAAAATTCTTTACTTCCTTAAAGCCAGGCTTTAAGTGAAATATATAGATTATGTTTTTGTCATACTAGTATTTCGATGCCAAAATATTTTTCACAATAAAAATGTGCAATATTTATCTCATAAAAAATAAATACATGAGTATTTTGAAAATGAATTATCTTTATTTATAAGCATCAGAAAACTCAGAACAGAGACAAATTATTTATTCCTGTCACAGCTATAATTAATAGAAGTGCTGTTTATCCATGTATTTGCCTGTTCCTTTCATCTCATTTTATTCTCTCACACCATTTATGTCATGGTACATATTAGGTATATGTCAGAGGTACAAAAAATATATTATTTCTGTCATGAAACATGAATAAAATGTAATTTAATTATTGCCAAGAAAATCAAACAAAATGGATTAGTTTAAGTATTTACAACTTGTTTTTGAATTTGTTATAAAACGTACAATGTATTGAAGTAAAAATAAAAGTTAAACCAGATATCTACATGTAAAAATATAATTCGAGAACACCGTTAAAAAAAAACAAAAGTGGAGCGTCTGAGAAGTTCTATAAATTAACTTCCTTGTATGAGACTTCCGCTTCCTGTGACGTCTGCAGCACCTGTTGTCCTAGTAATTTGACGGTCTCCTCATCCCCTCGTCTGCGACAGCATAGATACAGCATATTGATGGACACCAGGAGAACCATTAGTGTGGCCCACTGAAAAGAAAGATCACTCGGAATCAGGAGGAGAGAAGGGATGCTAACAAATCATATTTCTGTATGTTTTACATGAATTTGATAGCACCCGTTAGAGGTGGTAGATAGTTTGTAACACAATTTTTATGTATTTATAACTGAGATTTTGTACCTGTACTACAGTGATGACCAGTGTTTCCCTCCCGAATTCGTACCATTCCTCCCCGTCCCCTGAGTCTCCATCAATCAGATCATACGCCCACCATCCGATAATGAACAGTGCTTCTAAAGGGGCGATTATTCTAAAATACATTCAAGGTAATATATGTTGTGTGACTTGGAAGGAAATCAGCTTCAACAATAACTACAGTATAAGAGGTAAAGGGCTCCGCTCTGGTAATTGTCTGTTTCACCTCTGCCATGCCTAAATGTACGGTGTGCCTCATATTATTTTCAAGGATGGTCTAGCGAAGTTGACACAAACACTGTAAGCGTAACAAAAAAAATTCCAAAATAAATTCTTACTTGACAATCCATTCCCACACACGCGGGAGTTTCCAGTCTCCAATACTATAGCTGTTAAACATATTTTGTCGAAACTTTCTGGTTCCGTAAATAACCACCATTAGTTGTAGAAAGAATCCATTGATAACAAGAGCAAATCCCCAGACAAAGTCCTATCATGGGAATAAATAAAAGGGTGTTCGAATCGTTTGTGACTTGTGACGTCAGAATGACAAGTGCGGATTAATTGAACCACATGTCTAAGGAAAACCTTACCTGATTGGTCAAAATATCTAAGTTGAGGGCGGAAGCTAGTCCTCCTAGAAATACTAATGTTACCGTACAGGGCATGCCGAATTTCCTGGGAACTGAAAGTTCAAACAGCAGACCAAAGATTAGCTTTCGAACACAGACATGCAGGAGGAGTAACGTTCTGATATTCGCACTAAATTCAATTTTTTTTTACCTCCAAAGTCGTATAAGGTGTGTGTGACCATTTCCATGTTTGCTACCAGAGAAGTGATGCCAGCCATAGACAGACAAGCGAAGAATAGCACACAGAGAACTCGACCAAACACGCCGATCGTGGAAAACAAAACAGGGATCCTAATAATGAAAAGGTTTGTTTAATTTCATAGAATTCAATTATTTGTTAAAGTAAGGCTGTTTAAAATTAAAACTACGTTTAACGTCACCCGCGCGCGTAGGTTTATGAGAAATTCGTCTTTGAAAAAAACAAACAATTCGGAATTCCGTATGTCCGTTCCGGTTTGGTTCTTCAATTAGCGACTGAATTCTGCTTCCCGTAGTGACAGAAATAGCACTAAAGTCAAGCTAGCGGCCAATAAGCTAGCGGCCAATAACAAAAATATTTATCGACTATATTTAAGTGTTTATCGAACCCGATGTAAAAACAAAGATTTATTAATTAATGTCTGGCGCCCAAACTAGGAATTGTGCCACTTAGGGGAGCCCGAGATACTGGGGCTCGAAGGCGCCCCTGTTGATTTCCGGTCTCAAAAGGGACCCAATTTACACCGTTTCTGGGCGCCAGGGCGCCAAATCCAACCCTATTCTCTGATACTTATATGTACTATAGGGGTCTAGAGAGGGCGCCTGGCGCCCAAACTAGGAATTGTGCCACTTAGGGGAGCCCGAGATACTGGGGCTCGAAGGCGCCCCTGTTGATTTCCGGTCTCAAAAGGGACCCAATTTACACCGTTTCTGGGCGCCAGGGCGCCAAATCCAACCCTATTCTCTGATACTTATATGTACTATAGGGGTCTAGAGAGGGCGCCTGGCGCCCAAACTAGGAATTGTGCCACTTAGGGGAGCCCGAGATACTGGGGCTCGAAATAGCCGCAGTTAAGGCAGTTGGTTAAAGAAAACTAGAGAATTAAAGACTTTGGGACCATAAATGTAAGTAAAAAATAGATTATTTTATGATTATATTAATGACAAAGTCTTGTTTGTTGATTTTTTTTTGTCAGTCTTCGAATCATATGTACAGACTGACAGTGACAGACTCAGTGCGATATTCTATTGGCTGAAATTTTCATTGTATTTTGGAGAGAATCGAAAAAAAAATTTTACTGAGTGGAAACTGTGTCATAAACCAGGATTTATATACAGTGAAAAGCATCATTTAAATCCTACTAATATGTTTCATATTAAAAATATTTCTGTAAAAATCGAAAGGAACAGTAATGAGTAAAGTAATCGATTTCTTCATAATTTATGTACCTACAAATAGCTACAATTTTTGGGAAAGATAATATACTTGTCATAACCATTTGAGCAGGGAGAAGCTTACCGAAGATAGGGCCTTTCAAGTGAAGGAGAGTAAGGAAAGTGGTTGGGGTATTCCAAGATGTGAAGAATCCCGTCTTTTGTGTGGAATTCAAGGTATTAAAGATAAGCTAACAGCTATAAGTATGGTCCAAATATTAGTATTCACACTTTCAAAACTTAATGCTAGTAGATTTTGTACTAAGAAAAAATACGACATAATTCAATTTGAGGATATTTCAACATGTACACTTTTAAATATTGTCATCAATAATTTTGATTGTAGATATTGATCAACTTTTCCCACAAGAAGAAGCATTTGCCTCCAGGGCATGGACCTGTGGCAATATGAATCCAAAGGACAACTAAGGCCTAGTTAAAAGCCACTTTCCTGCACATTCAGTCTTAGACTACATTGTTTGCTAACAATAGGACTCAAACTGATTTACATACTAAGGAAAAACTCTGCTAGGGAAATTAATCTTAGGTGCCATATCAATTAAATGCTCTTATTACTTAATTGTAATGTTTTTAATGTACTGAATAGGTTAATTTGAATAAATTCACAATTGTTTGAAAATTTTGTTTGTTTATTTTTTTCCTCCCTCCCTCGTAGGTTTGGAACTTTAGATGTGACGTTAAACGTAGAATTAACTTTAAACAGCCTAAGTTCAAATATTTCTTTTTAGATTGTGATTCAATTGAATCACAAACTCACAATTTCTCTATTTTAGCCACTTGTTTGATAAGGGAAAAGCTTTATGGAGTATCATAATCTTGCAAGACAACATTCATGTACCACTGATTAATACTAGTATCGTTGTTCACACTGTCAATGGGTTGCATTGACAAACTTTCACTTGGATTAACTAATTCATTACATGTATGCAAGACGCCCTTGACTCACCATATGAAGGTCAGACCCGTACTTCCGGGTCCAGATCGCTTCATTATATCCAGGATTCCCGGTTTGGAGATGTTTGGCTCCAAAGCAATCATTGTGGAAAACACGGTGGCGAAAAGCATTATCCCGCATATTAAGCTGAAAACGAGACAAGTGTCTCAACAGAAATCAAGGCAATGTCATCATTTCTCTCAAATTTTAATAGAAAATAAATTTTTAAAGAAAAAATGAATCAAAATGGATAACATTACAAAAAGAATTCTGATAATAATGACATTATTTGCATGTACAGCAAAAGGCCTTTGGGCAAATTAAGTCGCCTTGGTTTTTTTTTTAAAGTTTAATATGGCATAATTCAAACGTTGCAATATATATTCGATCTTTTTCATTGTTTAACATTGTCTATGTCATATGAGATTGTTTAACATTTCCCTTATTATAATGAAATTGTTGAATAAGTCAATTTGTCATATGAGAGATTTTTTTTTATCATGACCAAATATCATATGAGATTATATAACTTTTGCCTGAACATGATAAGATTGTTCCTCATTGCCATGAAGGTGATGAAATTGTTTAACATGTCATTTTATTATGAGATTGTTAAATTTTGTTATTATCTAACAAGATTGCATAACATGCTTATCATACTTGTTTTACACCGTAATGAGATTGTTCTCAGGACCCTTTGTGACCTGATGAGATAAATCTCAAGATCCTTTACCCGATGAGATTGATTACATGACCCTTCACCTGATGAGATTGATCGCGTGACCGGATGAGATTGACCACATGACTGTGACGAGATTGACCACATGACCATAATGGGCTTGTCAAGATCACATAGTCATGATGAGGTTGATCACATGACTTTGTTGAGATTGGTCACGTGACTCTTCATCAGATGAAATCCTTTTTACCTGATGAGATTGTTGATAGAGGGAATGAAGAGTCCGTATTTGACAATGCTGTTGTCCACCGTCATAAAAGAAGCATAGGGTATCATGAGTCCCATCCCGGCTCCGGTGTCAAACGCGTTCTGACTCAGGGCGTCTACCCAAAGGCGGGGTTCACCGAAAGATTCTTAAACAGAGTAAGGAAATCATAAACAAGATAAACCTAAAATTACTTCATAGCGAATAGACATCATTTCAAGGACGCATAATTAGATGAACATGTATAAAATATTTTTAAAAGAATATTTTTTCGAAATGTAACACAAATGACTGATAACCTGAGTACATTTCTACCTGCTTATTTCTTAATTTTTACCCCAATGAGGCGTGAAGAGAAACTTGATGCCGACGTCAGCGTAATCTCTGGTCAGAGACCAAACAAAAGTGAAGAGAATGATCAGTAGCAGAAGCGGAACCAGGAACATGTTGGTTTTCTCTATTGTGTTCACTCCCTTCACCACTGCCAGTCCAGCCAGGAGTGCAGCCAGCGCATGCGTGAGAACTGGCCAATTACTGTCCTATTTAAAAATAAAATGTGTAAATTAAAAGTTTGAAAAATGAGCAATGATTTCGTATTGTTCTAAATGTAGTAAAATCTTTTCGAACACACCTTTGCAAAATCGTTGAATATTGTTTCGCCTGCTTCAGCTGTTTCCGGTAGATCGTTTGCAATCATGTAAACAAAGTAGTACAAACACCACCCGAGCACCACCGAGTAGTAGCATCTAAAAATAACAAGACAAATATATAAATTCTAGAATTTACAGCTAACGAAATAACAATGGAGATCCACTGCACATTATCATAACGTAATACTACGATCGATGCAATTTGTATGCCAATCATTCAATGTTTGAAATATATTTTAGAATTTACAACTAACGATATTAGAAAAGTAACCATGGAGATCCATGCGCCACACCAGGCTGCGCCCTCTCCTAGGATAGCTCGGAATGAACCAATCACAGCTCTCCTTGTATACCGTCCTGTTCCATACTCAATCAACAGCATAGGGCTGGACCACAGAACCAGAAACAGGACCCACGCTAACAGGAAAACCAAACCACCTGAGAAGCAGCAAAAATGTGCATAATTAATATATGATTCATGCAGGATATTAACCCCTGCCATTGTGCAGTATTTTTTTTAATTGCATGTGGAATTTTGGGAGGCACAATTCAAATGGATTATCTTTTCATTCTTCAGCAAACTAAGAAACAGTATAGCTATGAGCATTTTATGATATATTTTATTGCTAAATGCCTGTAAAAGCCCAATTAAACTAACCTTTCTCTTCGCTGTTGGAGGCCAGTATCCTTGGAAACCTCCATATGTTCCCTGTCCCGACCACAGAACCGAGACAGGAGCAGATCAGACCGAGGCGGTTATGGAAGTGTGGACGCTCCTCGATCCTCAGCTACATATGACAGTAATTAAGGGGGCATTTTAAAAATTTATTTGATAAAATTAAGAAAAAGACGCCACTGCACTGTTTATGTTTGTTTTTTCTTATTGATAATCACAATAAAACAAATTAATTGTATTCACTTTCCTTGTATTAATACAAATTCATGTTATCGTTTTTATAGCTGCAGAACTGTAGCTTGCTGGTCTGAAAAAAATAGGATCGGAGGATACATGTATCCGTCATGTACACTGTATGCTCCTTTCAATAATCAGATAAATGATAAAAGTCGTCGACAAATTAGTGCAAATAATGATCTAATAATTAATACGAAAAAAGAAAAACGCCAGTCATGATTCGACTTAATGAAAGTTTGTATAAAAATTTAAAAAACTAACTTTTTGAATAAATTATGCTTCATTTGAATACAAAAATAGGTATGCTGATAACATGGCACAATTAGTACCCATGGGAATTCCAGATTGTTGGAATACCCGATCTATAAAACATTACAAAAATATAAGAATCTGTTGCATCTTTCACTATCAACTTCAGAGCACTTGTGTGAATAATAAGATTTTATTTAAAATAATAAATTTACGAGTTCCATATTTATTGAAAAGGCACCTTTCTATGGTATCAAAAGGCCTGAACTTTATCATGTGAAATGATTACCTTTTCGACCATAAAGTGATATTGTTTATATTCATCAAATTACTAGTATTATTAAAATATGGAAACAAGATGTGGAATATCATGAAAACTATTGCTGTAGTATATTTCTTCGTAAAGTTTCAGAATCTTACCGCATCACCCATTGTGTTGTTTTGATTTTGTTATCCAACCATGTTTATAATGTAAATTTATCACTGAACATGAAATAGGGACCGCCTTATCACGAGTATGTACCCGATAACGAATGCACGGGCTGCTGATCATATGATTAACTGTTACCGAATCAAATATTGTTCATATACCTGTGTGATAAAGACATAAGACTATAATTATAGTCCAGGTACATGCACACCTATCCGATATATCTTCGGTGCAACCGTGTAAATTTTCCTTTTTTCTGTAAAGCATTTTGTTTGTCTGCTCGCCAGCGTGGAGCAGTGGTAAGACTTAAAGAGCGTCTGCTCTAGAGTCGCGAACTAAGGAGTTCATTCTTACGTTGCGGGTTCGAATCCCAGAGTGGGACGTGGAGACCTGTCCTTCGGATGAGACCGTATAAACCGAGATTCCGTGTCGCAGTAGGTGCTGGCACGAAAAAGATCCATCACTGCTCGAAGGCCGTAAGTGTCGAGCATAGGTAAGAATTTGTAGGCCTCTATCGGCAAGTGGTAGCGTCTCCATACGAGTGAAAAATTATCGAGAGGGACGTTAAACAACAAACAATCAATTAATCAACCGTTCGTCTGTTTCTTTGTTCTTTCATAAGTGGACATTTGACCTTGACCCGACTTCTCCATGCAGTTTAAAAGGATTAACGATAGATGTTTCTTTAAATAAAGCACATGTTTTTGGACAAGAGTATTAGACGTGGAAGAGGTCTATCAGAGCCATTTCTCAGCTGACAAACTTGTAACCAAAAATTAAGGTTGACCTTAAGGTCAGACGATACGTTCCCCAAATTTCTGTTTTGTATATAATACATGTACATAATGTTCATAATGTATGAAAAATTTACATAATTTTAATTACTTTGTGATTTCTAAACCTGTTTCTAATTGTTTTTAAAAATTTGAAACACTAAAAATGTGATTTTGGCAAAGTTAATTTTTTTCCCTAAAGGATTATATAAGAAATGCCATCATCTGATATCTCGCACAAATGCCTGGTAACGTACCTCAATATTTTGTAAGTAAACATGTTATAGTAGTATTTATTTGATGACAAAGTCTTGGAAAAAATTATATATTATTGAGGAACGTCTCGTCTGTCCTTAAATTGCGTTAGCACTTCCTAAAGGACAACCTTACGTGGAACTTTATAATGTACATTTATTTCTAAAACGTTTTGAAATCCATGTTCCCCGGTGCCAGGCATCGTGTCTTAGACTTAGCTTAGTTTGTCTTTGAGGAAACTCCTTCGAAAAATTAGATACCTCGTTTACATTATTCTGAAGAACATCTTGTCCTCTATCAAAACTCTATTTAAAATGAATTAGTTCCTGAAGTCAAAGAGGGGCTTAGGTTGACCAAATAAAACAAAAGGATAATTACTGAACATTTACATGTACGATTGAGGCATAACCACTTCAGAAATTTATTAAACAAACCGTTTGAATGATAACATTAAGCCATTAGTTTCCTACGGAAGAGTGAAACTTATGTCCCATTGATGGGCTAAGTTAATCGCACCTTCAAATAAATTTCACCTTTCATACTTCCTAGTTCAGAAACTCTAGGAGTAAAACTTTATATCGGATAATATAAATTCAAAACCCTCACCCAACTAAAGTCACCTCACCGATTTTTTTCTCATAAAAAATCTGTCATTGCCATATTTGTGATAAGATCTACACCAGCAAATCGAAAAATTACCCAAAACAAACGTTCTATTAAATCTACCCTACATTCTCTACATAAAAATCAACAACCTTGTTAATTTATATATAGAGAGGGTAGATATTTTTATAAAATGTAAGTTTAAGCAAATTTTCTGAATTGATAGGATAGATTCTATCACAAATGTGTCATCCATATATAATGTATGTGAAAAAAGTCGAACAGGCCCGGGGGTCTATATTGGGGGGGGGGGGGGGGTCCTGTCCTCAAGCACCTGTGCCTCACACGAGTCCAGTGTTCTACTTCCTGGTTGTCGGAGTTTGTCGTAACCCTGATAATAGTACTCAGGTGATCGTTAGGGCCCACAAACCTCGTGTTATCAGACACTCCTTATACAGGACTGATTAAGGAAATTTATTTACACTTGTGGCAAAACTAATAAAAGTATACTCTAAGCTGAATGAAGTAATGAAATTTTATGAATGGTTACTCTGTAATAACAGAAAAAATCTGCAAGGGAGATCGATACGAGTCTGTAGGGAAAGTACAGACGAACCCGGAACAATATGGTCGAACTTATCTTCTACCCACTGCTCCGAAGAATGGAATTAAAGCGCCTTGTTATTTTATCGTGTCTCCCGATTACAAAATAAACAACGATACAAACTTCAACCTCAAATAATACGTCAAGGTATTCCAGCATGACGTGTTCGTGGCAATTTATCCATATGCAAACATCTTTTGGTCCAAGACTTACACAATATTTATACAAGACTTATACAAAAAAGAAAATAATTCTAATTCAGACAATTTTTTATTTGAAGTTTTCTTTTTTTCTTCTTTTTTTTTCTTTCTTTCTTTTTTTTTTTTTTTATAAAATACAACCATTATTATCACATAGTAACAAAAAGCAAGGGTTAGAAACAAATGTTTAATTCCTAAATATGTGCCATTTTGTGGTCAGAATGTTCTTGACTTTTGATTGTTTTACAAGTATCTACTGATCTAAGTTTGTCCAACAAGCATACACACCATATTCTACAACAACCAGCACTGGTCACTTTACAAATCGGATCTGCAAGGAGGAAAACATTCTCTGAAAGCTCTAAATCACAAAATTTACATACAAGTTCAGTCCGCCAGGTTCTTGTTCATGAATTGGGTCAGTCTACTTAACGCCAGGTCGCAGGCTTCCTTATTGTAGTTCGGACCGCTATAATTAGTGAAGGCGTGGTTAGCCCCGGGGTACGAGTACATTTCGTACTTCACTCCCTTGGCTTTGAATTTCTCCTCCAGTTTTGCTGCGTCTTTGGGCGAGGAGAAACCTTCTAGAGCATCAAGCTGACCAAAATGACACTGTACGGGACATTTAATGGAAGAAACGTCACAGAGACTCTCGCCTGGAATTCCATAAAAGGGTGCTGCTGCATTAATAACTTCCTGTTCTAAAGCCGCGGTAGCTAGTGTAAGGGCACCGCCCATACAAAATCCGGTCACGCCCACCTTAAAGACAAAGAGAAGTTTTAAAAAAATCAGTTTTTACACGTAAAACTAGATCCAACAAATAATACTGTTTATCAAGCTACAAAAGTCCTATAGTTTTGTGTAATTACATTGAAGTTTCCTATCGTGGCGATGGTTTACAACATGTAATGTTTTACATACCTTGGTACATCCTATCGATTTCAGGTGTAATGCTGCGGCTTTGATATCCTTAACGGCGCCTGGCCAGTCCAGGTTATTCATCAAATGGCCGGCTTCTTCGTTGTCCTTGGCCACTTTTCCGCGGTAAAGGTCAGGGACGATCGTAACAAATGGTCCCATATCTGCTATGTCTTTAGCCTCCTTCTGGATTTGCTCATTCATTCCCCACCATTCTTGGATGACCACCAGCCCTTTCTTGCTCTTTGACAAATGTTCATCAAACACAACGCAGGGTAATTCACCCTGAGAGTTCTCAGATTTTACAGAAATTTTTTTTCCACTCATGGTTTATGGAATCTAGAAAAATAAGAAAAAAATTGTTTTAGAAAAGTTAAGTAAAGCTACGTACATTAATATAGGGATGTATTCCCATTCCATTCTTTCAATCCACCAGAAACATGATGTTTTGTCATGTCAGGTAATAGTCCCCCCAACCCCCACTCCCCCCCCCCCCCAAAAAAAAAGCGAAAAAATTAAAACTAATTTTATCAGTCGCAATATATATGACTATGGAATTTTCCAAAACTGCCTTTCCAACTGAAACTGAAAATATTAAAGATGGGTATCTTTATTTTGTCCTATAATTTGGCATTTTTCCTCTATTAATATAGGGAACTTTGCATCTCAGGTCGAATCTAACCACCCCCCCCCCCCCCAAAAAAAAAAAAAAAAAACAACAAAAAAACTTACAAACACACATAACCCTTTCAATAATTAAAAAAAACACGTAAAATCAGATTTATTCAATTAAATAGAGATACATGTAACACTCAATAAAAGTTAATCGATATTGATGAAGAAAATGGGTCTCCATACATTTTTCAATCTGTGTTCTTGAAATATTGTCCAACTCGACATGCATCATCACATGTTGTCATCTTAGTTTAGACAATACATTTCCCTAATTTCTGCTTACCTTTATCACTCACCGTTGCTGACAGACAGAATCACGCACAGGCGTCCTCCAAGAGAATATATAGGGGTTCCCCAATCAGGTGCGCCGCGCCACTTCCCGGTCGATTTCTTAGTACGGAAAAACAAAGGAGTAAAAATAAATACAAGTCAAGTCCACGTTTGTACTTCCATGAAATCTTAAAATTTCGGCGTTAAAGAAAAAGAAAATGTCAAAAAGTAAAATGTCTCACACTTTTTAAGAATGAAAGAAATAAAATGGCAAATAAAAAAATATATATTTAGCTCATAGTAACCTTCATCGTTCCGTTCGCTCCGTTCACATAACAATCCGAGTTGTCCTTCGTAACTCACATTACTCATGTGTGAATCTTGTGAAAAATTAATTTTAACGGGTAAAATGTATTTAAATCTGTTCTAATTTTTGTAAAGAATAAGGGATGGTATATTTAACATAAATTCTTTTTACTTATAAACCAAAAATTTCGAACAACGAGAGTTTGGTATATGCAGGAGATACACATTTGTTAAATTTTTATTACACGTGGGAGATAAAATGTAGCATTAGTTAATTATAACATCACCCAACCACCCTACAAACACACCCACCCTTCCTCTCTCTTTCTCGGCTCTTTGTTTTAGAATGTCATTTACCACTTTCTAGGAAATTTTTACCAATCGGAAAACCCATAACGCCAAAGATAATTCTAATCAACATGTATAGCAGAAATTTTCATGCCTCTTTCAGTTTCAGAATTTAAATATTGATTGAAGATCAGCACTGATATAGCCGGGCAAAATACACAGTGTCGTCACAAAAACACAGAAGCAAAATTAGGAGTACCGAATTTAAATATACGATAAAAGTAAATTTAAAGCAAAGATAAAACTGAGACAAAATGACTCACACATCCTGTTACCAAAGGAATGCGGAACAATCCCGCAAAACGAGCAGGTATGGTCAAAGTCACCCCATAAGGGACATGGATTTGATGTCTTTCCAAAAAAAAAAAAAATAAATTATAAACATTGAACAGTGCATATATATGGGATCAAATCTAGGGAGAATACCCAATAATGAACTTTCTATCATTTTTTTCTCTCCTAGTACCAGGTATAATATTTGATTATTATAATTAAAACCTAAAATATCTACAATTGTTTCTCAAATGGGATAAGATGCCTCAAATGAAAAAAAAATCAGAATATAGGCATTAATTGTTCTTTTAAAATTCGTGAAGTGCAATGACCAGAAGAGCTTATGCGATAGTAAAGTGTCCGTCGTCCGTCCGTCCATTTGTCTGTAAACAGTTTTTTTTTTCAAAATGCTACTCTTCGGAGTCCAACAGTTTTGGTTTGATTTTAATATTACTTTACACACAAGAAGACTACACTAAGGTTCATTGCAGTGGTTAGAGCGTCTTTGGTGGAGTCGCAAAGTAAGGAGTTTATCCTTACGTCGCGAGTTCGAATCCCACTAAGTCGCCCGCATGGCGCAGTGGTTAGAGCGTCTGCCCTAAAGTCGCGAAGTAAGGAGTTCATCTTCGAGTGGGTTCGAATCCCACTGTGGGACGTGGAGACCGGTCCTTTTGACAAGACCGTATAAACCGAGGTCCCGTGTCGCAGTAGGTGCTGGCACAAAAAAAAGATCAATCACTGCTCAATGGCCCTAAGTGCCGAGTATAGGACAAAATATGCAGCTCACCACCGGCAAGTATAGTGGCGTCTACATATGAGTGAAAAAATTCTCGTGAGGGACTTTAAACAAAATACAGTCAATCTTGACAATCGAATCCCACTCTCCAGAGGGACGTTAAACAACAAACATAACATAATTTAGTGCATCTGTATTTTTTTAAAATTTCGATGAACGGTATTGCCTTAGTTACTAAAATAGAAAATTCTGTGAAATTCATTGACACACCCTCTACAGTTTTGGTCCAATTTCAATATAACCTGGTACACAAGACTACACTAAGGTACATTATATTTATTGCTGTCTGTTGCAATGTTTCAAAATCTGCTGCTTTTATTTTGTTATACATACAGAACAGTAGAGCTACAGTCTCATCAGAGACTTCCGGTTCTTTGTTGAGTCGGAAAGGTTTGAAAAAATCTCTGAGAGATATTTAAAAAAAACATAAAAACTTGAATTTGAGCGGAAATATATATGTGTGTGAGTTAATAGTTTGGCAAAAAAACAAAAAAATTCAGAAAAAATTTAGATCGAGTCGGTGGCCCAGAAGCCAGGTGTTAAAAATAGCCTTTTGTTTTAAAATCTTGAATTTCTTTTTGGAACTCAAGAAATTGGAAAAATACTACATAGGCATAAGGACCTTAACGGTCACCCAATTATAATACTGTAAGTAATCCAGAGATGTAATAAATCAAAGTAAACTGATAAATGGAGGATGGAGGTATGCTGCCAAAAACGTAGGACAAGGTAACAAGTCATCATGTAAATTGAATTACTTACACTTCCTTGTGAAATTACACTCCCAGTTGTCGCTATCAATATGCACATTAAACTTTACAATAGTCTGAAAGGGGTACCCATACTTATCTTATAGTTTGTTTGCTTAATTAACACCTATTATCAGCGACGATTTTCAGAGAAATTCTACACTTTTGATGTATGATAAATACAGCCTCACCATACAAAAGAACCTCTTACCCGCTGTCAATTTCACAATAAGACTCAATGGTTATTACAATCAAGACAACAATTTGATTGCTTGATGAGATACACTCTTCAAATAAGACGAAAAAAGATTTTAAAGAGAGAGGCTATTTTTGACCTTGACCTAGAAATTTTGTTCTAGGTCACTGCACATCCATTGACCACTGGCACTCTGTGAGTTAAGTATGAGCCACATTGGACAAAGGCAAGAGAAGACATGCTCCGGACAAGGATTTTTCATATAATTCTGCTATGACCTTAACGTTTGACCTAGAAACATGATTAAAGGTCACTGCACAACCTTTACCCAAAGGCACTGTGTGGGTGAAGTGTGGGCCAGATTAGGTCAGGGAAAGAGAAAATATGCTCCAGACAAGAATTTAAACAGAAAGGCTTATTTTGACCTTGACCTAGAAACTTTGTTCAAAGTCAATGCACATTCTCTGACCACCAGCACTCTGTGAGTGAAGAATGAGCCACATTGGACCGATAGGAGAGATGATATGCTCCTATCAAAGATTTTTCATATAATTCTGCTATGACCTTAACCTTTGACCTAGAAAGATTGTTCACGGTCACTGCACACCCTTTACCCAAATGCACTCTGTGGTGAAGTATGAGCCAGATTGGGCCAAGGAGAGAGAAGATATACTCCGGACAAAAGATCTCGGACGGACAGACGGACAGCTGGACCGCCGAGCGGGGCCCTAATTGCTCAAGAATTCTAAACTTAAGACAGTTCGAGGTAATTTAAGATCAATATCTGGTACCTCACCCTCCCCTCCGGACACAAATGATAGCCTAAAACGGCATCTAATGGAAGTTTTTCTAAAATACAAATTATTTTAATGGGCCTTACAAACGAAGTCAATGTTGTTACCACTTTGTCAACAGGGACCAGTACGCACTGATCATGTTATCTATGTATAATTCTTTTTTCTTCCATCTCTGGACCTGTCCCCATGTCCAGTTGTTCCTTCTCCACAGATCTTCTCCATGTTTCTTTTGGTCTTCCTCTCTTTCTCTTGCCAGATGGTGCCCATCTCAATGCAACCCTTGGGATGGAAGTTGGGTGCATTCTACATACATGTCCTATCCACAGTCATTTTCTATTCTTTATAACTTGAGATAGAGGGGTGGTGTTAGTCTTTTTGTACAGCTCTTCATTTGAGATGGTGTTAGGCCAGAAGATGCGTAATATTCTGCGAAAACAACGTGTCTGGAAGCCATCAAGCTTGTTTGAAATGGTTTTGTAACTTTCCGTGCTTCAGCACCAGATAGGAGGACCCCAGCACGTTGCTCTTGAAGATCCTTATTTTGGTATTTATGCTGATCTTTGCTGACCTCCAGATGTTTCGTAGTGCAACATACACTCCTGTAGCTTTAGAAATCCGAACTAGCACATCTACCTCAGAATTTCCATATGTGTTGATCTTGCTTCCTAGGATAGACAAATTCTGTGACCTCTTCTGTTTTTTCATTATTTAGTTTGATGGGGTCGTCTGATTAGTATTGACCTTCATGATCTGATTCTTGGTGTTGTTAATGTTCAGGCCAATCTTCCTTGCTGTTTCTGCTGGTTGGTTGGTTTATTCTTGCATGTCACTATGTCAGTGTAATAGCAGTGCTATGTCGTCTGCAAAATCTAGGTCTTCTAGCATCTCTGTCATAGCCCAAGTAATTCCTGTCCGCTTATTCTTGGTGGTTTCTCTCATGATTCAGTCAATGCAGAATATAAAAAGAAGTGGGGAGAGCAGACATCCATGTTTTACTCCAGTCTTCAAACTAAACTCCTTTGAAAGGTTTGATCCACAGATAACTCTGGCATTTATAGCTGTTTATATCATCCCATGTGTTGGATGAATGATTTCAAAGAAATATCATGAAACACAATATTTCTTTCTAATATTTTTGAGATGCATTTGAAGATTGCTACTATTATGATTATTGGCTTTTTATGTAAAAGTATTTTTTTTAATAGAAGATCATGGGTAAAAAGAATTGTCAAACACTTGACTGTGTAAAAGTGTCCAGCAAAACTTTGGGCCTGTACATAAAAGAGGATTTTACTTTAGATATTCACTACCGAGGAACTGCAAATGTTTACATACTGTCATTGGAAAGTCTTGAAGTAACAGTTTGAGAACATCTGTAGGAGATGTAGGGTATAGACTGGTATTACATAAAGAAAGGCATTGTCACACGAAAAACACTTGTGTAAAATGAAAGCCAAAGTTCCAACCCCCAAAAGGTGAAAATATTTGTAGCCAATGAAATATGCTATCAAAAGAAATACACTTGCAAGGTATGGGAGCCTTTGCACCAATCGTTCAAGCGTTCTGCCGAGGGTTAAAGTTCAGTTGATGATGGTGATTGCACAATATTTTAACTGCGTTAAATGATCATGATTAATTGTTTTTTTTTTTTTTACATCGAGTAGGCAAGTTTCAGCCATATTTCGGCGGGGAA